TTTAATATTAATAAAAAAAGAAAACTTAATTTCTAATTTATTTATATTAATAATATAAAATATTATAAAATTATTTTCTTTTATTAAATAAATTAAATTTATATTATAAGTTTTTAAAATAGATTTTTTTTTTTAGAAATATTTATTTTCCGGTTTTATATTAGAATTAGAGTCTGAATTCTTTAAATACTTTACTAAAATAGAAATTAGATATTTTAATAAAATAGAAACTAAGTCTAGTTTAATTTTAAAAAAAGCTATTTTAATTTTCTTATTATATCTAATTAAAAAATAAAAAATATAATAATTAAACTTATTATAATTATAATATTTAATAGCTAAAAGATTTCTAGTTTTTATAAGAAATATATATTTAATAAAAATAATAAATATAAGCTTTTTAGGCTTTTTCTTAAAAATATAAAAGAATATAATACTAGAAATAAACTTAATTAGACTAGTTTTTATTTTTTTAATACTTTTGATCTTTTTATATATAGCTTTAATTTATTAATTATTAGTAATATAATATTAATAAAAGAATTATTATAATATATATATTAATTTCTAAAGTTTTAATAAAAGCCTTTTATTTAGTTTATATCTAATATCTTAAAGACTAATATTATCTTTTATAAATAATTATAAAAAGAAAATATAGAAATCCTAAAATACTTAACTAGAATATATTTAAAGCTTACTAAAGTTATAATAAGTATTTTTTATCTTATTAGAATTAAAATATAGCTTCTTTAAATAAGAATATAATTCTGAAAGCTAATAATACTAATTTGAATTATTTTTATTTATATAAAAATTAATTAAGGCAAGAGTATTATTTATAAGTTTATTAAAAATATAAATAATTTTAAGGTTTTTTAAGAAATATAAATTAATATTTCTTTATAATATAATAGAAATATAAAATATAAAGTAATATAAAAAGTAGAATAGGCTTTTATAGTATGGAATTATAATATATAAAAGTAAAAAGTGAAATTAGAAAGTAAAGATTAGTTAATTTCTAAGAACTAAAAAGAAAAAAGAAGTAATATAAGTAAACTATAAACTATATAATATCTGGAGGTTATATAATAGAATTATATAATCCAGGAAATAAATTCCCTACTATAATAGCTTATTTTTAATCTAAACTAGCTAGTTATTAAAAATAATATAATCTCTAATAAAAAGAATTAGATTAAAAAGCTTAATAATTCTAGTATTTCTAAAAGAAATATAAAAAGTAAGGGATTTTAAATAGAAATAAATAAGAAATAATTTGAAATTCTTTAAAAAAGGAATTGAAATAAAGAAATAATAAAAGTAAATAAAATAAAAATAAATAAAATAGAAATAGCTAAAGCTATTATAAATCGATTTATTAAGGCTATATAGTATTTAATATTCTTTTCGAGTTTAGTATTTAGAACTTAATATTTTCGAAAATAGCCTTATTATAATTATAAATATTTTTCTAATAATTCTTTATAATAATATTAATATTTAAAAATAAGGTATTAGGCTTCTTAGTTCATTTATATAACTCTTTAATAATAATATAATTATTAGTTTTTAAAAGCTTTATAATAAAAATAAAGAATTTTATTTTTATAAATTTATTTATAAATTCTCTAGAAATATTAATATAATATTTATTTCGGAAAAAGCTACTAATAAAATAACTTGAATTAGTAAAAGCTTTAGAAGCCCTAATAAAAGTTAATATAATTCCGAGTTATATAATATTTTATTTTAAGAAATTAATTTATTATATTTTTCTTTTATTATATTTTTCTTTTATTATATTTTTCTTTTATTATATTTTTCTTTTATTATATTTTTCTTTTATTATATTTTTCTTTTATTATATTTTTCTTTTATTATATTTTTCTTTTATTATATTTTTCTTTTATTATATTTTTCTTTTATTATATTTTTCTTTTATTATATTTTTCTTTTATTATATTTTTCTTTTATTATATTTTTCTTTTATTATATTTTTCTTTTATTATATTTTTCTTTTATTATATTTTTTCTAATAGTTTTATTATTAGTATATATATAAGACCTATAAGATTATAAAATAGAACTTAAAAGTAATAGTTAAATTACTAGCCTATAGGTATTTATTACTTTAAGACTTAATTAATAAATAGCCTTTATATAAGGTTTTTCGATTTTCGGGGTTTCTAAAAAAGTTTCTAATATATTATTAATATATATTTATAAAAATATAAATATCTGATTTCTTTAAGAATTCTAAAGCTTTTTACTTTTATTATTTTAGAATTTATTACTTGTATTTCTAAGGTTTTATTATTTTAATAATATTTATATTTCTAATAATTCTAAATTAGATTATTTGAAATCCTTTATAAAATTAAATTAAATAAGCTTTAAATATTATTATAGATATAATATTTAGGGCTCGAAAAGCAAGATAAAAGATTTCTTATAAAAATAATTTAAAGCTAAAAAAGGAAAAACTAAAATATAAGAAGTTATAAGAAAATATATATATCTTATAATATACTAGTTTATAAGAAGCTTAGCTTTTTAAATATATCTAGTATATTTCAAATATATTTCTCTAATAAAGTAATTATATTATATATATTTAAAAGATAACGAAATATAAGTAATATAATAATATATAAAAGTTATTAATTTCTTTAATTAATACTCGAGATTTATTATATATAATTTAATTACTTATATTCTAATATATATTGTATTTATTTAAATTAAAAGAATTAGAGAGTAAAGAAAGCTCTTATTAGCTATTTAATAAATTAGAGAAGTTAAATAAACTACTAAAGTAGCTAAAATTACTAGCTTTAAATGAGAAGTGAGAGTAAAGAAGAGAGTTTCAGGAAGTCTTGGGGGGGGGGGTTAAAAAGGGGAGTAATACTCTCTTTACCCCGGTACCAATTACGGACGCACGCCTAAAAATACAGGGGCTAAGGGCCTATAAGATCCTGTGACTTAATGCAACCTCCTAATCGAGCTGCATGAGATTATAGTGGGCCTTTGGGGGCCTTACGCGTCTGTTTTAGTATAGTTATAAGGCTTACAAGGCTCACTGAGATAATACAGGGCCTATTAGTGGCCCTAAAATTATGCATGCACCTATAATCCCGTCACTTTATGTCGTGATCTTCAGGCTTGGCAACGATTACTGAGCAATCGATTAGTAATCAATTCTGCGCGTAATTGAATACTATCGAATCGCATTAATTAGTAATCGATTACTAAACGATTTTTGCCCCGTACCAAGTACTAATTTCTTAGTACCTCTAGCCTATAATTTAGCGACCGTGGCCCTAAAATTTAGCAATAAATAGCCTATAATTATAGGGCTTCCTTTTCCTCGCAACTTACAAGTACTAAAGCACTTACCCACTAAGGGGCTATCCCCTAAAGAGCTTGCTTCCAGGAAGCTCTTTGCGCTTACAGTGAGCTGTTCACAGCAAGATAGCTTTCTGCGGGACAGCTTACTGCGAGATAGTTTCCTGCAATACGTAAAGAGCTTCCTGGGACACAGCTCACTGCAATGCGCAAAGAGCTCCCTAGGGAAGAGCTTCTTGGGGAACAACTCATCGCAAGATAGCTTACTGCGAGATAGCTCATTGCAAGACAGTTCCCTGCAATACGTAAAGAGCTCCTTGGGGGAGAGTTCCTTAGGAAATAGCTTACTGCAATACGCAAAGAGCTCCCTAGGAAATAGTACACTGCAATACGCAAAGAGCTCCTTGGGGAATAGCTTACTGCAAGACAGCTTTTTATAATATATAAAGAGCCCCCTAGGGGGGAGTTCCCTTTTAAGTAATAATAAAGCGTTAAAGAGAAGGGAGAGAGGCAATAATATATAAGTATAGCCATTTTTATTAAGGTAAATTAAATAACTTTGGGGGAAATTGGGGCCTTGAGTATTAAAAGAGGAGTGGAATTCTAAATATTTTCTTTAAATATATAAATAAAAGAGAGCTTTACCTTTATTATATATAGTATAATACTTTACTAAACTCCTTAACTGTCCAGAATTAGGAAAGGGAGTACGTGGGCAGGGATTTGATCGCTTATAATCGATACCTTACCTTACGATTATGGCATCGATTGTAATCGATTACTTAAAACGCCAATCGTTGCCAAGCCTGGTAATCTTTGTATTACAAGAAACCTACAAACAGGCTTGGCAAAAATTCCTTAATTTCCGGTATCGATGGGTATCGATGCCAGAATCGATTCCCCGAACCCAATTCCCCCCTTTGATTGTAATTAACTTTAGAACCACTTTTCTTATAAGAAAACTTTTAGTAGCGCAAATACTCTACTTAATTTAGGCTTTCTATTTAGCTACTTATCTTATATTTTAGACTAAAACTCATCTCAATGCGGCTATTTTAAGTAAAAATGAGCTTTTGAGCTTTCGAGATTTTCGTGAGGCTCGCTTATATATTTAGCGTCTTGATAAGAAATACAAATACGGGGCTTAATTCTCCGAATACGAGGGCTATTTTAAATTTAAGATATTATTGACTTTTATTAATAATAGTAAGTATTTCTTTTAATAGAAAGACTAGAAATTAAAGGAATTATATAATAATATATTATTATATAATTTAAATAATAAAAGAAAGAGTTAATTTTTGGGGTAAGAATCGATTCTGGTATCGATACTATCGATTCCTTGCGATACCTGAAAAATACCTCTACTATCAATACCGGTATCGATGCCTCAGGAATTTTTGCCAAGCCCTACAAATAGACCAAACCTAACTTAAGTTTGTTTTACCTTGGACATCACCCGAGGTTCTCGGCCTCATTATAGTATCATCAAATTATTGAGATAGGGGAATAACAAAGCGTTGTATTGCATAAAATAGCATGGCAAGATCGAGCAAAGCCCCCAGAATTTTGTAGCTCATAAGTTCCACCCAAATTCTGTAGCGATATGAACGTAAACCAACGAAGGAAAAGAGATGTCCGCTCGCAGCTCATGTACCAAGCGACTTTTGTTTGGTAGCAGTTGATTCCATTCTTTTCGACATGCTATGATTTATTAACACCAAGCATGTTAAAAAATAACCAGAGAAACGAATGAGAGACTTACAAGTCGAAGAACGCGTATTGACTTGGACTACATCCGAACTCGTACACAAATCTGGAGGCAAGGTAGCTGCCGAAGATAGCTCTGAGGTAGTTTTCCGGAACCTGTAGAGTGTATTAAGAAACCGATCTTGTCAGCGAAACAAAAGACATACCCTCTCAGAAATCAGATCGAGCCCAATCTTCTTTAACAGCAACTTTGGCAACGCATCCGAAAGCACTGACCGCCTAAACTGCTGGTTGTGCCACAGCTGCGACTTCTGAAGCTCCTCATTTAGTTTCGTGATCGCCGCACTCAACATATCGCTTATTGTAGACCTCGGAATACCCGTATATTCATGTTCGCGCCAAATTGCTTCGAATTCTAGTGTGGCATTTTGCTTGATCACGTCCTGGACATATTTAACGTATGCCTTGTAGAACTCTGGTACATTGCCGTCATGGCCGACGCACATGTTCTCAACAAAGCCTTGATCATCGAAGGACAATGACGCAAGGACTTCAAGGGAGGAAGAAGTCACGCCGCCTTTGTTTGTAGAAGCGTCTTTGAAGAGGATACAGCCTGATTTCTCGAGACAAAGTTTTGCGTCTTGCGTAATGAAGAGATTAGCGCCTTCAACAATATAGGGTATAGTGCTTTTGCCGTCTTTGATGAGCTGGTTGACACTTATAAGGTCAACTGACTCAGGTCGGCCACCACAAGGCACGAAAGAGTCTACCAAACCGGTATTCCGAAGATGAAAGGTGTTGCGGAAGGTCATGCCATTATGAACGAGCTCGCCGTTTGGAAGCTTAACGTTAATCTCGTCGATAAGAACACGATAGCCGCCTGTAGAGAGCTTCGAAGTATCAAATTCTGAGATCGTAACACGTTTTTTGGCGAGACGAATAAGTTCTTCGTAGTTGATGCCATTTGGGTCGACAAGAACGCCAGATCCATCAATAATAGATATGTACTTCTCTTTGCTTAGAAGAATCTCATTTGAACCAAGATCTCCATCAGGTCCACCAGTTTGCATCTTCCTCACCTTCGATGGGTCCAAATTAAGTTTCCGATAGATGCCCGTTACATACTCCCGAATGGATAACGTTGTCATACCGTAAGTGTCATGGGGAATGCCACCAAGTTTAGGGCTCTTCCCAGTAAAGAACGACTTCCACCACGCGGCTCCTCGCTTGTAGGCATGCTCAGTTGCCCAATCCACAAGATCAGCAGTGTTCTCATCCGGGCCCATAAAGAGCATCTCTGGCTTGCCGTAAAGATCAACAATAGGATCTTTAATACCTGGGCTTGTAGGGGGAATTAGAAGGTCCATAATACTATCGATATACTTTTCGAAAGCCAACCTGCCCTTGTCCTGATGTTGAGCGTCGAGGAGAATGACACCTTTCGAGCCCCCTTCTGGGATATCTTTGTTTTTGAATTGCTGGGTATGGGCAAGACCATAGCTCTCATCGAACATAGAGCGTGCGTTTATTGAATATGCCTCGCGATTTCGAGATTTGATGATCCTAATACCACCTCGCGCAATATCTCGAAAACGAAGATGAAAGCCCCGAGATTCAGAGGTAATTACCAAGAACATCCCATATAACGGCTCGGGGTATTCGATTACCGGAAGAAATGTTGGGTCTAGACGGAAGCTCAAAGCTACCTTCGTTGGGGTGTAGAAATTCGTCTTCAGAACGGCAGAATTGAATAATCGAAATGCTCCCCAAATCATCGCATCGTGCTCGTTGCTAACGACCCTTAACACCTGCTCCTTGAGTTGGGCATCTGGAAGCACTTCGGCTAATGGTGAAGAGCCGACGTAGTTATCTTCGTGCTCGGAAATTGGTGGGACATGAATGTCTGCGAAATTCGAGTAAAATGATCGAACAAGTTCAGGGTATTGACTAATAATGTCACGAATGTACTCCGCTGTGAATGTTTCGGTGCGTAGGCGGCGTTTAATGTTTGATAGAATCTCAGCATGCAGGCTAATCTTCGCATCTAATGCAGAGACCAGTGAAGCATACTCGGTCCCTGTAAAGTCTTAGTAATAGTTACTTGTTTTAGCTAGTTGGGCAATACCTAGCCTATTGAGGAAATGCTGAACGAATACCCAGACGCAATGTCCATAGATAGTCTCCTGTAGACTCAGGCGGCCGCTTGCAAACAGGAATTGGAATTGGTTCTGGGGAATGCAATAGAGCAGAGAGATCTCCTTGGCAATCTGGTGAATCGACTGCTCAATTGGAGGGAATTTGGTGTTGAGTGTTTGACTAGAGATAGGCTTTAGGTATATCGATATGATCGTGATCCCGTTGGAGAATTGCTCGACATATTTTCTTGAACTTGTAAGTCCATAATAATGATAAAGATCACTGAGTGCACCAAATATACCCAAGGCAGTACGTTGACGGAATGCTACCACAACTCTCTTCTCGTGTGAGCCCCCAATGTCAAAGACCTCAATGACGGGCCCTGTTCTGGTAACTGCCAATTCAAGGATTTCCTGATAGATTTGTATTGTATTCCTAGTGGCTTTTGCGAGAAACATCCTGTCGCCAATTACCTGCAGTCTGGTCTCGTGAGGACTAGGATTCGGTTCGACAAATTGGCATTGATATACGAAATTGCAACGCATAGTTGATTTGGAATTCGGAGTGCCAGTCAGGTTGCTAAGGGATCTGTATGTCTCAACGCGGAAGCGTTTATTGGCATCCGGACCATCAAGATACTTCGCCTCGAGTCTCTGCTCGTATCTTGGGCCCTCACTGTAGCTCACTCCTGGTTCGCTAGTGTCGATATATATGGCATGATCAGCGGCCTCCATATCAAGTTTGATCTCTCCGCATTTGTCTTCTCGTGCGACCGCTGCCACCTTAGCCGCATAGAGGGATATTATGTGGCTTGAGATTGCCTTTGTGGACTCTAGCTGGAAATACACGTCGTCGATACCAAGTTCGGTGTAGAACCACTCAATTTGACTGTCGACTCTGTCGTCAGGGATCCATTTTTCTTTCATGATCATTTGTTTGACTACGTAATGTCAGTGATTGACGCTAGCAGAGTCTTAACCTAGAGGCTAGAGCATTCGCCAGCGATTGGAGTTTAGCTATGTGATTGTTCCTCGAGCAAGGCTTTGCGAAACTTCGCTCTGTAACTAAGATCCAAACCACTGACAGAGGAATACCGAAACGGCATCGAGTATAAAAACTCGACGTAGGAGCTGAATTTCTATCTAATAATTCAGGGGTACTGACCTTCTGCCATTTGCGCCTTCTTTCCCTCGAAATTTGGTGCAATATATCCGATTGTCGAAGACCGCCAGATCCTGTGTCCATTATGCTCCCTCTGGCCATTGTGGCCATTGTGGTTATTATGACTGGGTACACTGAGGTGTGGGAGTTGTGTGGGCTTTGTGCCCAGTGTCATGGTGTCCTGGTCCCCAAACCTATTGCGGAGTCTGGCATCATCCATGTAGGCAAAGATTTCGTCGAAGGAATCGACGTAAGCTCAGAAGACTGTAAGTATTGTGGCGGTCTGGACTGGAACAATCATCATGACAATAGAAGTCTCGTGAGTTCATGAGGAAGGCATGAGCCTTTAAGCATATGGGTCAACATACAGTCATAAAGTTCTCCAGAAAAGGCCAGGGAAATATTCACTCTAAGACAAAACACAATAGTAAATACGGCGACATTTCCGCCGGGCGAAACTGGAAGTCCCCTATTCCGTGCGTTGTACTCAATGCCCCCGGGTTAGGTCGTGTCAGTCGGTTGACAGGGATTGGCCTGTTACTTGCTTTTTCACCGGAAGTCTCCTATTCCTTGCGTTGTACCGAATCTCCCCGGCTTAGGACGTGTCAGTTCGTTTACAGGGATTGGCATGTCACCTCCTTTTTCCTCCGATCACGGCATCCGCAACGAGCCTGCTGACAAAGTCCGTGTGTTTAAAGGTGTTTTGCTAACAAAGGAACACCTAAGTAAAGAAACAAGGCGACTACTGACAATTTCTGTCTTCCGCAGCCTGAAAACATCAATAAACCAAGGACTCTCTCCCCAGGATTATAACGCTTCATTTTGATGTATCTCAACCGTAGCTTAAAAGCTCTGTGAATCCGCTTATTTATTGTGGTTAGCCTTTAGTCAGAATGCTGTCATTTATACCTACGATTTAGCTTTGATCCTTGCAGTGCAACCGACAGGTCGGCACGGGTACGCAATTTCGACACTGATACGCCATTTTTCGATTTCGTAACGATACACGCTTTTTTAATACTTCTGCAGAAGCTAACTTGCTCGGAGTCCTCTATTTGCCTAAGAGCGCTTTCCAGATAATTTTTTTAACTACGTCATTTTATTATCATAAATGTAAAGTAGCTTCTTTAGATTAGTATAGCGTTGTGGAAATGGGGCATCGGTGTCTACCTAATCGGAGGAGGGGAGTTAACCTCTTTGGGTTGCGATTAGAGAGGATCTCACCAGAAGCAGTAGGCATGATTCAGTATTGGCGTGATGTGGAAATCACGCAAAACAAGTGAGCAGGAAATAAGTGGTCGATTTCGGGTAGTCCTGATAGATTATAATTACTATTAGCACTGTCCAGAGTCAAAATATTGCAGTCACTACGTCGTCAGTCCTTTAGGCAGTAGAGTTAATGCATATAGCGTCATCAAATTGTTATTAGCTGAATGATGTTGAACACTAGTATACAGGGATCGGCCATGTGGCATGACAAACTCGCCTCGGCGTTAGCACGGGTGTAATCCGGCACATAGAAGCATTCGGATACATAAAAGTCTTTTTTTCGGCCCTATTGATTTACTGGATTCAGGCTCAAATATAGCGTTTTCGCCTCTCTAACGCAAAATTCTAAAATAATTTATGCTTACTAGTACGGTACATTACGTTATATTAACTAGCTAGCTGTGTTTCAGAGAATGGGTAGTCAGTTGAATGGCAATTAACAGACAAATGCATCTCATTCCCCGCTCCCCACATTGCATATTCTTGACTAAGACCCCTACGACCTGGGACTAATACCCCATTAAAGCCTACAATACCCATCACGAAACCCCTCGTTGATGCTTCACGGTTTCATGTGCCTACGAAGAATCTCGCCACTGGATGCAGATCGCAGTTAGTGAGACCTGGAGCAAACCCTTCAACGATCCAAGGATTCTGAGCAAGTGTTCTACCTGAGAATTATCTACGAACATGGAAACAATGGTGGAGAAGCCGATAAATGATTCAGGACAAGTCCTGCTGGAGAATCTGCCCATGGAGTTACTGGGTAAGTGATACTATTCTGTCTCCGTCCGGGGAAGTTAGCGAAAGTCTGTCGTGACATTTTCTGATCAGTCTATAGGCAACATAATCGATCAACTAGTTACTGACATACTGCCAATTGGATTTCAGTCACGGAATATTGACCTTATGTCGCTCCTCTTAACGTCACGTGTCCTGCATTCAGCGACGCTGGCAACCCTCTATAGCCAGGTCACCATCTCCCACTCCAAGGCGTTTCACAAATTCATAACCCATGTTGCTGCACACCCAGCTTTGGGTACTATGGTTCGACGACTCGATTTCTCGCATTTCAACCCTATTGGGTTGGGTATGACAGGAAGAGAGCGAGCTGAGACTCAAAACCTGACAGTGCAGACTCTGCTACAATGTGTCAAGTTGCTCCCCAACCTTCAGGAATTTCTGGCCCAAGAGCACATAGATGATGACCTCAGTTCAGATGTCATCTGGACACTATTCCAGATGCCTCGGGTGCAAGCACTCGACTTTTGCACCTGCTCATCCACGCTATTCCGGGATGCTATTATGAACGTATTTGGAAATACTTGCTCCTTCCAACTACCGCAAGTCCTGCCCATCACGCGTCTAAGCTTCCACAGCTGCACAATCTTACCCTCCGCGATCTTTGAATCGCTGCTACCTCGTTTACCAAATTTGACGCATTTAGATGTTACGCACACCCGTATCACAGACGAAGTGCTCGCCACAATTCCACGAACAGCTAGGCTTACGCACCTTAACCTTAGCAAATGCTGTTCCCTCTCCGGTGACAAGGTCGTGAAGTTCCTAGGCACCCATCCAGCTGTTAAGGATACCATAGTTTATTTAAACCTCCTTATGGATGCCAAGAGCCACAAAATACTCAACGCTATGGACGTTACTAAGCTCTTACCTACTCTACCAAGTACTCTAAGGTCTCTAAACCTCAAAGGCAGCGAGATGTCTCAAAACCACATACCGCTGCTCCTGCCCTTAACGAAACACCTTGAAGAACTCGGCATTGGTAGAAACCTTCTATACGAAGATATCTCACCTATTTTTGGTCCCTTTTCAAATGAGGCAATGGATAACGCATCTTGGATTCCTCATACACTGCACTATCTGGACATCTCAGATCTTGAACCCGATCAACTAGATCTTGGGCTTCTCTTCCGATCAAAGACCAGCATTCTGGAGCGAGGGACAATGCCGTTGGAAGTTATTGAGGTGGGAGAGAAGGCTTTCAAAAAATTGAAGGATAGAGAGCATATTTGTAAGCCGTTTGGATGGGTTGTGAAGGAAGCGGGGAGGAGGGGTATGCTGGCTAGGGATATAGTAAAGACTAACACCAAACTGGCTGGTGAGGAAATTCAGATCAATGACGGATGCAGGAGCTGGAAAATGGGAGCGACATACTGGGGAATGAGGAAGGTGCCAGTCGCGCGCGCTGAAGTATGTGGCATGTATGAATTGTGTATGTTCAAACAATAAGCAAGCATAACACAGGAGGAGCACAATACAGACGCTAATCAGCTGGTCTTTCTATAACAGTCGCTTACAGGTGGGAAAGTTCAATATGAATTCGCGGTGGAATGCCATAAATGGGGTTACCCATTAGTATTGCCAGTAATATGCCTCTAATAATTAGTAAAAGAGTTAGCCCTGGGAAAGCTTAAATTCTAGTGGCACCAGTGTTTTAATTGAATAGATTAGATTAGATTAATAGCCATTAATCTAATTTATTTACAAAAAAAACTCATTAATTATATTCTATTCACGTATTAATTAGACTAATTATAATTAATCTTACTAATCTAATTAATGCGCACGTGACCCTGATATATAATAAAACTAGCCAGATCGGGTAAAGCTCTTGCTTGCTTTTATTCTAATACTATCTTACTACTTAATTAAATAAAAGTATTATTTAATAAGTAAGCTAAAAATTAAAAGCAAATCAAGATTTTAAAAAAAGTAACTAGTTTATTATTATAAAAAATTAGTATTTAGCTATTATTATATAAATCTTACTTTAATTTAATTAAAGCTATTTAATAATTATTAAGTAAAAATTAATTTATTATAGTAATATTATTAATTAATTAATTAAATTAATTATAAGTAAAATAATTTTTTATGAGATTTCTTAAAGTATAATATCTTATTTATTATATAATTATTATTTTTTAATAAAAAACTATTATAAAATAATTACTTTTATTTTAAAAGAAAAAGAAAAATTAGATTATAATATTTTATAATTATAAAAAGTAATTATTAAAGAAAGTAAGCTTTAAGATTTAAAATTATTAGAAGTTATTTTAAAACTTTTATAATTATAATAATTATTAAGTTTTTATATTTTGCGAAATACTTTTAAATTATATAAATATTAATAAATAAAAATAAGAAAAAATATAATATATAATAAAAAGTCAAGTAAATATATATTAAATTACTTAAGGTTCTTTTTATAAAAAGAAAAAAGGCTTAAAAAAGAGAACTAAGAAATTACGTGAAATTACGTGATTTATTAAATAATAGCCTAATTTCTATTATATTGGATTTAAATATTAAATATTAATTACTAGTAATTAAAAGACATATGTTTATATAAAATAAAGTTCTTAAATTATAAAGTATTTTTTAATATATAGCTTATTAAAAGCCTTATTTTAATATAAAATAAAAACTTATATAAAGTATATTAGAATATAAAACGTGATTTAATAATAAATAAAAAGAATAAGAATATATATATAATAAAGTATAAATAATATATGATTTATAAAAAGATTAATTAATTAATATAAAAAAAAGTTTCTTATTTAGAATTATAAAAAGAATTAGCTTTTTTTTTTATATAATTTCCTCAAGTTATATATTAAAATCTTAAAATCATTAAAATAACGCGATTTTTATAAAATATAGCTTATTATATTATAATAACTGAAAATATTATAATTTAATAAGATTATATTTCTAGTAAGAATTAAAATAATAAAAGAGAAAATAATAATAAAAGAGAAAATAATAATAAAAGAAAGAAAAATAAAAAAAATAAAAGAAAGATATTACTTTACTTATATTTAATATTAATTTTATTACTACTATATAATACTAATTAATATATAAAAAGCAATTAGATATAGCTTTAAAAGTTTCTTAAAAATTCATTTTATAATTCTAATATTATAATAGAAATTTTACTTTTATTAGTTACGTGATTCTATTATATAACCTCCGGATATCTATATAGTTCGCAGTTCGCTTATATTATTCCTCTTTCCTTCTTAGAAATTAATTAACCTTTACTTTCTAATTTCGCGTCTCACTTGTATGCCATAATTCCATACTATAAAAGCTCATTTAATCTCTATATATTAGTACTTATTTTATATTTCCATTATAATATAAATGAAGCCTTTATTTAAAAGAATAACCTCTCTCAAGTTCTTATATATATCTAGCTAACTCGATTCTTTTATAGCCATTATTTACTTACTTTATTCCTTTACTAAACCTTTATATATAAAACATAATAATTTAGCTTACGACTATAAGTCTACTCGTAATTGCTATTCTTAATATTATATAGAGTATGGGATTATATTAATGCCTCTACTGTCCACGAGTCCTAATATGAACTCAACTGAGAAGTGCTGGTGGATGACCCAGCAGGCCCTGCCCAGACGAAGTCACTAGCCTCCTGCCGAGGCACAGAGAGCAGCAATGGTACTTGAGGAATGGGATAGTATACCACAAGATTAGGTAAACGAGCTAGTTTTAAAGCAGGAAGGTTGAGTGCATCGATTAATAGAGCGTTATAGCTGGTCCACTCCTAATTAAGGAAAATGTAGTTATTGTGAAGTATTTTTTAGTGTGGTCTATCGCTAAAAACATTGGCCTCGGTCCGCAGACTCGTTAGCGCCTGCTCCTGCATAAATCCCAGCCTACCCCTCACGCAAATAGTCGCTGCTCTCCTCCTGGTACTGTGTAAGAATTGGCCGAAAATTTTGCCTAGGGTGGTAGACTATTTCCAACCCTGAAAAATTCGCCGATGATCTCGATGCGGTCAAGTGCCATATTTACAGTCCTTGTGAATCTTGAGAAACTCTGTGATTATTTCGGAGGCAAGGCAAGTACCAAACAACGGACCGACGGCAACCACGGATATATGAGACCCAAGAACGTTTGATTTCTCTATCATGACATGCTAAAGGAGTTCCTTAGTCCTCGCGAAGTCTTTATAGGTGCGAAGCCTGTTGCCGGAAGTTATGCAGTAATAGGGAGGTAAATGGGGGAAGAGCAACACCCGTATACTGTTATTTCTTGCATTAGTAAATGTGATTGATTATATTAGTATCTAGACAGGAGAGTATCCCGGGAACGGTTAAGGAGATATGCAGTTCTAACTTTAATTTGTTTCAGGATTTGTTACCATTATTCGCTCGGGTTAATTACTCGGTTCAACGGAGGGCCGACTCGTTCCATTTAAGTTTCGAATGCTAGCCTTCAATGTCATGACACTAATGGTGCAAGAACTCCCAAACTCTAAATAAATGGAAGAATGCCAAAAACATACTATGAATTAAGGGCCGTTATGAGAAACACCGGATGAACAGAAATCGGCACGTAGAAACAGCAGCAGGTGCGTGGATACTGAAGTTAAGATCGTTCCATTACTGAGACGCATTAGTTATTTTGCCACTTGCAACGCCGCTAGAATCCGAGCATGTGCACAGTCTAGGTTTGTAAGTAGGCGGATATATATATACCTTCAAGATTGTCCTCTTATTTATTACGATTCTCCATAGTCCTACACACTTATCACAACTTCTTACTACAGCTCCCCTTTCTTACTACAACTCCCATTTCTTGCTACGACACCCCTTATACATTCAAGATGTCGCCAGAATATAGCACTCAACCAGCCACTAATGGAAAGCCCCTCGAGCAAGATTTCATTACCTTTCTAGGTATTTATAGCACCAACCGCTTGCCACACGGCGTCATGAATAGCACTGACATATGGAAGACATGCATATAAATGGAGGGGCGAAGTTGAAGAGTTTGAAAAGTGCTAGCAGTGTCTCATTGTCACACGAAGATTTTGAGAGGCAGAATACTGTCAAATGCGGCTTGCAGAGGACTTTTGGAAATCCAACTCCTGTGTAAGCCCTAGAAGCCTTGATGAAGAGAGAAGACACTAACCTTTTATAGTGGTCTCTTAGGTATCCTTTTGAGTGCAACTCCTCTGTCTTGTGATCTTATAGGGTGGCGCGGAGCCGGAGGAAATGGTAATGCTTCGATGTATGCGACGACATTCCTTGGGGCTTTCTTTTGCTCCTCTTTACTGACTAGGAACACAGTGGCGCATACATATTCTTCGGCGGTCTCCTCTTAATAATCAGCGGCCTCCTTGAGTTCGTGCTCGGAAACACATTTCCCTTCGTTGTATTTTTGTCCTTTGGAGCCTTTTGGCTCTCATACGCCATAACCCTACAACCGAGTTATAATGCGTACACAGCATATGCACCCGATAATTCCACATCCTCATCAGCCGGCCTTGCAAGCAAAGGTTTCAATGCTAGTTTCGGTAAGCTTGGAATGCTGTTTGTAGGAGCTAAGCATAATAGAGATTTCTAACAGAAACATAGCTTTTCTCCTGCTATTCATGGCAGTACTCTGCCTAGTCTTTCTTATCTGCTCTCTTCGAACGAATATCGTTTACGTCGTGGTCTTTACTACTCAAGTCGCTGTGTTTGGTCTTCTTACTGGCATGCACTTTCAACTTGCAGTTGGTAATACCGATCTTGCCTCTGGGCTAGAAGTGGTATGTTCCCCATAGCCGATTATCTCGGAACCGTATTATTAATGATTTTTCAGTCTGCCGGTGTTGTAATGCTTGTGAGTACAATGGCAATATGGTGGATCTTCTTCGCCACTATGCTTGAGGCTCTCGATTTCCCATTCCAAATTCCTGTTGGTGACATATCATGGATGATTAAAGGGGCCAGCTCTCTCTTAGAGGACAACAGTTTGGCGTAGTTGCCATATGGTCATGTATCATCCGAGAAGCGGGAAGGGAGGCACTGTGGTTAAAGAATTAACTTGGGTCAAGGATAGGGCTGAGATTTGAAGAATTTGAACGCGAATCCAGTTTAGCCGTCTTGAATGAAGTGAACCTTGAATCAGCAAAGTAGTTTTAAAAACGTACCAATCTAAAATGGAACAATTTATATAGTTGAAAAATACTGAGACTCGCGGAAATTACTAAAATCGCCTAATAACGCTTTGAAATTAGAAAATAAACAGTTTTAAAAAGCGTAAAAGGGGCCCGAGAGTCTTTTGCTTCATTTAGTTCAAGCTATAAGGTGCTGCATGATTAGTAAGGTTTGGCAAAGCATTAGTCAGGCAACTATAATTCCAAAGTCTTTAGGCGAAAGTTGGCTTGATTTATATATAATAAGATGAAAATGTTAATAATGCTTATATAAACCGAATGCTGTCAATTAGTATATTAAGAGAATACTCAAACTATATAAGTTACTTAAGTATATTGTGGGAGGGAAACTGCGACAAGACAAAAACCCACATAAAGTATACCAGAGCGCAAAACGTGACTTGACAGCAAAACAACAGGAATAAAGGCATAAGCAGTAAAGATAAACAGTATGCAATTGTAAAAGCTCAATTGATTGTATGTGAAGGAGGGATTGTTCTCTAGAGCTACAGAAAAGCCAGCTTTCTTATGTGATTCCCGCAAGTCACGTGCGAAAGGCCCCAGCCTTTGACATATGACCAAAACCTCAAAACTGCCAAAACAAAGCGATTTTCATGGAGTACGACTTGCCGTACCACAATATACTCATTAAATATCAAGTAAAGTATAAGTAGGCCCTTTATAACTAAGCTGATATAAAATAAAGTAAACTACTTATTACGTGATTTATTTTATTAAATATTTCTCTTTATATTATAAATATTATTTAATTCTTCTCTTTAATTTCTTTTATTACCTTTATTACCTTTTTTACTACTTTGAATTCTTCTAATATTATTTATTATACTAAAAGAAATTAATATAATTATTACATATTATTTAATATATATAATTTCTAAATAATAACTTAAAAAAGAGATATAAAAGGCTTATTTTAACTTTTACTTATTTTTAGATATAATATAGCTTTTTAAAAATAAGTCGGGGAACTTCCTTACTATAATATGTACTTATATGTAACTCATACCTTAAGTATATACTTAATGAGTATTGAGTAGAGTATAAGTAAGACATATTTTGGCTGAGTAGAGTATAATTAGAACTTACTACTTTACTTATTTGACACACTGCTATGAATAAATCGAAAGCAGTGAGCCCGTGAATGAGCTTAGACAGGACAATAATCGAAAGTGGATACTACGAGAAAGCACGGCGCTCATAGTGAATCTCTCAATCGCGTGAAGATCTCCCAACTTGAAGATATTCGGGAATAGAGTCAGATGTATTCTCGGGCGTCAAGAATGAGAGGCCTTTAGCGCTCTCCAAAGACGAAGCGAAATGCTTGGGTAATGAATGATGTTCATGGATTTATGCTATGTAGTAATTGAGTAATTACTGAGACACGTAAGTGTCAGCACGTATACAAAGATATTCTCTGCAGTGGTATCTTATCTGCGAAACCTTCTATAGCAACTGGTTCTTTATAGAGCGCGCTTGTTTAATGTTTCCTTTGGATAAGACTTATTACCGGTAAGGATAAAGCAGTTAAGGGTGTCCTTTGCAGCCTCAATTAAAGAGCAGATATCACTCACATATAAATCTATAGTCAAAATAATTAAAGCAAGAGAACAGCAACATGACATTAATGACATTAATGAAAAAGCTCCGGCCAGTGCAGACAAACCTTGATCCCCTTAGTAATTTTGAAAGAGAAATGATTCCTCCCAGTAATTGGCCATTTAATTAATTGAGTGTAGGTTTCAGCTTGGAAACTTAGTCACATTGTGCCAGACTCGCAAATTGATATTAAAAATATTAATAGTGGCTATTATGTACACTTTTTGGATATTCCCCTTATCGCTGAAGTTCAGGTCCTGACCGAACTGTTTTGTGGGCATGTTTTGCGCCTCCTATACCCCCCCATTTCCTTAGAGCCTTCTGGTGACTTGAGAATGCCATAGCTCTTTGCATGCGGAGGTCGAGATTGCAATGTAAAGAATAGCATTCCAAAATCCTTGAAGGGGCAACACGAGGGACCCAGCGAAGTTCAAGCCATAATTCGAGCTACCAGGATTGGCGATACTATAGATCCGATTGATGCTTGATGGAATCTGCGGTTTGTGGTTAGGCCTAGAATTTTCCAAGATACGAATAGACGGCGCATTCATACCCAAGTGACTACTAGAGCTATAAAGAAGAGGAATGAGCATCTAAAATAGGACCATAATGTACGATTCGTAATACACTCTGCAGTGGATACTCCGTGAGGTTGAGATTGTACCATAGAGTTCGTGTTTATAGAAATTTGATTGAATTGCCTTGTGGGAGGTAGATATGATTCGCCATGATTTTGCTCCCGGAGATGTGAGAAATTGGATGTCGAGACGCCACTCATAACGTCAATTATTATCGCGTTTGTGTTCTTGTGTGAATTGAGACCTGGACAAGCGTTTTGTAAAGGCCCGACAAAGCTTCTGAGAGTTCGTTGTTGTTGAAAGATGCCGCGGCCAATAATGATGTAAATGGCGAGGGTCCCAATGATAGCGAGCCTATAAAAGTAAATATTCGTTCATTTTTTGGATGTGAGAGTCATACCACACTGGTCCATAGAAACAGAAAAGACGCAGAAACTGCCAATTAGAGCCAATAGAACACCACAGCTATTTAAGAATCAGCCAGAGAATAAATTCAAAGATCAAGTGCCTTGATATACTATTGCCGGTCCGTAGATTTTGCCCCTCTCTTTACTGTTGACACAGAGTAGTGTTACGGAAGGTATCAGTGGTATCCCATAGCACCCTAGAAAGTACTTCCATTCGAGACTCTTCAGCTGTATCGTAGTGTATCTCTTGTAAAACGTGAGGTAGACATTCAGAGCCATACAGAAGGACCACAGAGAATCTGCGGGCATCCACCTATTTGCAACATTAGCATTATATTTAGAAATTTCTTCATGCGAAGTGAATTACTGCTGGATAAAAAATGCCTGCAGCTGGCATAGTACCGAATTTTGCCCTGCCAATACGCCCTGCCTCGATATTAGAGTCGCAACGTTTGAGAGGATGTTTCCGAACGATGCGTAAAATATGAGTCTGCTAATGGGCGTGTGGAAAGCGGACGAGGAACAAAAGGTGATAAGGACAAAAAAGCAGCCAACTAGAGACAGTATTGAGGCAACTCTCTCAGCTATCTGGAGACTGCTAAAGTCTTTCTCCGTCCAAGTCATTGTGACGTCCTTGCTAAGTAAAGATGAGAGAAATACGTGGTTGATAGAAATTGGAACCAATGCAAACTTAGTAAGTGCATAAGGCGATCTACTTTGCACAGTCGTTCGGCGGTTCTCACCTAGTAATTATGCCTAAGGAGTGAGGGATAAATCGGTTCGTCCTCCTTTGCTCGCTTCGCTCACAGCCGGGGAAAGCAAGCGTCTAGCGAAAGCAAGTACCCTAACTCTATAAAAAGTGCCACTTTTCTATTGTAGAAACGCTCTAATTATAAGAATGACTCCACCCTTCTTATAATAAATGACCTAAAATAATAATAGATAAATACTTGGATCAAGTTAGAACAAAATTTAAAATAGTTATCTGGACTTAATTATTGATTTAAGGCCGTTTTGAGATAAATTCCCGTGTATTTTAGGTGCGGAAATCAAAAACTTTTTTTTTAAAGTAGGGTTTCCCATACAAATTTGAGCCCGGACACCTACTTTGCCTAACTGTGAGCAGAGCGAGCAAAGGAAGATGAACCGACTATTAGTAATACGCAAAGTACAGCCGTATGCAAACCCACTAAAATTTATGTGGAAAACCGTGCGAGGTAAAAAAACACTAATGCTATAACTTTTTGCTCTTCAAATATTATTAGTATAGGATCTAGGAATCGGAATTAATGCTCAAGACTGGGGTAGTTATTAAATGTGTTGTATTACATTCAAATTTAGGGTTACTTTTGGTGGGGAATACCAAAAAATCAGGTTTGAGTATCGCTACCCCTCACCTAATAGGCTCCTCAGGCGAGATTTGTAGGTGAGAACCGCTGAACGACTAGATAATTTGACCATAAAGGCCAAGAAGCCGCCAACGTTTGCACCTACGGACTCAGATTTTCCCGTTAGGGGATTTAAAGTTTCCGCTTTGCTCCGAGCACGAGCTGTACGCGTAGGCAGTGATAACGAGCCTGTCAAGATAAGTCTGCGCTTCAAGCCATTTGCTCACTAACGAGCCCTGTAAGAAATTTTTGACTTTTTAAAGTTTATAAGAAATGCCCGAATTATTATCAGATAATACACTTTAGCTTCTTCTTACTTATAGTATTAAATAATATACAATAATGCTTTGTGGTTATTTAGGGAATTTAAAGTAAAGTGAGTGACTTTGGTTTTCCGAAGCCTGAAAATTAGCCTGAAGCGCACAGACTTATCTTGGCAGGCTCGTAAAGCTATGTCATGTAAATTACTGTTAACCCCTGCCGCATTGGGAGTGCGGGTTAGAAGGGGTTTTCACTCAATTGCGCATTGAGCTCCACTGCGCGAGTCTCCTCACCCAAAAAAGCCGTTTTTGAAAGTTGCTTAAAAAGCTGCCAAACCATCGCGTATAGTTAATATAATAGGGGGCATCTCATTTTTATTCTTAGAGTTTTCATAGCGTGGTGTTGGGATCAAGAAAACTTGATTGTCGTCTGAGTGTGCGCAATTGAGTGAAACCCCCTTCTAACGCAAATGGTACATAACCTATGACAGAAATCACTCAGTCAGACTAACTCGGCATAGGTTGGCAAAATGAGTTTCGGGAATCTGGAAACCTTAAATTTTAAGTTAACCATGCTTTCCATTAACAAGGGAGAGACACCGAGAGGAGGGCTTGGCCACGTGGGCATGAAGTAAGTTTGTGACAAACTTAAATTTTTCCTGGGGGTAATTCGGTTTTATTCCATAGTGTGGAGCACTCTTGAAACCGAGATTTGTTATCATTCGATTCTTGGCTATCCATCTGCATTTGCAGACTCGCTGTCGCGTGCTCATATATGGTAGAGTCATCTTTTGCATAGAATACCCCGTAGAAAAACCTTATTTGACCCTCAAGAGCTCTATAAGCCCACGCCACATGGCATATATATTGTGCCATGTGTTAGGGCGTTTCATATGGCTATCTCCGAAGATCCCGATACGGTGTACCGATGCTGCAGTAATTGGAATACACTCCCAGGGGTTATAAAATGTAATAAGATAATGAGGTCTAATTTGCGTCAGGACAAATACTTTTTAGCTTCTGGGCTATTAGGTGATTCTCTAGCAAATAGAAGGATTGAAAAATCTTTTCTAGGAAGCATAAAGCTATTTCCCTGCCCTTTCAACTTATAGCCCCAGTATGTCATATAAATCCATGGCAGAATCGAGGTTTAAAGAGCTTGCAGATTATACCCTCAGGTACGGTGCTCTATCCTACAAAATTTCGGATAGGCATCTCGGCGGATTTGATGTAGGGCCACTCATCGGACCGTCCGGGGAGTTGTCTCATAACCGACCCGACCCTTCTGAACTTTAATAGAGGTTGTGCAAGGACCTACCCATAAGGCACCGAGTATCGCCGATGCCATACCGAGTACCACCGATGTCAAACCGTATAGCTAGTGGCCCCTATTAGGTAAGTGTTTAGAACCCAACGGCTGAAACTTGATGCAACTAGGTTAAGTTAGTCCTATCAGATGTAGCAGCCGTCCTTGCAATAGTTCAGAATGAGAGTATTTTGGAAAAATAGAAAATTCGTTTGGATACATCAGGCCTCTCGATACTTGTAATAACGATTCATGCTTTGCTCCAATTAAATCCAGCTGGGCGTGCTGAAAGAGGCTGCAATCGTCAATATCCTGCAAGCTGGACGACAATTCTTCTAATTTTGAAAGATGAAATTTGCTAAGTATGATGTCCTCAGTGACGTTAGAATAACCAAGACTGTGCTAACATTGCTGATTAGACAATTAGACCAGGACGCCGTCCCCGAATGGAGGGCAAAATACTTGGACTACAGGGTTCATTCGTCCCCGTTGTCTTCACAATCACAGAGCTGATGTTTGGTCTTCTAGCTTGGCAAGAAGAAGGTCAAAGCCGTCGCCATCGCCATTACCACCACACTTCAAAGTGTCAACAGCACGCCCCATGACTCACGACAATATCGAAACAAGGACAACGACAGTTCGAAATACTTAGGGTCCCTATCTGTGCCACTTCGTACAGTCGGTGTACCATCAGGGCCCCCTTCTCCAAAGCTCTCTGGTTCATTTATAATTGACCAAGACTTGCATTGGATCTCCTCAGCGGGTGACTCGGGAGGCTACAGCCAGGTTACTTATGATTTCATAGCCCCAAAGCTACTGCCAAATCCCACCCCGCCTCCACCACCTGCTCTGAAACTTTCAAACCCCGCAATGGATGATAGTATTGAGTTTGATTCGCTTGAGTGGAGAAGAATCAGGCTGAAGCACATTGAGCGCCGAATCGACCAGAGGAGCAATTCCATTCCACCTCCGACCATTAACTATGAGTTTAATACGATAAATACTCTACCTCCACCCAACAAGGCTCATTCTCTATCTCAAGCCCACAACTTGTTGGCCAGCCGACATTTCTCTGATACAAACTCCTATCCCTTGTCGAAACATATACTATCAGGCATCCAGCCATCAAATAAGCCATATGATTCACTCGATATACGGGATACAACTCTCGGTGCTTACGAACAATTGGAATTTAGTCAGGCGGGGTTCTTTGATTGGCTGGACCAAGAATTGGCTATGGTTGAGACGTTTTACGAGATGAAAGAGAACGAGGCGAGTAAAAAGCTGGATAAGCTTCGCGCCCAGTTGCATGAAATGACAGATCGGGGGTTGAAAGAAGCCCTGGCCGCTCAGAAGACCTTAGGGGCAGTCACTGAGATCCTTAGAAGTCACTCCGACAAAAGCACCGATTCCCTCAAGCATATAGACATGTGGCCTGACACATCGAAAGTTGCTTTCCGGGACCAACATCATAGCGTCAACTCCCGCAGCGGCTTTTTCCATCGAAAAAACAGAGGAGATAGAATCGACTACCGGAGGGCCAAAACGAAGCTTAAGTTTGCGTTAGAGGAGTTCTACCGCGATCTCCAGCTGCTTGAGTCATACGCCTCTCTGAATTATACTGCATTTCGCAAGATCAACAAGAAGTTTGATAAAGCTGTTAGCGCTCATAGCTCACTTCGATACATGTTTGAAAAGGTAAATAAGGCTTACTTTGCTCAGAGCAAGGTTTTGAACAGCCACATGCAAGATGTTGAGGATCTATACGCCCGCCACGTCCAACACGGAAATCGCAAGAAGACTCTGGAAAAGCTTAGGAATAGGACCGCACGACCAGGAAACTACTCCGGGAGTAGTTTAAGGTGCGGACTACTGCTCGGCATTGGTTTTGGCTTCGCAGTTCAGGGAGTTATGTATGGTGCTCAGCTGCAGTCGCATTCAGACCCCACTACTCGGATAAAGGCAAGCTACTTATTACAAGTGAGCAATAACGGAGATTGTTGGGCCAGAGATGCGGCTAACCAGAACCTAGATCTATGGGGGCTACTTCTTGGGACTTTACCTATTATTATTATTTTGTTTGTGTTGCGGAGTTTGGACAAAACAAAAGATCAACTACGTTTTCGTTTTCGAACTTAATAGTAGGCAATACCTTGATTGGAGGCAGCTCGCTGAGGCAAGTCTGGCCTTCATGCTAACTCATTCAGTTGCTGATTTCATTTATATAGTTGCCCTGCCTATTCTTCTTCTTATTCGGCATTTTCGTATGGCTCAATTTCTCAGGATACGGAACAGCGCGGATATTCCTATATTATCCCATTATCCTGGTTGGGCTGACAACGGCCATTGTGTCATTTCCAGCCCCTATCTTGTACCATCATAGTCGAATGCAGTTCCTTTATTCTCATGTGAGTACAAAGGTCGCCCTTGGCTCCCATCTTTGGTACTGATTTTGGCAGTGGCGCTTGCTCCTCAGCGGTTTCTATCCTGTAGAGTTTGGGGATTTTTTTCTTGGTGATATGTACTGTTCCCTAACATATATGATGATGGTAAGCCATATCCGTCCTATCCAACCAAAGCAAAATAATTGTTAAACTTGTGAAGAATCTCCAGGTTTTCTTCTGCTTATACTCCATAAGCTGGGACAATCCGAACTCGTGTAGGTCCTCGCATTCTCGCCTCCAAGGTTTTTTCTCCGCGCTTCCTGGAATCTGGCGTATATTTCAGTGTCTCCGCCGTTACTATGATACTCGGAATACATTTCCCCATCTCGCCAACTGCGGGAAATACACCTTCACAATTCTACATTACATGGCCTTGAGTATGTACCAGATCGATGGGAATCAAACGAAATTAATTGTGTTCATCACTTTTGCTCTATGCAATACGTTTTACTCTGGTAAGCTCTCCTTGCCGTTCGCCACAGCTGAGCCCATGTGCTAACTGGTAAGTATTTTGGGATCTCGCCATGGATTGGAGTGAGTTTTACCATTATCTTTGGCTATGATTACACCCTAATAGACTTAGGTGTATGCCAACCAAACGCTCGAAATCCTTTCCTCCGTCAAATTCTCGGATACAAAGGTCCGTGGAAGTATTATTGTGCCATGATCTCGAACGTTGTCTTCAGATTTAGCTGGGTTCTCTATGCTCTTCAGACGCGCAATCTTCAACATGCTAGCATTCTCAGCTTCCTTATTGGGTTTATCGAAGTTACGCGGCGTGGAATTTGGATGCTATTTAGGGTCGAGGTATGTTATGCGCCCTGCTTACAAAGGCTCCACACACTTGGTTGACCACTTTGTATTCTAGAATGAACATTGCGCAAAGTAAGTGGCGTATTTGCAAACTCCGGCCACAGTAGCCCTAATTTCAAGATAGTGTCAGTAGATTGCGAGCTTCCCGCGATATCGCCCTCCCTTACGATCTGGAAAGCTCACCCTGTGCTGCTGAACACAACAAGCAACACGCCACTTTGGGCGATAACCGATACTCCACTGCCGAAACAAACCAGATACCCCAGCCAGGACCTCCAATCCACCCCGATTGCGCGGCTGCTGACGCCACAATGTCACGAATCGGGAAGCTGATCCCAACAGCTCACGAACAGGACTTTGAGCGCAAGAGGTCTAGCTTGGGCGATAGAGATACTTCAGATAATATGGATCAATGGGATGATGATAATGACGGTGATACACAGAATATGATGGACATGGAAAGTTCCTGGTATATACACTGGTAGAAGTTTAAACGAATAATATCCACAAATACAAATTCAAATAAGAATGTCTACCCTGCTGTTCCACCTTGTGTTAGAAAAGACTTTCGATACGGTTCCCAGATCCCGGCAACCCAAACTTGCGCGCAGCAACACAGTCACAGTTAGCCAGACTCTTTTTGAAATACGAGTTGAAACTTCCGACGTATTGTTTCAAAGCTGTTCTTTTGTCCCATCAAACATTCGTAAAAAGATTTGCGTTTGATGCGCCCTTGAAAGATTTTGTTCTAAAAGTCGCAAGCGACAGCACCTAAAAGGATAAGATATCGAAGATGACGTACCGGGTGGGCTCGAGTTTCAAGGCTAAGGGAAAAGGGACACGATCGAATCAGCAGTCGAGCGCTACAGCCGACATCAAAAACATTGTAATATGGATTTAAGAAGACTAGAGGAGAAACACAGGGATAACTTCCAGCGGAAAGCGCACCCCTATTCTTTTCAAAGTAGAACAGCATGACGTCTCGTTTGGCAGAAGCGTCTCCGGACTGCACGAATTAAATGTCGGACTGTCCGTAATTTCGACCGATAAGCTCGATTCTGTCGCGTTATCTAGCGCTAGTACTACTTGGTGGGGTTTTATATAGTCGCACAATAAGCTTCGAAATTCCTTGGTTAGAAAAACTCAAAGTCGAAAACTAATAATGGATATAATTATTGCATTATTAAAGCTGTTTTTTATTCTTATATAATTAAAAAAAACTATAACTCTACTAATTTTTATATATAAAAAAGACTAATTCGAGCTAAGAATTAATTATATAAAAACGTAATTTAAAGAAAAATACAAAGAATTTTAATTTTAATTAATAATTTTAATAAAGGCCCGAAAATTAATAATATATTATAGTGGGGAGTCAGGTGACGGTCACGTGGCTGGTCACACGCTCTCGGCTATATATCTCCTCCTATATATAGCCCTCTTTTTCTCTTTTTCTCACTAATATAGTATTCTGAGTACTCGAGCTCTTATATATATATTTTAGTATCTCTATATGCCCTTATTTAATATATATTTTTAATATATATTTTTTAGATTTTTTAATAAAAATATATAAATTTTAAATTTTAAATAATTAACTTTATATATATTAAAAAATAGTCTTATTATAATTAAAGGAATATTTAAAAATACATAAATTCTTTTTAAATTATTTATTATTATAATATTAGATATTAAATATTAAAAAAGAAACTTTATTTTTATATATAATATTTACTTATATAAAAATATAAATATCTTAGAATTATTTAATATTAAAACTCTTAAAAATAAAGAAATAAATTTTAAAGAATAAATTAAATATTAAATATTAAATCTATATAATTTATAATTTATAATTTAAAGAAAATTAATAAAAGTAAAGAAATTATAAAATTTTATTTATTTATTTATAAAAACTGTAAATTTTAATATAAAACTCTTTTAAAAGAGTTTGATTTTATGATTTTATAGAATTTCTATTATTTGTTATTTATTATTAATTATTTTATTTATTAGTTTTAATAAAAAATAAGTCTTTACTTTTAAATTAATTTATAATATTTTAAATATTAAAATATATTATTTAAAACCTTTTACTTTTATTTAAAGGCTTAATTATATATTTATTTTATTTTATTGTTTTTTCTTAAATATATAAGGCAGTTTAACTCAAGTTTTAATTTGAAATAAAAATATACTTTATAAAACTCTTTATAAGCAAGTTTAAGAATTATTAAATAAGTAAGTTTTAATATTTCTCTAGCTAAGTAATTATAGTATTAATAAGATATACTTGGGTATATTTCTAAAGAGAAGTACTAAAACATTATTATAAAATCAGGAAGAAATAATGAGGCGTTTTGTCGCTTATTAGTTGTTGCAAACTCTAGTCTATCTTTGTAAGGAGGATAAGGTTTAAACGGGCCGAATCGACAAGGCTGTCGACCGACTACGAAAACTACGAAATTGTCCGAGCACTCGTCTGACAGTACTATTCGAGGAAAGCGTTCTCCAACATTCCAGCCTCCTTTTTCAGCTAGGTTTTGCCGGAAAATACTTCACATACTTTGTAAGTAGAATTTCAGTTCTCGTGAAAATCAGAGGCTGGAGTCAACAACGTCTTGCCCCTCATTGATGGCTACGCTGGAGGGTTATGGTCGCATGTATAGAAACCTGCGGCGCTATGTAAATGCTGCAACGCAATGCTCGCCAGTCGCGGTAACGAATGCGGTAACACCGCGAGTTTCGATTACAGCCCCAGTTATTGGCAGATATGCTCTGGTTTGTGGGGAGAGTGGCACACAAGAAGCTATAGAATCATCAAGTGGCGGCGTTTCAAGAATATCGCCAAACCAGGACCTCCCTCGATCCTCAAATTCAGTTCCTCAATCCCCGACCGGCAAACAGAGGTCATCGCAGGAATATATGCAACCAGAGCCCACTTTGACACATAATTGTTTGTCTCCTCCTAATGGTATAAGATCTAGCCATGTTGCAGTCAAAATATTACCTGTCAATTACGAGTTCTGTGGCGTTGAGGATCTTATAATGCTAATAGCCGGTTTGATATCGGAACTCGTCCAAATAAATGACCAGCTTCCTTTACGCGATGGTGGCCTTACTAGATTTCATTCTAGGTAGGTCTGTTCATTAACACCACTGATTACTGAGCTTTGTTGATGGAAACGATAGGACACCTCCTCGAATTTCGGTTATCGATTATCTACAACGACTCACAACGCATACAACTCTCACACCTCCATTACTCTTGTCTATGGTTTACTATGTGGATCGCCTATGCTCGCTTTACCCAGCCTTCGCCATCACATCCCTCACAGTTCATCGTTTCCTGATTGCTGCTGCAACAGTGGCAGCGAAAGGGCTGTCAGATGTCTTCCATGGTCATGCGACGTATGCGCGAGTCGGTGGTGTCAAAGTTTTCGAACTTAGCATGCTTGAGCTTGAACTTTTGTACAGAGTAGACTGGAAGATAGTACCCAATCCTGAGGTACTTGTGAATTATTACCACGGCTTAGTGGGTCGAGCAGATGGGTATATTTTAGAAGGCGATGCTCTCTCGGTGGAGGAGGGGAACATCATTGAATCAAGAGAGAGGTGACTGCCACAACTTCTTCAGTGCAGTCTCCTTGACGCAGTCCCTAAAGCTGGTCATATCAAACCGCCCAATTTATTTGAAGCATTGCAGCACCAATCAAACCAAGACTTCAGTCAACGAGGAAAAATCTGTCAATAACGACCGGCCAGAATTGAAGATCCCGGCAAAACGGATACTGTAAGACCATGATTGGATACGTCGGTGATAAAATTTAAAACGTTATTCGATGCATCATCACGGGGGAAATAAAATCAGGTCGCATCACCGGCACGGAACGTTGTGCGGCTTGGGTGTTGCTTCGATATAAAGCAACCTGTACAGGGTCGCGGCCATAAGTCTTGCAACTACCGGGACAGAGCTTGCTTCACCAATCGGCGATGAAGCGACACCTGTCCAACGGTGGCCATCGGCGCTATCACCACTCGGGCTACCATTTGCAATGGACAGAAAAGAGAGATGAGAGGGGTGGAAATAAGAGTTCGCCAAAGCACGATAGATTTTATGATCCGTAAGTTGTGTCTAGAATGGCTAGGTAGACAATTGTATCATCTCAATCATAGCCTCCTAAACCCAACTCTCATATGCCCCCTCCCACCTCTATTCCCCCTATAAAAATAAGGTACAAACACAATTTGAACATCTGTCTTCTTCACACTCTTCTCCCTCACAATATCAAAGCCAGGGAATGACCCCTTTTCAGTTCCAGCGTCTTCCACCTTCACCCCTGAAGCCGTGATCTTCATAAAATCCTCTCCCAGGATCGTATCTTGTGCAACATATTCTTCTAGTTTGGTATCTTCAGAGATAGCAACAGACTTGAAGTGGTCCTCTACCCATTCGTTATCGATATCTTCCGCACAGTAGATTAATGGGCCGCGGGCGATGGATAGTGTGTTTTGATTTGTGGAGGGGTGGTGCCGGAGGAGGCGGGGTTGAAAGGTGAGGGGGCTGAAGGCAAGGGTTACTAGTGTGTTGCGGTAGAGAGAGGTGTAGGAAGGAGTGAGGATGAGGTAGGATTTTGAACTTTTGAGGGAGGGGATGGGGGAAGGTGATAGCTGGTTATATGGTCAGCAATCTGAGAGTGGATCGATAAATAGGAGAACGCATACGGTAAACAGCTCGCCATTCTCAAAAGGCTGCGCCCAGCTGGGGATTCGCAATTTGATCGTGATATCGAGCGAAGATGGGGCGTCGAGAGTGAAAGTAACGGTATTTCCCCAAGGCCAGTTCGTGTCCTGCTTCAACGACAGCGTGCCACCTGGAACCTCAAAGCTCAGCACCGCAGAATTGTAGAGATGCACGTCAATCTCGAGATCCTTGCCCTTGACAATGGATGACCACAAATAGCCACCCAACATCCCGAACGTCCTCGTAACATTTGGTGGACAGCAAGCACAGTCAAACCAACTCTCTCGCTTCATCGGCCGCTTGGAGCAACTCGCAAGATGATTTTCGTACAGGAATTCTTTGCCATTCTGACTCATGCCTCCCAAGGCTGTGTTGTACAACGCAAGCTCGAGGATGTCGGCATATTTGCCATCGAGATCCAATTGCAGCATTCGCTCCGCCAGCATCATAACGCCGATACTTGCACACGTCTCGGCGTAACAACCGCCTTCACCTGTACTCTGCGGAAGGAAGAAATCAATGCCGAAGCCTTCCCACTGATCGATTGCGCCAATGCCTCCCGTCAGGTACATCTTCTTGTTGACCATGTTATTCCAATCTCTCGCAAACAGTTTTATACTTTTCAAACTCGCCCGAATCCTCTTCACGGGTGCGAGAGAGATGAACAAGGTCTGCGACCGCATTCAAAAGATACATAGCTCTCACAGAATGGCCTTTAATTGTCTCTTGCTCCAGGATAGGCTTGTGGGCTTGCTGGTACCAGAACGCATTCGCCGTCGGCCACGCATCACCGGCTGGTCTCTGACCCGGGTCCTCGCCTCTTTGCTTCGCTTCCGCAAGATAAAAATGTTGGCCTTTCACACCGAGAAGATTGCCTCGCTCTGTGATGAAATACTTAGCGAGCTCGTAAGCATGAGTGTTGCCTGTCCGGGAATACAATCTTAGCAGCGCGAGCTCGATTTCAGGATGTCCGGGATAACCGTGGATTTTACCGGGTCCTGGACCGAATGTTGTGTGCATGAGCAAGACGTATTTTAACATAGGGTCTAGGAGGAGGTTGTTTTTGTAGTGCTGGTGATGGATGAGTGCTGCTTCGATGAGATGACCTGCGTTGTACCTAGAGTTCTAATTAATTGCCGTTCAATCGAACATCTTGGTCCATGAGACACTTACAACTCATGCAAATCTCTCAGATTCGTGAACCTAAGTCCTGTCTTCACAACTGTGAAATGAATATTCAGATACCCATCCTCCCACTGTGCACCAGCAATCATACTCGTCAACTCCTTGACAGCCTCATCAATCACTTTATCACCCTCCTCATCTCCCTTCTCAGCAAGGAAGTAACAAGCTCCTTCCAGCCATTTGCCTACATCCGAGTCCCAGAAGAGGGCTTTATAGCCTTCCTCATACGTGGGATGCCATTTCAAGCGGAAGGCATCGTACCTGCCAGTTGACTTGAGGATCTCCAGTTGTGCATGCAGTGTGTTCTTCCGTACGATGGAACGACGTTTTGCCCAGAAGGATGAAGTGGCGAAGGTGGTGTGGTGGAAGTTTTCTTGGGGATAGGAGGGGTTCATGGTGCTTGTGGTGAGGGGTAATCGCGGAGCTTTCATGGTGAGATATCGTATCTTGTCAAGCCTATTCTGCTTGGCCCATGGATCTTTCTCTAGAGAATTGATACGTGCGCTTGCAGTTGGGACTTGTGTCAGCCCAGCTATAGCATCGAATACCAGTCCTCTTGTTCATATTAGTGAAGATATCCTAGTGGCGCTTCGAGCTTAAGAATGGATTGTGAGACGACATCCCTAAAGCAGTATAGCCTCCTCGGAATCAAACCTCCGCTACCAATTATAATTTACCACGAATTGAAAACCCAATAACATGGACCTGGTGTCCCCTTCAAGCAATACTCACTAATCCCAAATGAGAGAGTGGGATACGGGGAATCCTTGTATCCGCGTATACGTATTCGCTTACGAAGATCGCGGCATAAAGTATCGAGAATACAGGGCATTTTGACCCTCGGTGCCCTACAGGGTACGAAGTTAGGGCAAGAGTTCGCTATAAGTCCCTATAATCCAGGCAGTGCCCCTAAATCGACGTGAAGAGACGCTATAAGATATTCGTAAGGGATAAGTAGATCTCCTAGAATTATAGCGCAATTAGGAGAGCAACTATATAACATAGTGCTTGGACGTCAAACGAGTAACTCTTATAGGCCTCCTTAGCGACAACTCCCTTATAAGTACAGGGAAGAAAACCTAAAAAGGTGTGGCAGTCTTTGTCGAAGGCGCATAGGTTACTTTTAGTGGAATGGCCTGGAAATATAGGGGACCTTATAGCGAGTTTACTACCCTGATCTGTACGAAGATTGCGGCATAAAGTGACGGGATTACAGGGCATTTGCACCGCAAGTTCACTTTCAGGCCACTTTTTACCCCACTTACCCACTAAAGCCCGCTATATTTCCAGGCTACTCTCCTGTAAGCACGCTATAAACTATAAACAAGGAGTATCAAACCTTTAGAAGGCATATCCCCTGTACTTATAGGGGCAGAATCGCTAAAGGGCCCTATAATAGCTCTCTCATAGCGTCCGAGCGCTACGGTTGCTCTGCCAGCAGCGCTATAACCCCTGAAGATCTTCCATGAATTTTTAAATGTCTCACAGCCCTAATTTGGGGCTTTAGGCCTAGAGTTACAAGGCTAGCGGGCGTGGTACCTCAAGCCACACCCTGGAGGCCGCTAAGACACCTACGCGAGCGTAAATGCCCTGTAATCGCGTCACTTTATGCCGCGATCTTCGTACGTTAGAGGGCCTAAACGTCTCCCAATACCCTGTACTCCCGATACTTTATGCTGCGATCGCCGTGTACGACGAGCCCCCTGTCGCCCTCCGAGAGGAGGTGACACGGATTCTTCGAGTCAACTCCCCAGCCAAGCTTCCCGGGTTCGTTTCCCAGTCTCCGCTCTGCAGTGTGCTAAATGAGGGACCTGATTTGCGCATAACCAGTCCGGCTTTCTGTTCCTTGCTGTATGCAAGTTCGAACCATGGGACGGGAAACTCGAGCTGGGTGGTCTTGAAGCATTAAATCGGGGCCACGAGGTCCTTCCATATTTTGACTCCAATGCCTCATGCGTCCCAGCAGTTGGAGCCTTCTCTCTCAAGGAGTTCGAGCAAAGTCTCCATGACATAAAGCTGACGGTTTGCTCTCATGTCTGCAGCCCGACCCCCCTCCCAACTGCCTTGATTCTCCATGGTGGCTCGTCTAAGCTGGCAAGCTAGATGCCGCTGTGAAATCTCTCCAACAGCTTTCCCCAAAAGGATGCGAATCTCGAATACAAGAGCGCTGTTGCGTTGATGGTCCACACCACAGAGTTAGAAGCCGAGTTTAGAACGAGCTATCTTGATTGCCTCAAAGGCACAAACCTTCGCCGAACGGAGATTGCTTGCGTTACATTTCTCGTTCAGGTAATACTCAGATTCCCAAGGTCCTTCCTTGCCAATTACTAATTCTCCATTGTTCAAGGCCAGCAATGGAGGATACTCTGCCCTACTTCCTAACATATTCCTCTAACAAGCTGCCGTCGATGCGACAAAACACAGCATCGCTCTCCGAGGAACCGGTCTAGCATTCATCAGCACATGTTCTTCGAATCTTCTTGGCTAATCGTGTCACGCTTCGGTCGTCGACAAATCTTCCTCGCCGGTTTCAGCATTATGATCACATGTTTGCTCCTCATCGGCAACCTAGCACCAGTCACCCCAACAGAAGGGACCAAATGGGCTCAACCCGTGCTGTGTCTCATCTGGCTCGGCTCCTACTCTGCGAGCGTCGGCCCAGTCGCCTATCCGTTCCGCTGCCGCCAGGAGCGACATCGTAAGCGAATTTTCTCCACAGTTTGATCTGAAATAATCTGGCACGGAAAAAATAATAAAGTTTAATTCCCCTTTAGGATATCCAGATTACCCCTTTTAAAATAATTGCGTGAGTTTTTCTTTAATTCGTATAAATATCTAACTAGGTGGAATAAGTTCGTAGTGTGAGACTTTTTGAGGTTCTTAACGTTTGGCGGATGTCGTTCCTGGCGGCAGCGGAGCGGATGCTATTGTCGCGGAGATCGGCGCAGCCCAACCCCGCACCAAGACCGTAGTGCTCGGGGGAAGTAGGGGAAGTAGATATTTTGTGGGGAATATTATTGGCGGGGTGCTGGAACCGTATGATGGATCCGACGACGTGGAACCGGGAGAGCAAGACGGCTTTCTTTTGGGCGGCGAGTGGCATTTTGACGAATACGTGGACGTCATGTAGGTTGCCGGAGGCGAAAGACAGGACCTTTGCAGGGTTGGATGTTATGATTTTGAGGAAGATACCAGCGAGGAAGTTCGCGGGTGAGAATATGGAGGACTAAGGAGGATGAGATTGAAAGTATTTCCTTGGAATACCCAAGTAGGTATTTGCGTTGACGTTCGGCTGCAACAGGGAGTAAAAAATATCGCGTGCCGCCAAACAGTCCCAAACGTGACTCCAAACACTTCTAGTCGGTTCAACAACGACAAGGCGTATGATCGAAAGAAATACATAAACAAATTTGTTCAGAATCTAGTACTTAATGACATCCGAACGAAAGTGACTGGATGTTAAGAGAGGGGGTGAACCTTTGAAGTGTTTGCGAGTGGAAATCCAGTGGCTAGGGAAACTTCCGATCTCCAGCAGCCGACGCCACAGGGTCTAAGGATTGAAATTATCCGTCTAGTAAGGACAGATGTTTTGAAACCTACGAAGTAGTGATAGAAACGAGGAAGTCTGTCCTTTCTGCAAATTCGGAAAGACCAGTTGGAGTCCAAACAAAGTTGACTAGCGTGGAGATTCTCCTTTTCGCCCCTCTTCCAGAAAGCTCGCTTCGCCTATCGCCGGCACCTAAATGCCAGCTCCACCGCCCCTGAAGAGTCCCATACATCCCCACAGCCCCGCAATCTCCGCACTCATAACTACAGTACCAACTTTCTGACGGCAGAATCTTCCTGTGATAAAAACCAGAAATATCAACAACGAGCTCATTCGATCATTCGCAAAGAGAACGCGCCAAGTCTTGCCCACAATCCCGTTGGAGAGTCGACTTCTTCGCCAACCACCGACCTCCGACCTCCTAACTAAGCATCGGGCGCGAAAAGCCGGTTCAGCCTGCCGTGGCCACGTCCCCGCAATCCTCGCAGCCACGGCGCCTCCAAACGTCCACCCCGCCTCTCTGGGACCCTGCCTGGGACACTGCGAAGAACTTGGCTTGCCGCGCGAGCCAACCAGCGATGTGCCAGGCATCGGGCCGGCTTCTCGATCTGGAGTCGCCCAGCCTGCCAAGGATGACATGTGCTGCTTCTTCCACCTCTCGCCGCTTCCTCGGGCGTTCTCGTCTCCTTGACTGGATAGTAGTCTGAGGAGAGCTGTCGGTCCGTCCACAAGGCCAGCCCCGTCACACCTTGCAGTCGTGGACGACAACAAGAAGGGCGGATGTCGGTCTGTCCCACGGCTCTTGATTGATCGTCTGCCGCTCCGCCTTGTGAATGCGAGCGAGATGTGAGATGTGGGGACCCCCGGATGTCTGATGGATCCTCCATAAAGCTGGAGCTCTGCCCCATGTACGGAGCTTGTCAGACTGCATCCGCGTGCTCCTTGGGCCAGCCTTACACTTCAGCTCGGCCAGACTTCACACCTATCGTTCCCCACGGCAATCCAAGCAAAGATGGCGAGCAACGGCCCCCTCGAAGAGAAGCCGATAGAAAGCACTCACCACCATACTCCAGACAGTCCAGCGAACGAAAAAGCAGATGTGATTGAGGAGGAAACTGCTCATGAAGCTGCTGAGCGCGGGAAGGCCGCGACGGACAAGTAAGCACTGTGTCTCTACTTTTACTGGTAATCACTGACCATCTCCTCAGATATGGCCATTCTCTCGTCCAGTTCGATCCGGTCGCCGAGCGTAAGCTGCTGTGGAAGATTGATCTATACATTGTGCCAACTGTGGCTCTGCTCTACCTATTCTGCTTCATCGATCGTGCAAACATTGGTCAGTATTCCTTCGTTATAGAAGCGTGGTTATGGCCTCACCATCTCCTGCAGGAAACGCGAAAATCGCTGGGTTCCAGAAAGATCTGAAGTTGGGCGGCTACGATTACAACAGGGTCCTCTCCGTGTTCTATATCTCGTACATTGTGTTCGAGATCCCGTCCAACATGGTCTGCAAAATCGTCGGCCCAGGGTGGTTCATCCCGGCCATCACGCTCGGGTTTGGGATCTGTTCCATCTGCACGGCTTTCGTGCACAACATCCACCAAGCATCCGCCGTCCGTTTTCTTCTGGGAATGTTTGAGGCTGGCATGATGCCTGGTATCGCATACTACCTCTCAAGATGGTACCGACGAAGCGAGCTGGCTTTCCGACTCTCTCTTTACATCGTCATGGCCCCTCTTGCCGGAGCCTTTGGCGGCCTTCTGGCTTCCGGTATCCTCAAGCTCTCTCACTTCGGCGGTCTTCACGGCTGGAGAATGATTTTCGCGATTGAGGGTATCGTGACCTGTGGGCTTTCGCTCATCGCATTCCTCACCCTGACGGACCGGCCTGCAACCGCACGCTGGCTTACCCAAGAAGAGAAAGACCTCGCCATCGCGCGTGTGAAATCTGAGCGCGTAGCAACCACCGAAGTCCTCGACAAGATCGACAGTCCAAAGGTCGTCCGCGGGATCTTCTCCCCCGTGACCTTGGGCACAGCATTTATCTTCCTGCTCAACAACATCACCGTGCAAGGCCTCGCCTTCTTCGCGCCCACGATCGTCTCGCTAATCTACCCACACAACACCGTCGTGTACCAACAGCTCAAGACAGTCCCTCCCTACGTCGTCGGCGCCTTCTTCACCGTCCTCCTCCCCTTTCTTTCTTGGAGAGTGGATAGGCGAAACATCTTCTTCATCATCTCCGTCCCCCTCGTCATGATCGGGTACATCATGTTCCTGGCCTCCGACCACCCGCACACCCGCTACGGCGCGACCTTCCTCATCGCCTCGGGCGCCTTCAGTTTCGGCGCCCTCTGCAACGCCCAAGTAGCAGCGAACGTCGTCTCGGACACGGCGCGCAGTGCCGCCATCGCCACAAACGTCATGTTCGGGAATACAGGCGGCCTCATCTCGACCTGGTCATTCCTGCCGTTCGATGCCCCGAACTACCACATCGGGAATGGGCTGAATCTCGCCACGAACTCCACAATGCTGATAGCGAGTATTGCGTTGTTGGCCTGGATGCTCTGGGATAACAAGAAGAGAGAGGAGAAGGACGTCGATACTGAGCTGGCCGGCTTAACCGGACTCAGCATCAAAGAAATCCAAGATTTGGATTGGAAACATCCGGCTTTTAGATGGAAGCCATAAGTTTTTCTGGAGAATGTAACCTTAATGGGCTGAGGGAAGCGAAGTACTGTAATATGTAGCTTTGAGTCTTGAGTCTTGAGCGAACCTGGAGCTAAAGGACTTGTTTAATAGTTTGTCGAGCAATGCAATGTCAGCAGATTGAGTGAACCTGAGATACAAAGAAGCAACGCAGCTCTCAACTTTTCTTTGATGGCTTCAGTGAATCGATTTCTTTCCCGAGAACTTCTACTGCACATCGCAGATCTCGAACAGCATGATCTCTTTGAGAACCTTCAGGATTCCCCTTTAACCGCAGACCAAATCTTGAAAAATTGAGATCTCGATAGAGCAAGCTGCCTATCTACCTACCTACCTTCGAAAATATGACGAAAGACCGAGGCTTTTCGGGGATTTTCACTCACGCTTGCCAACACGGAATATCCTGATATCCTGCCTGCCTCAAGCAGAAAATTTCGATATTCGGAGGGAGTTTTAACAGATTTGGCACGTCGCGCTCAATGTCTGTCCTGGTTCAATCTTGCACTGTAGAATGAGAATCACATAAGATTTGAGACGGAGTGTGCCTCAGATGAGTAGATTCGAACATACACGGCTATTCATCTCAATTCCTTGGATGAGCTGTGCACATCCTACTCAACTAGCAAAATTCCATCTCATCTAACCTGAAGACGCGGTGAAACCCAAACAGAGTTAGAAATTATTCAATCCTCACAGTGAGAACCACAATCTTTCCAATTGCAATCCCGTACCCTCTCAGTCCTGACGTTCTGTCATTTGGGGTGAATCATTTTGCTGTCTCCTCAGATATCGAGTAAGGCGTGCAAAGGTGCACCAGATATCAAGCACGTGCGAGTGATGCAAGGGACAAGCAAGAAGTGCCCATCATGAAAAAGAGCATTTAATTGCTATGCTATCTGGTCACATGAAGGAATCGTTATTCAATCAATCTCCATAACCCCCGCTTGAAAACTTCGCTTTGCCGTCATATTCCAATTTGCCTCAAAAGGAAACCACTTATGCTCGCCTCGCCGCGCTCACTCGGCATCCCACTGAATCTTCATCGTCGTCGGGAACGGGAAGATACTGCTCTGATCCGCCGTCATGTAAAGCGTAAGCCCATACGGTCCATCCAGCGTCTTCAGCACGCCCTGGCTCGGCCCATACCAGCGGCCTCTCGGTCCGCCGCCTTGCGCACGCTGCACATTCGGAAGGGCGAAGACGGTCTTGAACATAGCGGTCATGGCAACCATGCTCGCGTCCATGCCGGCGCACTGGTGCGGGCCCCAGCCGTAGTGGATGTAGGAGTCCAAGGGGCGCGTGACGTCGACTTCCAGGGGCTTGGGGAAGGCGGTTGGGTCCTGCGAGATGAGGATGATGTCGACGAGGACACGGCCGCCCGGCGGGACGGTGAGTGTGGAGGTACCATCGGGGATGGATGCTGCGCCTGCGGCGCCTGACGTGGGCACGTAGTCGCGGAAGAGACGAACTGTTGCGCGAAGACGAGCGCCTTCCATGAAGCTGGGGAAAGTTAGTGTGATCTGGGATGATAGGGAGAGCCACGCACTATCGTAGGATCAGGTCATCAGCCTCTTGTGTGTTTGCCTTTGCAAGCTCGTGTAACTTTGGAATGTACTTGGCACCATCTCCCAAGTAGTAGTCGAGAGCCTGGCTAAAGACTTGGGATTGGTTGGCTGTCATTGATGCTGCAATTGGGAGGCTTTTCCAATTAGCGCACCTCTTGGTTCAAGACATGTTGGACTTACATATGGCTCCAGACGATGTCCTTGACCGGGAGCTTGTTTTCAAGCATTCTCTGGATCATATGAGTGCCATAATCGGTCAAGGCGCTTGTCTCGTGCAATCTGGCGAGTATATCTGCGATGAAGCCTGTCGCTGCAATCGCCTCGGCATTCAGAAGTATCAACTCTCCGAGTTGTTGAGCAAGCATGTGAGCAGCTTCTCGGACCTGGAAACTCTTTGCGATATCAACATCGAAGAAGATGCAGATGAAGCAGAGGCAGAGAACTTGGTACATCTCTTGCTCGGTGTAGATGCCCTTCGGTGTCTCCTCTGTCTTGATCGGCAGACTGAAGACTGAAGCTGCGAATCTTGCGTTTACAAGGTTGGCAACATCTCGCACAATGTCGACTTGGCAAGTCTTTGTGCCTGGGACCTTGTAGCTATATGTCTTGAGAAGTTTCGCGGTCGTTTGCTCGTAAAACTTCTTGACTTCTTGTTGCCAATTCTTGGGATACAACCCCTTCTGCACCATGACTCTTGAGGCTGCATTTGGAGGGTTATCACCAGCCAAACAATAGTCAACACCATTCTTTTTCTTCGGCTGACTTGTGAGGAAGGTAATAGCTTCACCCCAAGTCACTTTCCAGTTGGCCTTGTCGTTGAGAATCTTCTTCGCAGCAGCATACGATTTAACCACGATAAGATCCGGGACGCGAGCTGGTTTATCCCATGAATACTTGTCGGCTCGGCCAAGGGACTTCAAAATGTCCAGATTCTCGCTCGGGATGACGAAGGGGAAATGAGCATAGACGGAGTTGCCCTTGAACCAGTTCGGGAAGGCCCTCAAAATGAGTTTATAGAGAACAGCACCGTCATCAACGCTGGTATCGTATTGGACTTCGTTGTATCTAGGATCCTGTCAGTATGACCAAATTTGGATATCAAAAGAAAAACATACCCCCAGTTGGTAAGATTCTTTGGTGTGTAGTCAACGGTGTAGAATCGATCCCCTCTTACCAAACCTACAGCATCCGACAGAATCGAATACGAGGTTGTAAAGTTGACGCAGAGACCAGATCCTGGAGACTTTGGAGGCTTGGCCTTCTCTGCTACAAGACCGGGATATAATTCGACAAAATCGGGACTGTCGTAGAGATTCTTCAGCTTCTCAACGACTGCAGCGTCCGGGTTGATGTCTTCGAATGTTTTGTGCGGCGTGAGGCCAGCGAATTGACGGAACTCATTTAAGGATGCCATATTCCAGGAACGGGCTTGGATGATACCCAAAATCTCAATTGATCGCATGATTTTGGGGACCTTGTTTGCTCCAAAGGAGCCAGCAACGTCAGAGATTGAAGATTCCAAGATTTTGACTAGGTCTTCATCTCTAAAGGAACCATCAGATTGACGTTTGATGCTGGGATCAAATTCCCTCACTCCAGGATCTTTAGGAATCGTTTTTTCCCAGTCTGCAAGTAGCTGTACAATTTCGAAAACACTCGATGGGGTCTTGGTTCCTAGTATCCGCTGGAAAGCAGCCTCGGTCCACTTTTCGTCCTTCTCGGATATAGCAGAATGCCATCGGTAGACTGGATTCACTGTAAGCCCATGGCTTACAATATGATCAATGCTACTTACTCAAGTTGAACTCCGCAGACACTTGATTTCCTGTCCCTTCTGCAGCCGGAGTGTTGAAAAGTGTTTTCCCCTCCTCTGTTCGTGGATCCAAATCCCATTTGGTGCCTGATCGATTCAAATTCAGAATTGTCCTGACATAGTCCTTCAAGACAACGTTGACATAGAGACCACATGTGATCAGGCGGCCAGTTTGGAACAGGTCATTGTCGTACTTAGTCCATGCATCTTTGGCTGTACCATCTGTCGGCTTGGTGAATCTATTATTTTCATTGATCCTGGTACCTTTAGTCGCCAGTCATTACAAAAAACCCGGATGAAACTTACGCTGCGAGTTGAGTGACCACATAATTATGGAAGCGATTGAACATGATGAGGAAGACACTGACTCCCGGAGGAAAGCCGAGAACTCTCTTTTCGGAAAAGGTGTCCGGCTTGAGCTTGCCGTCCTTGAACGTCCTAACCGCATCCTGCTCCTCCTGACTGCTTCCATAGAGAGGAGCTAGATCCAGATAGCTGCTAGTCAATGAGATATTTGGATCTTTATGGGACTGAGAGGGTCAGTATCATAAGTTGAGACAGATGTGGTGGAAGAAGCTCACTGTTCGGAATATGTCATGGATGATGATTGTTGCCAAGTAGAACAACATGCTAGAGATCTTATTGGGATGCGGCTCAAACTTGTCTCCACGATCCATCAAGCTATCGAATATGATCCCCGGATCTGGAAGTGCGATATTTTGCAGAATAACTGGCTTTGCACTCCTCGCGTATGGCTGACCTGCCTTGCCTAAATCAGGGAAGCGGATGTTATTGTTAGCTCCATCGGCATCACGGTACTGGTACTGTGATCCCAGACTCGATAGTGGAGGGTGAGGAAGAGCAGCCCAGAGGTTGTTGATGAATCCACCAGTCAGTGAGTGGGCGAGCGTGGAATCAGCACCCAGCTTGCTGAGGAGCTTCACCAAGCGCTCCAGGACAAATTTGTCATCATCTTGGTAACCCTTGATTTCGGAAGTGAACAAATCGAGGAGGGTTTTAAGGTCGTCTAGGCCGACTTTGTGAAGGTCTTCGAATAACGAAGTGAGCTTAACCTTGTCTGGATCATTGGTAGGCTCGTACTTCGTGGTCGGGATGGCAGCATGGGATTTGTGGATGAGTTGCTCCACAGATTTCAGCGATTCTTGGACCTCCTTCCGCCATGAATTATGCTCTGTGCTAGACGTATCGACTGGTTTTGAAGCCATCGTTGGTGGGGTGATCGAGATTTGTCCGAGATGGTCTTTCTGTATGAAAATAAAACGCGATGGTTTGGTTTAGAAGGAGCAGAAGTAATGACTTTGAGTGAGTTATGCGTAATCGACTTTTCGGCTAGTGGACCGAGAAGCAGCTGCCTGGAAGAGGTGGGTCTCAGCTGTGATGAGCACGAGGCTGGTGTCCTGGGAATGAGGCTCAAGCAGACGGAGAGAAAGGAACACGCGGGGCAGGCACGTCTCAAGATTTTAAGATGGGCCTTATCAGCGGGGGCTTAGGGTGATAGCGGCAGCGAGGGGCACGAGGGGCAGCTCTATCTTATATACCGCGCAGAATTGAAGAAGGCTAAGGTCTCAAAGAGGATCGAGCTGAGCTGAGCCGGCCGTCCAAAGGATTCCGCCCCACCAAAGTCACATCTCTCTGCGAATCAGGGCGACACAGGGTATAATGTGTATCCCCATCACATGCTAGGCATATGGCTTCGTGGGGTGGATTCTGGACTTGCATGCAGCGATGGAGTGATTTTGCTCCAGTTTTGTGGATGGGGCGCCGTCTGGGCCGCTGAGGAGCTGCACCAGAGCTGCACGAAAGTTCAGCTCGTCTCAGGGGCAGCTACAGGGGTCACCAAGCGAAGCGGCCGGATTGCGCCCCACAAACGGCTGACCCGACGTGAGAGTTCTCGGTTTGAGCCAGCCAGCCCTCACCGATACTTCCTATCCTCACTTCAGTCAGATGTCTTGCGAGTCTCTCATGGTTGATCTAAGCAGACGCTATCTCAACAGCTCAGCTTACCCCGTATTCAGTTTACATGCGGCCGATCGGGAATTGCTGGTTGTACGGCTCCTCTCGACTTGGGCTTTACGGTGATCTTCAATGACAGGACGGGTTATACAACCATTTGGATAAAGACGAAATGTCCCAGATTTGGACGGTATGCTCATCATATTTCTTCAGCATGTGAAGGGGCTCATCGGGGCGCCCGACCTCTGAGAGAAAGTACAAGGGACTGGCGAGGCTGACTTTCGACTTCAGGTGACGAGATGATTCCTCAAGGTTGCCCCGCATGCAAGGCTGAGCTTTTGGTGTAAGCCCACACAATGGCGACTTAGTTCACCACAGTACGTGGTGCAGCATGAGTATCACTTCCCTATTTCTGCTCGTGTCCAGGAGGCTGAGACCATGTTTCCTGGATTTAGCAGTAGCCACTTGATCACTGCGGATTCGAATAGATGTATGGCTTTAGTGATAGGAATACAGGAAGCTCGGCGTCAGCTTATATTGATATGAGCACGGGAACTCTTACTTTAAATAGTTCTAAGGCGGATTGTCTTCATATTCTCTCAGAGCATCACGTGGTGGTTCCTTCAGGTTCTATTCTGAGAGATTCGCTTAGCTGCGCAATTTGAGTACCGTGGAAGGATCCACTAGCCAACCGCCCACCTCATTTCACTACCACAATGGTATAACCCAAATTTTGAGTAGATATCCTGATCAACGCCTTAGTACAGTAAAACCTCGCTATAAGGATACTCGATATAAGGATAGCACTTTAGGATCCTAATAAAAATTAGCTCTGAACTAAAGATATCCTCACTATCTTTTTGTCCGGTTGGACATGCCTACGCTAGCGGCCGCATAAATGCAGATGGCTTGATTAGAGGAGACAATTATATTCTGGCCTAATAAGGGATATTTGCGGCTAGCTGCTAGTATAGGCATGTCTCACCAGACGAATAGATAGTAATTCTTGAAGTTTTTAGCATTTCCGTAGTACTTCAAAAGTCTCAAAATTTTGGTATTCTAATAAGGGTAGAAGTAGATGCCTCCAGTAGGCGGTTTTAATAGCGAGACAAAAACAATGATAATACTGCCTCATAATCAATTCTAGCCGCACTACCAGTTTTAAATAGACGCGTACCTATTAGGATATCGAAAATATTATAAAGTATTAATGTGTAATAGGATTCGCAATTATAATAAAGATATAATAATAAATCATATTTTCAAGGCCGGCGGTTAGGGGGTTTGAGCAGTTGGCTAGTGGATTCTTCCAATTTCGATGTGGCTGCAACCGAAAGGGAATCTTTGCCGATGGTGCGGCTGCCACTTCTTTGAAGCGTCGCAAAGTGTGTTCAGCGCCCTCGGGTTTGACTTCAGCTCATGGCGTCTTCTAGACGACCATAATTCAAAGACCCGTCGAAGTGTATTTGCGCAGTAGCTGCCCTCGCTCAACAGTACCATGGCTCCACCATACCTGTACCAGCCGCTCCCCTCTCCTGATTCCATGCGTCTAATATGGCTCTTCGATGGCGCCGACACAGATCCTCTTCGCTGTTATCTCGCCATAATGGATAACCGCCCCATTGCTCAGCTCGTTGCGTCTCCAAATACAGAAATCCGTTATCCGCCTGAGGACATCGACGTATCGACCGTCGCGACCGCTCCGCTGGAATCGGACCCCGAGCACCGTCCTGTAATCCATTTTGATGCGCTGTCATACACATGGGGCAATCCGTACTGCGCACTGGACAGCAAGCACAACGGCCTTCAGGACTGGGGCGCGACTCTCCAGCTAACGGTGGAGTATGTACAGGACGGGGTGAAGCACGAAACGAGTTTACAGATCGCGCCGAACCTGGATGGAGCACTACGAAGGATACGGAGGTATTACCGTGAGGAGAAGCAGAGGAATAGATTTGTCTGGGTTGATGCGGTGTGTATTAACCAGGAAGACATCCCTGAGCGGAACGCGCAGGTGAAGTTAATGGGACGGGTGTATGGACATGCGAAGAATGTGATTGTGTGGCTGGGCCCGGAAAACGAAGAGACTGCCGCTGGCATTGCAATTATGGAATTGCTTTTTACGAATGGCAAGTTCGCGTTTTCGAACATAGCAAATGAGGACGAGCAGATGATGGTTGAGACAGCAATGGAGCAGCATCGGCAGGTTGAGCGGATAGCGCGAGAGCAGCACAGTGTTCTGGAGAGCAAATCGTATGGCAACTTGGGCATCCCTGTCATTTCACTCGAGGAGTGGGCAGCGGTGTATTCAGTTCTGACCAGGCGCTGGTTCAACCGGATGTGGATCGTGCAAGAAGTTGCGCTCGGCGGTGTATACCCTCGAATCTTCTGTGGCGATTTTCAAATCGTCTGGCCACTGATATCAAGAACTGTGCATGTACTTGCAGACACAGGATGGATGGTAGAGCTTTCTCTGCCCTCTTTGCTGGATGGAGCGCAGCAGTGGCCACTGTTCAGGGCACTCGAGCCGCTGTCTGCTCGCAGCATTTTGGATACCATACGTACGGAAAGCGACAATGACATGGTGAAGCTGCTGCATAAAACAACAGAATTCCAGTGTTTTGATCCGAGAGATAAGATCTACGCCCTTCTTAGCCTGACGCCCAATGTTGCCAATGCAATTGTGCCGGATTACAATAAGTCCGTCGCGATGGTGTACACGGAAGCAGTAAAAGTCGTTATGAAGACTTCCTCCGATCTATACTTATTGGGCTGGGCGACCAAAGCTTTCAGAACGATCGACTCCGAAAAGATGCCTTCTTGGGTTCCAGATTTCAACAATAATATCTGGCGGAGTATATTGTCCACGCCGAAACTTCCGTTCAGTAGCGCTGGGTTCGAAAACGCTGCAAATATACATCCGTCAGGCTTTGGACAATTATGTGTAGATGGGTATATATTTGACGTGGTCGAAAGTGCAGGGGGTTCTTACTATGACGCTCTGAATGGAGGTGTTATGGAGTGGCTGGCGATATTGGAAGATCTCCCACTTAATTATGTCACTGGAGAATTGCTGGCAGATGTAATTTGGAGGACTATGTTACTCTTCAGCGAAGTCGGTACCAAATATCCAGTGGCAGAGCAGACCCGGAATGAATTCCGAGTCTGGTTTACAGATGTCCTTGCTCGGGCACTACTTAGCAACATCAATCAGAACTGCCGCGTCGACGGCGGGTGGCTCTCAATCAAAGCCGACAATACTGAAGGGATGAAATATCTACAGTTGCAAAGGGAAGCCTTGATCTCAAACATCAACAGACTTCACAAGAAAGGCGGCGCGTTCCCGTCGGCGAAAGAAGTGCAAAAGACAGCTGAGCTTTTCATGTCTGTTCTTCAACCGCACCGCGCACAACCACGACGCTCATTGAAATCTCTTTTTAAGACAAAGGAGAACCCACCCCGCACTTTGCTGCGAACACATGGCGGCCCGTGCAGTTCACAGCAATCGAAGAACTTTGAGAACTTCCTCGGCACGAGAAATAACCTCAGTCGCCTCTATCGAACTTCTAGGAACTACCTTGGCGCAGCGCCCTCGCCTGCACTATCCACGGAATACGGAGGCCCATCTCAAATTGTCGATGGGAAACATGAAAGTCTGGTAGGCGTAGGAGATGAGGTTTGGATACTTCCTGGAATGAACACTCCTGTTCTACTGAGGCCGAAAACGGATGGCGCATATTTGTATCTGGGAGTTACTTATGTTCATGGCATAATGTTAGGCGAAGCTATGGATGGGAGGTTAACTCGCACACAGATAGTGATAGAGTAGTAATTAATTTAATTGCATGCGAATTTAAGGATAATAGATAGATACGCTTAACAGCGATTATTTTCGCGTTATCTACTAGTTAGGCCCCCTAGAAGTCGGAATCTCCAAATATTGGATTGTCCACTGTCCCAGGTCGGTAAACCAATGACACCTGAAGTCAAGATATCAAGGCTTCAGCAGGATCAATGTCCATCGACGTGTTCTCCGGGATATGTTCACGAAGAGCTAGCCGCAACTCTATTAGTACGGAGACAACGGCATAAAGTGACGGGAATCCAGGGCAAGCTCGCAAGTTCAGGGGGCACTATAAACCCAATTTCTATAACAATTGGCCACTGCAGCCGCCTATATCTCTAGGTCTCTGCCCTAGGAGAGCACCGCAATCCATAGACAATGCTATGAAAGATCTTCAAGGTTTATAGCCACAGGCACTACAGGGCACATACACTGAAGTCGCATGACTTTATGCCACGGTATCCGTACCGGCTAAAATCTCCCTCTTGACGGTAGATATAGTTGGCGGAGGAGGATTCGATTTTGCTATTGTGGTCACTACAGTCAACGCAAGCCCAAACTCCTTTTTGGCCGCATCGCTGATCTCGGGAGGGAAGGTGTGGGATCGAGGATAAAGGTGGCACCCTTACTGAGAGTGAGGAACAGCGCATGAGTAGGAGCAAGCGGGTGTTCTGGATCGACAGCGATGGCATCGGGATGCTTGATGCGAGGGCTTTTGGTCTGGATTTGTGTTGAAGTCGCCATTGTGCTGGTAGAAAGAAATAATATCCCGTGATTATAATTTATTTTGTGAAAGGTTGAAGGTTGAGATAGAGTTGTGAGACTAAGGGAAAGTTTAAGTGGGCGAGCGGGGCGAGTCGGGGAACATAAACGAGGGGATGGGGGAAGGTGGGGTGGTGCCACGCCGACTGACTGGGAGCGGAGCACTGCAGTACTCGTAATCACGATGGTGTTGTGATGGTCACCTCATTGTTGGTGAACTGAAGTTCCAGGCCTCGAATGGATGGAAGCACAATTCGCGCAAGTACGTGGCTTGGCTATGAGAAAGAAAGGACTTTCCTCACTCACTTAGCTCCAAGCGTCATCATGTACAGTACGAGAAGAAAAAGTCTCAGCAAGCAATGCAACTAAAAATTATATCCACCGCACAAATGCCCTCATTTTCCCCCATACCAATTTCCATGCCATGCAAATTTTCCTACCCCCTATGCCGTGATGCAACACAATATGTTTCCTCTTAGCCAACAACACCAACAACATTCTCAAAAGTGGTATCAAATCTCTCCTCTTTATGAACTTGCTATAAAGCAGTCAGTATCTCCCTCCGAGAACTTCCCCTTTCCCCAAACAATACAACCCACCAAACAAGCGAAGAAAGTGAGATTTAGAGTTCAGGTAAATCCCTCACCTCAAGCATAGCACACAACGTCAGTACGCCAACCAAATCCGAGATTTCTCCAGAATCAATCACGAGAAGTCCTTCTTTGCCGCCAGCGTGGCCGCGTCCGTGGACGTGCTTCTGTGAGTAGCGGGCAACCTCGCGGGCACGTTTGGTGATTGGCTTAGCCGTGGTCTGGGTCTCTGGTGTTGAGGTTGAGCCTTCAGTTACTCCAGCAGGTGTTGGCACGGTTTCGGAGATCTCGTAGAGGTGCTTGTGTTGGTGGTGTTTGGACTCTGCTTCCCAAACGTAGGTTTTCTTGTTTAGGTCGAAGGACTAGGGAATCGTTAGTTTGCGATCTAGGAGATCTCATCCAGTTCTCGCTTAGTGTGTAGCTGAGAGAGATGGATGAGATCAGTATTCCAGTTAGGGACGAAAAGAGGTCGAGGACACAAGGAGATGGGTTGGAAGATTGCTTAACAAGATGGCAAGAGATAGGGGGGAAGTAGAGAGCCCAACGCTTGCAAAGCACCTTTTAAGAATGAGGAAGGAATGAAACAAAACGGCAAAGGGTGTTCATTCACGTGACGATACCAATACTTCCAAGGCTCCAAACACGATTTTTGAGCAAACACAACAAGAAATTGAATAAATGGGTAGAATATGCAACACGCAAGAGTATAAATTGCAAAACTCTGAGATAGCCCTTGAAAAAAGACAAATTATTGAACAGAAATGAATTTCAGTCACGAGATAAAAGCGTAAATGCAAGGATCCAAACACTTGAGCAAATTGCAACAAAAAATAAAAGAAAGGGAATAGACAAACCTCTGAAATCCTATCATGGCCAATAGAGTTAACCTCCACCGTCTTCTGCCCAGCCTCCCCATCAAGGAATTTAATCGTAACCTTGCCAGCATCCAGACTCAAAATCGGGTTCTTCCACTCCGCGACCTCCTTGCCCTCTTTATCATGAACCCTCATATGCGAACCGAGGAGATTCTCCTTCTTGAGCGTATACAGAGTTGGAGGAGCTGGAGTTCCATCAATCAATTTTGTAGCTTCCTCGATGGCAAGTCCGGTGGAGGGAGAAAAGAGTGAAGAGAGGGATGGAGTAAGGTCTTGGATGAGGATTGTGTGATGCTTGGTGTGGGTGATAGAGAGGGCATGAGTGGGCGCTAGAGGCGTGTGAGTGTCAAGTGGGACGGTCTCTGCGGCTGTCCCGGGCTCGGCCATTTTGGGGACGGCGGCTTGTGGTTGCGGGGTCGTCATTATCAGTTGATTTCGATTTTGCTACCTTTGAGTTGTCGAATTGAATGAGCTGTGAAAAGTAGAGATAACAAGAAAGCTGTGGAGACTTAGAGAGAATGCATTAGGCTATTTATACGATTTCATTCGACGTGAGAGGTGTTAAAGTGGGCTGATTGTTGGTAATTTTTTGGCGTCAGCTGGATGCTTGGGGCAACAGCTGGTGTTGTGGTGGTGTGATGTTTGGTGCACGTGATGAGGAAGTCGTGTAACAGATGTGTAACGGCGCCGAAATTGGAGTGAAAGAGGGGTTCTGCTTCCAATTAATTCAATTAATTGCTCACACTTGAAACAAATCGTTTCTGGGCTTTAGTCCAACCATTGGAGCTCCGCAAGTGTTTGGTAGAGGCTCGCCTACCTGCGGGGAGAACACTTCAACATCAACAACCACCTTGTTGCTTATTTCCTTACACTAAAAGAACAAATAGTACATTGGGTGGTTCTCTTCACCTTGCGACCCCCGGATTCACAGATTTGAGAAGCCACTAAAGATTGTCCACCCAGATTTGGGATGGCTTGATTTTAGTTCCCCCAGGCGTGTTCACGGCATTTAAACGACCGCAAAAGTCTTTTCGAACTGCTTTCTAGTTGGAGTTATGAGAATTCTTTCCGTAATTGGTTTTTTTATAGTTTCTAACTTGGATTTTCTACGAGTTGTGCAGAGACATCAACCCCAAAAGTCGACAATCAAGCACTCCGTGCCCTACCACAACTCGCATGAAAATCTCAACGCCCCGAAATCGCACATCAATGGCGTTTTTTACCATCTTATTTACTTCGGGCAATTGAAATCCTAATTATGTAACAGAGGCCCTTTGCGCTGGCAGCGGGAGCAGGGAAGTCCCCGCGAAGATCAGCAAATCTCAGGGGTACCCCTAATTAAGCGAAGCTTGTAACACATCATCCCTTGAATTGCATCGAAGCTCTAGGATGTAGTTTCTGAGTCAACCAAGCAAGAAGAAATGACGTCCTGTCGTGCGCGAATCGTGAGTAACATACATAACAACTGTCGTCAGTCATTTGCTGTCGCAAGCATACCGTCTCGGACAAAAACACCAATTGGCTTTCAGCCCCCAGAGTTAACGTGCGTTATTACCAGCGATGCGGAAGGTCGTCGGAGACAGAGCTTACCCCTTTCGCCACCAACACACCAACCTCTTCCCGCCTCCGACTCCTGATCGCCCTCCCCTCGGAACCTGCTATGAAGAGTTAGGCGAAGATGAAGATGCAGAGATCCCGATGATATACTACTCCCTATTAATCCAAACACCCCCAAAAATACCTTATGTTTCTGCAGTTCCAGAACCAAGCACGCCGCCACCTTTCACTTTCGATATGGAGCGTCCTCCCACTCTATCATCAACCGCACCAGCGAACCTCACAGGTCTACTACAAGATGTGTTGGGAATAATGAACACGATAATGGATTCGCGAGCCGAGGTAGGGGAGGAAGATGCGATCTTGCAAGAGTTGACTGAGTTGGTGATTGTCATGCAGGAGGAGGCTGAGATGCTGGTTGAGGTTCGCGATTTGATGAAGGAATATTGTGAAGGAATGGAGGTTGAGGTTGAGGTTCGGGAAATGGAAGTGTGGTGCTTTGAGTTGGGGATTGGGAATGAGGATGGATTGAATAAGGAGACAGAGGTAAAGAGGTTAGGGCATGGAAGGGGGGATTCCAGGCGGGGACTGGATGATTATGGTGATGGTAACTTACTAGGTGAGAAGATTGAAGGAGGTGATTTTATGGATGACAGGAGTTTGGAGGAGATGAAAGCACAGAGTTGACTTGTTGAACCTATCAAGGACTTTATGGCTTGCAAGAGCTTGGACAAGACGAGATCGTTCTCAGAGGATATTGGAAGGCCATTGGGCCAAGAACCTCCAGCGATTCTGATAAATCTACCAGATCCACCTTCAAACCAATCTCTGAAAGATGCGATCGCTAGATAGAAGCCGAAGACGCTAAATAAAGAAAATCCTGCGCCTAAAACAAGGCTGGCAGCGAAGAAGAGAGGAAAGGAAAGAAGAAAAGAGTACCGCCCCCATTCCGAGACTCGGGCTTGGGCTTTGCAAGTCCGAGCCCACGCGGAATTCCTATACCTAGAACTCCAAGGTGAATTTAGTAGGGATATTTGAACTGTTCTTAGACTACGGGAGAGATATGAAATGTGAACATAGTTCGGCAATAAAGTTCAATTACAACGTTTTCAGATGCACACTGACAGGGACTACAAGAATGTATCGCTTAATCGACTAGAGGCACTTCCGAACACTTCAAAAGTTCAAACATCTCTGAGCAAAAAGGATGATCATGTCCGAGTAAAATAAAATATTTGCGATGTCGAGATATCAATGCAGTTGGCTCGATCGCCAAAACGCACCTTCAACACCTGAACACAGGTTTCCCGACCCACTTGGACCTATAGGCGGCCCGGAAGAGCCCCCTGGGTTCATCGTCAGGTAGCCAATACATTGATATATATTTATTGTTAGAAGCATGTCCAATGCAAGGTTAATTTGTGGGCCTTTGGTTTGCTCCAATCTAGCGGAACAAAGAAGTTAGCACACTTAAGCTGGGTGAATTGGTTCGGGGAACAATCTGTCCATTAGATTGTCGGGGGAACAATATGTGTTGGCACTGCTGCGGTGGCAACTACAATCGGGTGCGCCAGACTGGAACAATGGCCAGTAGAAACCGGGACATATTTTGGAAGGATGCTATTCTGGTGAAATGTAGATCTTGAAATATTATACGATGCGGGTTTGAATGATGGGCATGGTCGGAATGTGGTTCTGAGCTTTGTTTTATAGCAGGCAGTTTTAGCAATACTCCCGAAAACTGGAAGATATTTTAGGACGTTCTTTGAGTCGCTCCTGCCCCGGTCTGGGAAGCCTTCGGGCACACCGTACATCAGCGTCTTTGGTCAAATTAAATCTTCGTCGCGAACAGCACTCAAGACCCGGATGTGAAGGACCTCCCGGACAGTCCCCTCGTTGCGTGGGATTCACTGGTGCTGATCACCCAAGACAAACATCCTTTTCGTCGAAGATCATCTTTGCAGCTCGAATTTTATTTTACACCACTTTATTTTGTAACTGGAAATTGAAGCGTGATAAGTGGCTGGGGTGTTGTCGATTTTGGGACACTGTTGCATTCTTTAAGGTCCTCGGATGCCTTTTCGATGAATTCAGCATGCGAATATTGATACGAACGAGCCCGCAGAGACAACTTGACCAGTATCAACATCAAAGTAGACTTGGAACATGCATTTGGGGACCCCCTGTTTTAGCGAGCTACCGTTCCTGAGTTGTGCACGACCCGCCAAACAAACCCCCTATTTTACCGAGCTTATGGAGAGCTACCCCTGAGTGCGGACTACCAGCACTTCGGGTGCAGTTTTCAGCCAAAAAATGAAAGTGGTGGGAGCGATGTGGCACTTTGATATACGAATTACCAAACGAGTCCTGATATGACGTGACCAAGAATTGGCATTTCTGTATACCATATATGTTCAACTGGACTTCCATGCGGTATTAGTGATACTAGTATTCACTGCCCTCTTTTTTTGCCGCTCGCCTCCTCGGAGTTATTTAGAGTCATCCTCCCCCAGCTTGGCGAGCCAGAATTCTGTTAAAGCTTGCAAAAATGATCGTCGTATTTCCATCCTCAAGACAGTCCATTGTCTCACGTCATGGCTCACAGCAGTTCACATGCCACGTTTGAAGTGAGTTAGGAAGCTTCAAATTCGCTTTCTAACATAATGCAAGCCAATTGAACCTTCGGACACAGATCGAAAAATGTCCGAAAGCCCTAGATCACACCAGCAAGAGCATTCCATGGCAACCTCAGAGTCTCTCCCTCCTTCGCAGCCGCAACACTAACACTTCCATCCGGATTACGATAATACACCACAGCCATTTTCACAATATTCGGAAGCCCATCGAAACCCATCCACGCATTACTCGCGTCTAGTCTCCCCTCCCGCTCAAGTTCCATCAATTTCAAGCCTGCGCTGCGACCAGTCGAGTTCTCTGCATCAACAAGCGCATTCTTGATGCCCCAGACAAGAGCAACGATTTTGCTTGTCGGCTGCTGCACGAATTGTGCGCGATAATTGTCAACAGGCTGGATGGGAAGAAGTGTAATCGCTTCATTGTCTTCGACGGTTGCTAAGAGTTGCCATGGCTGTTGCCCATAAGAATACAATATGGAAAATTGCTTTATTTTATTTGGCATTGGGTCTCCGAAATGGTAGGTCAAGGCATCGCAGCGGAGTGATAGCGTCTGCTGTGGAGTCACCATGCCACGGACTTTTTGCGTGATGTCTTGATCACACCAGCACGCCGCATGGATGTAGAGGGGCGCGCTTCCTTGAAACGCAGGGCTGGTAGGGCGGGTATTCTGGTTCACAGGGGGGCTGTGGCTGTGGTGGTGGCCGAAGATACGGCCGAGGACAGGTGGGAAGCCGCGCTCTGTGGTCGATTTCTCCTCATCTCCATATAGGCTTCCCTGGGGTTGAGGAGGATGCGAGCCGCTGCGTGCGTAGGGAGGTGGAGAGGGTGGGAGTGGCGCTTTGTTCAGAGGGTTCTCCCAGGTGGAGGTCTGCGTTGCTTGATTGAAGTAGTACCTGATGTAAGCATTAATTGATGTTCAGGATAAATTAGATGTTAGGAAAATTGGATACATACCAAGTGTTATACTCACCACACCACTCTGCTTTCCATCCTTCAGGCACTGGTGGCGGAGAAGCCATGGGCGGAAGTGGGGGCGGTGGGCCGGACATCGTCATTTTGCAACCGATTTACTCTCTGGCAGTTTTCTTTGCGGGGATTTTGCTGGTTGGTTGAAAGATGTGCAATCTGGGGAACTGCGATATATGTGAGAGGCAACAACATATGGGGCAGTGCTCCCATCCTAATTAATGGTGAGATTTTAGAGGTTGCCATCGTACTTCAGCGACCCATTCTCACTGTTGCCTGCAAGCAAGTGCCAAAGCTATGCTAATCGAGGCTCCACCAACATGAGAGGCAAAACACTGTACGTAGGACACCGATCTCAGATTGCTGTCTTGGAATTGAAGTTAAAAAAAACTCATTCAAGCTGTTGACATATTGAAATACTCTTCGAAAATATACCCAGCTAATCACGATTAGATATGCCAGACCCTAACTCTTTCCCCTTGATGACACAGCACTGGCCTGGCAGTCGAGACCTCATCTTCCACTAACGGATCAGCATATGAAGCTCCAATTGGAGAGTTCTTATCCTGAACCTAATATCGCCCGCGTGGGTTTCTTTGTCGGTATCACTTCTTGTACCGAGTATGCGGATCGCATCAATCTAGGCATATCAATTTACCCCCTCTTTTGTTAGCGAGCTGCCCCACGTTTCAGCAAAACGGTTGTCAACCACAACTTTATCTGTTGAGTATTGACAAAGACACTCACAAAAATAGCCTTCGATATAGCTTGCTCACATCCTTACCACTCTGCGCTTTTAACCTCAACATGTCAGCTGTTTCCAGTCCTTCCACGAGCACGAAACCCACCTGCCCCAACGACCTCGCTCTAGCTTTACTTTCTCACCTCTGCCAAACAGCGTCATTTCATCCCTTCAATAGTCTTCCCACCGAATTTTGTTAGAAGATCTGGTTCATCTTCCATTGCTTCTACCCACCAAGAAAGATACCGTTTGGCTTCAGCTAAGGAGCAGGCTCGGCAAAAATACCTGAGGCATCGATACCGGTATCGATAGTAGAGGTATTTTTCAGGTATTGCAAGGAATCGATAGTATTAATACCAGAATCGATTCTTACCCCAAAAATTAACTCTTTCTTTTATTATTTAAATTATATAATAATATATTATTATATAATTACTTTAATTTCTAGTCTTTCTATTAAAATAAATACTTACTATTATTAATAAAAGTTAATAATATCTTAAATTTAAAATAGCCCTCGTATTCGGAGAATGAAGCCCCGTATTCGTATTTCTTATCAAGACGCTAAATATATAAGCGAGCCTCACGAAAATCTCAAAAGCTCATTTTTACTTAAAATAGCCGCATTGAGATAAGTTTTGGTCTAAAATATAAGATAAGTAGCTAAATAGAAAGCCTAAATCAAGTAGAATATTTGCGCTACCAAAAGTTTTCTTATAAGAGAAGTGGTTCTAAAGTTAATTGCAAGTAAAGGGGGGGAATTGGGTTCGGGGAATCGATACTACTATCGATACTATCGATACCTTACGATTCTGGCATCGATACCTATCGATACCGGAAATTAAGGAATTTTTGCCGAGCCTGCTAAGGAGTTTACGGCGAGAATACTAAAAAGCGTGCAGAGATCGACTAACAACACTTACCACATATCAAAAGACCTTCCAGCAAAATCTCGACGACCTTGCATATATATCGAGAGTCGCGGAATTTGCCCTTCGTCATTCCCGGCCGGCTTTGAAGTCGAGAAACGCGAGTCCGTGCGTCCCAATGCTCCTTCAGACATCGGGTTGAATGTTCCCATGAGCAAGCGGCCGTCGGTCGGAATACTGGGAGTTACCGGAATCCAAACAAGGATGTAATGTTCGTAGAAGATGCTTGTCAAAGCGCATTGGTGGAAGGCACATAATGCGAATCTGCACCAGGACAAACCATCGGCAGGTATCTGGGGCGGCAGCTATGGCTACAACTCCCAGAATATCAGATGGCTGGCGTTCGAAGTTAAGGTGTACTAGTCTTACTTCCACTCGTTACAGACAACCTCGTGGGCAGGCGTGGATGTCCTTTTGTATTTGATACGGATCTTGAAGAGATATTTAGTGAAGAGGATGCCGACGAATTCGACAACACCATGAAGATGACATTTCGCTGTTTTCCTGCTAAACTCTCTGGAGTTTTCAATCCCTTGCTGGTAAGGGATAAAATCTTCGAATCCTCCATGCAGGTGACTATGTTTTAGCTCTGTGCCGCAAACGACGTCGCCCTACTCCGCAGTCCTCAGCATTCGACCTGGAGGAGGATCTACCAGGAGTACAGCTTGAGATTGTCAATCGGCATCTTTTTATACAAAGGAGAGACTTACCACTCCAGCCAGCGTCATCATATTTCGTTGACCAGAATGATGCAGCCCCACTGACAATTCCGATGTTGTGGAAGAAACCCCATTTATCTCTCTCTCCCAGATACAGTTCCCTGAGTCAGCGACTTACTCGTCTTAGACTTTACTGGATCCCGGTTTCTCTCAGGATCAATTTATTTGAAACCGGGCCTATTGCAACATATACCGGTTTTTAAGCATTACCCTTCTCTTTCCTAGATAGAAAAAAAAAATAAGATTCGAAGCAATAGGCGCAACTTGCGCAAATGAGTAGATGGATTGCAAGAGAGCTCTTATCTTGAGAAGAATCATATTCTTTGCTTCTCTGATTGCTTGCACTTACAAGTGGTCGTATGCTGTAATACACAGAGTTGAGTATCATGTCGTCCCAAACTCCCCAATCTAATCCGGCGCCCCACGTTGAGAAAGCAAGTCTTGGTATCATCACCCAACCCATCCTTCCTCGACCCGTCCGATATGTACTTGGAAGCCCCCAACAACTTCATGCTCAAAGCACACCATTTCGACCAAAGCGCGGTTTAGAACTCCCCACCATTCACAGCGCCACCACTTAACATTCTCGAGCTCCACATCCCCACGAGGCCCCACATGCCAACTCGCCATCCTCTCCAGAGACCAGGCAGACCTTGCCCTTTCATTTCTTTCTGGGTAACCTTGAGCTTGCCTCTCCCCTTAAAGACTGGGACTTCTCTTACGCCTTCTTCCCTGACAATCAACCACATCGTGCCAACCACACCTCTGTAGTTGCCGACTTTGACTATCGTTTCTAGATCGCCTTCCCACTTGCCCAGTTCTCTTATCATAGATTTCTCTTGTTTCAACACTGCCATTTGACCTCTCCTTAGCACCGTCTCTAGTGGCAGTTTTATGAATAATTCAACGCTTTTGGACATGAAGCGAGCGAGCTGGTACGTATTTGGTGTTAAGAAAGGGTCGATGGCCAGACGGGACCGGAGTAGTAAGGGGGTGGTATGCGAAATGGCAGGCGTGATGAGAGAGTGGAGGATAGTTGGGACTATGAGAGGTGTTGGGCAGAGGTAGGAAGGTAGCATGCGGAGTTGCGACGTGAGTGGTCGCTTCGGGTGTGATGTAGGGGTGAGGATGAGTCTGGCGTTGTTTATCAGCAACAATCCATGAATTTAAGGAGAAAAGAAGTACGGGGGAAATGTACTTTGTTCGAATAAGGTCCAATGGGGCCAGTATAAGCCCCGTTGCTACTGCAGCAGCGATTGCTACCCATAGAGAGGCCCATGGATACGGTGAGCCAATCAATTCTGCAGACATCTCGAGTCCTGTGGTGAGATCCGGATCTGGGACATTGAGAAGAGCTGACAGAAGACCCCTTGACCATTTCTCAAGCGTCTGTACCAAGACACTGTAGACGAATGTGGTATTGGAACCTTTCCATACTCCCCATCCTCCTTCTTTCGTCCATTCCTGCGATATTACTTCCAATATCGAGTCCGGTCTCTTGAGAATAAGTTGGTGAGCAGGAGGTGAGTGGTCTTTCGGTAGAGGAGAGGGGAATGAGTTTTCGCTACCATGCCGCCTTCGGGAAAGCGGAGGGGAGTAAGAATGCGAAAGGGGGGCTGTGGAAGTAAAGTAGGCAGGTTCGTCAGGATCAGAGTCATCTGAAGGATACTGTTTGCAAGTTAGCTCAAGCTCTTTTGCACCTTTGGGAGAATCCATACATCACTATACGCCGAGTTCCGATAGCCAGACTGTCTTGAGCCAGTATTTCGGACAGCCAAAGGGATTGATTCATCTTCTAGATCATGACTCCTCACTTGCAGAACCAACTTCGCAACATCGAATGGCTGGGCAAGCAGGATGCTTGTATATTTGTAGAACCAATCATCAACCTGTTTCCTGACTGATTCTACAGCCGTTGGTGTATTGTCTGACAAGTAGTCCCCATAATCAAGCTCCGAGAACATATCGCGTGCAGACGACGCGTAGGATGCCGCGCTGCCATTCTTTGGTCCCAGTCCATGCGTTCCGGAGCTCGTTGTACCTGGAGTATCAATCGGGATTCCTATCGATGGAGGCCTGTAGTACGGCCGTAGAGGGTTTGGTGTGTCCCGTGAAGTCGCCATTTTATCTAATGTTTTGTTACATCAGAAAAGGGGAATGTGTTGTTTGCATGAAGCGGAGACCAAGATTCGAGATATCGACAAGGATGTCATCGTTCGCAAAAACGTTGTTCCGAACAACAATTTTTAGAGGTGGAGCATATGAGCTACCAACAATTCTCTACATCATTTACAATATTGGGAGAACAACAAATGGTTATGGCTGCTCTCACCGCCATTCAGTGAATATCCTCTCTGCAGGCTTCACCTACATACAGAAAAACCCTCGCCCCTGCAACGAGCTTTCTTTCGGAGACCGCGGGCGAACTTTATCTGCAAACGCGACTCGCAAGAAGCTCTCAGTTGAGAAGAACACGGAGAAGGCACCACCATGTCTGCTGGGAGAACTGTAGCTCGAAGTATGGCGGCACTGGGAAGAGGGACATTTAGAAAGCCATGTGCGAGATCATATACCATTCAAGCTCGAGCTTCATCTTCAATATCACGAACAAGCCCAATTCAATCCTTCTTCACCATTTCGACCCCTCGCAGTACCGCGCATAAGATATGCCACGCCAGGAGTTCTGCAGGGTCATTGCAGGCTCGGCGAGCATTCTCAGCAACACCAGCCGCTTCACATGGCCATTTGGATCCTCCGAAATCGGGCGAAGAGTAAGTGGAACATGGAAGTTAGTGTAAGGACAAAATTAATTTTTGGGCAGGCTCTATGTTACTTTCGTTGATAAGGAGGGTGACGAGCACAAAATTGCAGTAAGCAAAGGCAATAATCTGTTGGAGATTGCTCAGGCGCATGATATTGAGATGGAAGGCAAGTCAAGCACATCCTACAAAGGGCTTGATGAGATGCTAACAAGAATATCAGGAGCTTGCGAAGGATCTTGCTCATGTTCAACATGTCATGTCATAGTCGAAGACGAATCAATGTATGATAAGATGGAAGAGGCATCGGATGACGAGAATGATATGCTGGACTTGGCTTTCGGCTTGACTGAAACGTCAAGATTGGGATGCCAAGTTGTCATGTCAAAAGAATTGGATGGGCTACGAGTGAGGCTACCTTCGATGACAAGAAATATGCAAGCCAGCGACTTCAGCAAGAAGAATTAAGTGGTTGTATCATGAGTCGAAGAGGCACTTTAATACATGACTGAACTCGGGAGGATTTTGATGATCAGCATTTGGGTGGAGCATTTAGGGTTGATAGATAGGGCTCCTATCTGTAGGGTATCATTAAGGGTATCATTGATGCCCATGTACAATACATACGGCGGATTGCATGTACATAAGACAAACTCATTGGAGTCGCATCAGAAGATGCTGAATCGAACGCCACATTCCCATCTCAACGCCATACCGTGTAAGACTTTTATCATTATGCTTCCTCGATCGTTCCAGATTTCAATCCACCTCCGCCACCAGCAATCAAGTCCAAGAACCCCTTCTTACTCATTTCGTTGACCTTTTCTTCCCGTCTTCCTTGACCTACTAGCCCTTTACTCCTAGCTTCCCTCGCGGCCTCTTCACCCTTAACCTGTGCAGCCCTAACCGCGTTGAAGAGCTTCACCACACCTCTCTGAGCTGTCTTTCTCAACCTCTTTTCCAGCTCCATCGTTTCCTGCACAGTCTGACCATCTCCTCTCTCATTCGCAGCATCGAAAGCCGTACTAGTCCCAAGAACATCCTTGACTCGTCCTTTATCTAGCGCTTCCCTCTTCTCAGCCCTCAATTTTTGCTTTGCCTTCTTCTCCAACGCCAAATCCATGATTTCCTTACTTGCTTGTAATGCATTGGCACTTCGGGAGAGGACCGGATCGATGCGTTTCGAGGTTGATAATTTCGAGCCGAGGATCTTGGACATAGAGGTTGCAAAAGCTTCTGGGTCATTGCGTTTGCGCTTTCGTATTAAATTAGGATTCTCATTTTCGTCGTCCTCATCTTCCGAACCAGATTCTGAGTCCGAATTTGATGCATCAGTAACCTCCTCCTCCAATTCCGCCTCGTCGAGGGCGGGCTCGTCATCTGCATCTGACCCATCTGATCCAACTAAATCTGTCGTGTCGAGTCCCTCCTCGTCAGAGTCTTGGAGGCTCACAGCCTGGAAATCTGTTTCTGCTTCGTCTTCGGAGGAGGACTTGTAGTCGGTTTGTTTTTTGAATTTTTTGACTGGTCGAGAAACCTTCCCCTTGATTCCCTCTTCTACTTTGCGCTTTTTGGAGAGTGTTCCTGCCATTTTGTGAATCGATTGAGTGTTTTGGTGCTTGTGATGATGGGTTGACTTTTAAGCTTGTCGAAGAAAAATAGTTTGGAGTTTTCGGAATCGGCGAAAAGTTTCTCCGGTCTTGGCAACGGACACCCCGCCTTCGCCCACAATCGCTCTCCTTCCAAAGACATCGACGACATAATACCAGAAAGACAGCGTCGCACATTCACCAAAATGGTTCTCCAAGATCTTGGGCGGCGCATTAATGCGGCAGTCAGTGACCTGACGAGGTCAAGTAACCTCGATGAGAAGGTTTGAGTCCTCTCTCTTGGCACTCACATCATTCTGACAGATTGTAGGCATTTGAAGGCATGATCAAAGAGATCTGCTCAGCTCTCCTCGAAGCGGACGTTAACGTAAAACTGGTTGGAAATCTACGAAAATCGATCAAAGCCTCTGTCAATTTCAAAGAACTTGCGCCAGGTGTGAATAAGAAACGACTCATTCAAAAGGCTGTCTTTGACGAACTGGTCAAACTCGTCGATCCTCATGCCGAACCGTTCAAACCTAAAAAAGGGAAACCAAATGTTATTATGTTTGTTGGACTACAGGGTGCAGGAAAGACGACGACATGTACGAAACTGGCCAGACATTATCAATCGAGAGGATTCAAGGCGTGTTTAGTTTGTGCCGATACCTTCCGAGCTGGCGCTTTCGATCAGCTAAAGCAGAATGCGACCAAGGCGAAGATTCCGTATTATGGTTCCCTAACTCAGACTGACCCAGCGGTTGTGGCCAAGGAAGGCGTGGAGAAGTTTAAGAAGGAGAGATTTGAGATTATTATTGTGGACACATCTGGTCGACATCGACAAGAAGATGCCCTGTTCCAGGAGATGGTGGATATTCAGAACGCTGTCAAGCCAGACCAGACGATCATGGTTATGGATGCCAGTATTGGACAGCAAGCGGAGGCCCAAAGTAAAGCTTTCAAGGAGACGGCGGATTTTGGTGCCATCATCATCACCAAAACAGATGGACATGCCAGTGGCGGAGGAGCAATTTCAGCAGTTGCAGCAACCCACACTCCCATCGTGTTTATTGGAACTGGAGAACACATGTTGGATCTGGAACGATTTGCCCCACAACAGTTCGTTCAAAAACTGCTTGGAATGGGAGATATGCAAGGACTTGTCGAGCATGTTCAATCACTCAAACTTGACCAAAAAGATACGATGAAGCACATCGCCGAAGGTGTTTTCACGGTGCGGGATCTACGGGATCAGCTTTCCAATATCATGAAGATGGGACCTTTATCGAAAATGGCCGGCATGATTCCGGGTATGAGTGGAATGATGCAAGGCATGGACGACGAAGAAGGCTCCATGAAGCTCAAGCGAATGATTTACATTTGCGACTCCATGACCACGAAGGAATTGGATAGTGATGGCAAGATGTTTATCGAGCAGCCTACTCGCATGACCAGAATAGCTTACGGCAGTGGAACGAGTGTTCGGGAGGTGGAAGATCTGCTTACCCAACACAAGATGATGGCTGGTATGGCGAAGAAGATGGGTGGAAACATGAAGAATATCCAGAGGGCGCAAGGAGCAATGGGTGGTGGGAACAAGCAGCAACAAATGGCCGCGATGCAAAAGCGCTTGGCAAGTATGGGCGGCGCTGGTGGAGCTGGTGGTGGAATGCCAGACATGGGCTCGCTGATGAAGATGTTGGGCGGCGGAGGTGCGCCAGGGGGTATGGATATGAATGCTATGATGAAGCAGATGGGTGGTATGATGCCGGGCATGGGAGGTGCTGGGAGAGGGCGAAGGTAGCAACTCGCTGTTCGAACATCTGAGATTTACAGGACGGGCATATAGCGCGGCGTTTGGGCTCGAGTGGATCACAAGATTAGATATATCGACCAGGGAAGACGTCACAGACGAATATATCCCAATGTTCTCGATCCTACCGGTACTTCTTTCGTGTCGATTCAAGGTATGGCGAAGCTGCATGGCTTAGGTGAGCTCGGTGCCAGTGGAACGAACGTGCCCACTATTTGCTTCTTGCGGCCTCTCCTTTATTGGCTTTTCAGCATTCCAAGGTAGCTTACTTTGAGATTCGCCCCAAACGCTCAAGTTTTCCTTGATGTGGTTCTAATTAAATATCCCACGCCCCTTCTGTCCAACCCTTCCTTCAACTGTTCAACATCGCAGCGGACCAAGCTCCTCCTTTCCCCTGTCTTGATTATATGCTAACCACACCGGTCTACCTCACTCATCGCATTAGCTCATCACCTTAGTTCTTCCTAATATCCATCACAATGACTCCCCCTCTTGCCAAAGGGGAATATGACGTAAGCTGGATTTACGACCCAGCTCCAGAATCAGTCCATACCACTAATCTCGTCAACCAGGCCAATAATGGGGAGTATGCTGAAGATAAGCTGTCAGATCATATCTTCGGAGTGATCCTCCGGGCTTTGGATGAGGGCGGTCTAATCGAGGAAAAGAACGCGACCTTGTGTCTCCAAGCTCTGTTTTGGCACAAAAACAGAAAGATATTGAGTATTCATCAAGCCCACGAGCACATTGGACATCCATTCCTTGGCCCCGACGGCCGCGTTCTTGCTCTCAAAGGCCGTACTCTATGCGGAGGTGCCAGCAATCTTCAGACTTCCAACCTCATCCCTACTCAGGTTAATGCCCACTCCCTAGTGCGCAAATTGACATCAGAGAAATCCCTTCACTGGCCGCGGTAGCGGAAATACTACATAAATGAGGGTGAGCAGTCGTAATACCAAGGATGAGCGTGATGTATTTGTCGAATCACGTACTTGTCACCCCGGCCAATCGTCACTTCCCCCTGCCCACGTTGCTCGTCTTCTGAGGAGGGGCTTGCGGCGAAGGAGGTTGCGTCTCGATAGAAGATCGTCTGCAAATCCCGTCCCTTCACAATCTACCAGTACAGGCGATTCTACGAAGGAGCACAAACAGCATACTTGGAGGAGAAATAACATGACCAGCAGTGATAACTCCGATTTGACTCCGAAGAATGGCGACAGGAACAACAAAGCTCATGGAGAGGAGGGTGTCTTGCGACTCGAGCAACACATGTATCATAGAAAACAAGCGAAACGAGGAAATCAAGTTATGCACATAACAGCAAGGGAGCACATGCAGTGGAATTCCTCCGAGGTAAAAATACAACCATGTCATACATCCAACTTAACAATGATACTTTCCATCCTCGATCTCTCCCTCTCGTCATCCTCCCCCCGATTTTCATCCTCGTGCACCGACACTCTGACAGTTTTCACAATCTTCCCATACACCGTCCGTTTTTTATTACTTCGCTCTTCCTCATCACCACCCGTCCTAATCCAAAACGTAGTCCCAACTTCCCCCCTTCTCCCTTTCCCAAACTCCCCCTCATCCCAACTTTCTAACTCAAACGCCTCGCCCCTCCCTACCCCTCTCCTTGGCCCAGACGTCGCAGTACCATTCACATATCCATATCGCTTCGATACTCCATGCTTAGTTCCACTCTGTCTCAAAGTCCCTCCACGATTCAAAGTTTGAGATTCGGAAGGGAAGAGATTCGGAGCAATTTTCCGGATGAGAGGACGGATAGCGGGTGCCGAGGCGCAGAAGAGACCGACACTAACTTCAATGGAGGTCCATGTTGTGAGGTCTGAGACGTCCCCTGTTCTACCTATTAGCTGAGGAGAGAGAAGGGACCGGTTAGGGACGTTGTACATGTTTTATCGTTGCTTCCATCGAGCATGATGATTCGGTCGAGGCGTATGCAAGCGGCCACGATGATGAGAACACCAAGGCTGACGACGCCGAGAAGAATGATTTTCTGCTTAACAGGTAATTGAAGGGGTACTGATGTTTGTTTTAGCAGGTAGCATTGCACAGAGCAGTTAGTATCTGGGGAATTTTCAGACATACAAACTCTCGGTATGACAAACACCATCAAAGATACATCTGCAATGACGCCCGTGATGGTATTTGCGTAAAAGCTGGCGAGGGGCGATGCGCAGGTTGGAGGTATTGCCCAAGCACCAGACACCGGCTTGCAGGAGAAAAGAAAAGTGAGTTCAATAACGAGTGCTGTGATGGTGATGAACCCGAGGAGGGAGTAAATCACCATCTTACTTTGCTTATCTTGAAATACTCGCATGTAGAAAGTGCATATCCCCAATTTCGTGATGCAGATCACAAATTGATAAATAATTCGTGATATAAATGCGAGTTTCAATGTTGCGATAACGTCTGGAAGAGTTTGCAAAAATGAATGGCGTCCGGAGCCAAATTTGACGAAGAGACAGTCCAAGACGGCGAGACAGAGACTAGCGAGCTAGTGGATAGTCAGCTTCTTTCTGGGACGAGAAGTGGCATCCAGTACCCATGATACGGTTATTAATGTATCATCCCAACCCCAATTCTTCGTGAGAATGCTTCTTGTATACAATCTTGCAAGTACGAAGATCGTGCTGAAGATGGTTGGCACTATGGTGCCAATGAGGACCCCGAGCACTCTCGATTGGGATGCTAACACATCTTGCTGTTACGTACGTCAGTCTTAATAAAATGGCAATGAGAGAACTGCTATGATCGAAGCCGAGTGAAGATTTATCAAACATCTCCTGAATCTCTTCTAGTAAAAAATCCGATGTTCCAGATAAAGAAGTCTGGCCAAGAAGAACGACTAGTCAAGGGTGACTTACAGACGACATCGCAACACTGCCAGGACAGACAGTTCAGAGAAGGTTTCTAACATCAGGTTGAAGAAAACCAACTAAGATTGGGGTTTCCATGGAGAAGAAATATGGAAACCAAAAAGTTATCTCTTGCTTTGAGACGAGTTCCCTAGGATTGTGCCGTCTCTTCTGGGAAGCATGTTGTGGAACAACTCTTGTTTCTACAAAAGCTTATTGGGGAGGAATGATCTCGACAGGGTTTCTCCACTTCGAGAAAAAGCGGAGGAATGATAAAAGGTTCTAGGGCGGGAATATAGTTCAGTCGGGGCTGCCGGCTTGGAACATTCACAGTTCGAAAGGGCGTTAGTTGTCCACTTATCCACCTAAAGCAGGAGGTGAACAGACAAAGTCCGTCGATCTGTGGGGAAGGACCGTTCTCCGGCTTGTAGATCAGTGCGGGGAAGGACCTTTCTCTGTCTTGCAGATCAATGCGGGCAAGGAACCCGACCTGATGGGACTCGGGTTGTGGGGCATTCTACCATTCTAATTAGGCTCGTCTGAGATCTCAACAGAGCAACGGAACGAATCTCGCCGCCCGCCGGTAGGATAACATGGTTACGTGTTTGCTGTAACGGCCACCACGTCAGAAAAAGGCTGGTTGGATGAACGGGACAAGAATTAGAAAGTATCATAGAACTCTACCCAGTAGTGTGAATGAGCATCCGCCTTCAGACTTGCTCTAAGAGGAAACTGTTGAGATATAAGATGGTAATTAGATGGCTTTGGAAATTGAATCTATGTACTTTCCTAATCCTGGCATCTCGCAATATCAGTTCTTCAATGCGAAAAGACTTCTAGGTGTCACAAAATGGAGCAACTTTTCACCACAGACTTGTGTAAGGCTAGAACTGAGCACGCTCACCGCAAGTTCGCATCTCCAACTTACAAGTGGCTGGGCATTTGACGACCCTGTAAATAGACGGAGAAGTTCAGGAAGTGACGTTGAAAAGTTGCGAGGACTAATTCTGGGCGGGAGACTTCCAAGCGCATCATCGGTTTGCCTCGGTGCTTTGGCCCCCGATTTGGTAGCGATATCCCTCCCCTCTTTCATAAATCGTTTCAAAACGGCGACTCTGAAGCGGAAGCGAGGTTCAGATTACGCAATTCATCCCAGTCTACTAAGTATCTGCGGACAAGTCTTCTCAGCTTGGACGGCCTTGCCAAGGACGGGCGACGCAATTGGATCTGGTTGGGTTATCGGTGTCAGGATTTCTCAAGAGAGACAACATCAATTGACCAACTGACTGAGACCAATTCTGTGGACGATGGGTCGCGTAATTGGCTGAGCCGCGATAGCCACGTCCGGATGTTGCCAATTTCCGATGTTGAAAGACGAGAGCGATGAGTTGTCCAGGGTCACCGACCTATCGCCAGACCGACACTATCATGAAGCTTGTGCGATTTCTTTTTGGTGAAAAAGGCCAGGCGCAATTCTATTCGCTAATTCCCAATCAGGTGGCAGATAGATTGTAAAGAGATTTGTCAACAAGTCGGCATTGCATTCGCACAGCTCAATGCCATGAAGTTGAACTGGAAAGGCAGCACCCATCTCGAGCCATGTTTCTTTCTCCCTTTCTAGCTGGGGACATGATGTAGTCCAATCCGTGAGTTCAACAACATGTAATTGATGCATACGTGATCCAAGGAAGCAAGCTTCACAGCCAAGCTTGTTGAATGTTGAATATGCCCATACCACAAGTGCAGCCACAGACAAGGCTGCGTATGCCATCGGATCCAAGGTATATTTCTTAATCGTCCTATTCTCCTGGAGATCTGGGCTCGAATTTTGGTGAGCGTGAAGGATTGCCACGGCATGGCACAGTGCTTGCCTCGCTGTAGGGGTTTCAACCCATTTTTTGATGTGTGCTTGACGCTGTTCTCTGGCTTCACAATGTCGCTGAGAAGCTTCTCTAAGTGGATCCAAAGACTGATCATTTGCAAGTTTAGTGATTCGGCCAATCTCGGCGTACAAATGAAGACTGAACATGTTATATAGCATAAATGTATCAAAAAGGAGATCTTTGACACGTGCTGTAACAACGTTCTGCCATCCTGGCCGAGATCGGTCTTCATAGCCAAAATAATGACGAAACGGCAAGCACTGTTCTTGACCAAATTCCGCACTGTCAGAGTTTTGGTTTGCAATTCGATCGAGTATTTCCCTTAAGGACTCGAGGTGTCTTCGTTGAGTGTCTTTTTGAAGGACAATGCTGATTTCGCAGTCGCGGGAGTATTCACGGTGATCCGAGACCTTCCAAATACTGGGCTGTATTGCGCAGATATAAAATTGAATATCCTCAATCAATATTGGATATTCCCTGAATATTACCGAATCCGAGGCGCTTTCGTGGATCATGCTGTGGAGCGATTTGTCACACCGAAATATAGGCTCATTTGCTTGTCGACTCTCCCATACTGGTAGCCCATCCGCGTTCCAGAGTGAATAAGTTTGTTGAAGACCATAGTGCAGTTCTTCTGGCATCAACACTGCTGGTTGATTGCGGACTAGGCTGAGACACGTGTCGATCTTGAAGAGATAGGCAGATAACCTGTATCGGTCTAAGTCACTTGAGACCTGCTAGGTTAAGATGGATGAACTTACCTCATTCTCTGATTTATCTTTACAAGCTTGAAAGGAAGAAAAATCCCCGGCTTTTCATCAACCCAGACAGTATCCGGATCGAAGAATCCAACATCTCGAAGAACCGCTACAAGTAGATTTCGCAGCATCATTACCCGAGATAGTACCGCCTCACGCTGTAAATATGTTAATATTGTACTTACCGGGACTGGGTGTTTTACTTACACCGGTATATAAACCGAAGACGATGTTGAGTAGCGCTGATTGGCATAAACAAGCTGATAATGAATGTTGAAATTTGTCTTTCGCTGTAACTTTGGACTTACAATTGCATCTCAGTTAGCGCTTACCGTATTCTGATTGAACCCTCTGTAGGGAATACATACCAACTGAGATGTGATCCCGCTGACCAACTTCTCATGTGAATCGAGAGCACGCTTCTTCGCTTCACGACTCCCCTCCAACCAAGCTCCGATCATTATCATGGATGATAACATGATCGTGACAGGAGTCTCCGCTTCAAGTGAAGAACGATGAATTAGTGGCCATCTGTGATGGAAATGAATGTAATAAAGCTCCAAGTATTTTTCCGACTCCGTATCTAGCGGGACCTCGAGCTCCGGGTCCAGGACTTGGGAGTCATTTCGATCGTTCGAGTCATTTCGGTTCTTCACCGCTGACCAGTCAACTAAGCCGTTGACGTTGGGTGCCCGAAAAAGAGAAGAGCTCGTAAGAGATAAAGCTTGCTGGGTGCTGTTATCGGCTAATACTCCCATTAGAGGCTCACTAGATCCTGGTGGGAGCCGGGCGGAGTTCCTAAGGCCCTCTGTGTTGGCATTTGACGCGTCGGATGGCTCCTGCTCCTTTGCGGAGGACCCCGAAGAAGTCGATCCTTGCCAGGCCATCTGATCTCCCGGCTCTACAGACGAGGCCGACCGCTGAACCTCATCTTGAGTTCTATACTTGCATTCGAGTCCTTTCTTGAGGCAGGTTGAACACTTCTCATTTCCGTCACACTTTGTCTTGCTGGCGTGGCACACGATGCATGCCCTCTTGCTTCTTCCAGAAGGATTCGGCTTAAATACGTTGCCATGTTTGGCAAGATGGCGTAAGAGGCTGTCGCTGCTCAAGATCAGCAACCAGGCCCCAGAATTCGAGAGGAGGATCCGGGAGGGAGCTCACCTTCGATTGAACTTCCGGTGGCAGACATGACATGTCTGAAGATTTGCTGCGTTATGACTACGCTCGTGACGAGTCAAATGCTCCTTCCGCGTAAAGGACCTGCCGCAGCCAGTGGTCTGGCAACGAAACTGTCGATGTTCCATTTCGTCGAGCAGAAGCCTGCGCGACTTGGCGTCAGGGGAGGCTTCGGCCTCCCACTGGCGGCTTCTGGTGGGCGAGGGAAATGGATGGACGTTTTGGCTCTGGGTCTTTGAGGCGATAGACCGTTTTCGTGCCAGGACACCTTCCGGACTTTAGATCACAGCGCTGCTCTAGTGGAATCGTCATGAGCCGGGTGGGATGGTGGTGTTGCTTGTTGTATTTGAAAGAAGAGAGGTGTTGACGGCATCCCACAACTACGGTCATCGCTTACGCCGGAGCATCATTTCTTCCGCGCGTAAAATTCAACTGCCGGTTGCCGCAAGTTTTTTTGTCCGAAATGACTGTTGCTGTGGGCGGACGTGGCGGACCCCCGGCTCCCACGCAGCTTGTTTCGTTTCATTTCATTCGATGCCGGCTCGTTCCTCCTCCGTGTCTCTCAAGGACGAGGACTCAGAACCACTGCGGCGCCACGTTGACATCTTGACTGACGGTATAGATCAGACTCTGGCATTAGAAATCCTGCATGGATCCAATTGAGCTAAGCTGCGCCCAGTTGAGGTGCAGAAAGTGTCCGAGAGTCTAGCTTAGAAGAAAGCGTAACAAGCTCGCCCACAACACAACAAGGCGCCCATCACAAGGCTGGTGGCCGAATACACAAAATATGATTGGCCACATGCGTTGCTTTTAGCTTTCTTTAGACCCTTGTTTTGAGTTGTTCAACCCCAATCCACCGTCTCTTCTGTTGGGCTTCTCGGCTTGGGGAAATTCTGGTTTGAAATCCGGCCATGGCATGACCCTCGTCGAACTCAGATTTTACTAAGCGTTTTTTATTATTGAGTTCGGTATTCCACGCAATCTGGTTTGATTAGAAATATTGCAAAGGCCCGCCAGTTATGGCGTTTGAGGAAAGGATATAAACCACCTCAGGTGCCTTTGAGGGGGTAGTTCCTCCACCATCATCGCAGCTTCTCTAGTTCCAAGTCTTGCCACCAACGCCACACATCTGAATCTTCTCATCACCCTTCTCAAGCAACTGGAAGCTCGATAATGGTTGTCATCAAGAACGTCGCCGTCGTCGGAGTAAGTGTTCCTGCCGCCCTATGGTGATTCTAACTGAACCGTGCTGACTATCCCAGGCCTCCGGAGTAATTGGAGCGCCGGTTCTCAAAGCAATCATCGACTCTGGAAAGTTCAACATCGCTGTCCTGTCTCGTGTTGGCTCCAAAGCAACGTTCCCGTCCTCGGTCAAAGACATCCCCGTCGATTACACCTCAGTGCAGTCTCTTACCACGGCCCTCAAAGGTCAAGATGCAGTCATCTCAACTGTTGGAACTGAAGGTCTTCTCGGCCAGAGCGTGCTCTTTGATGCGGCAGTCGCCGCAGGAGTAAAGCGTTTCCTGCCCTCTGAATTCGGGTCTGATTTCTCAAATCCGAAGACAGCCAGCTTACCAATCTTTGGTTACAAGGTTGCGACACGAAAGCACATCGAAGAGAAAGTCAAGGCAGGCGCCGATATTACCTACACTTACGTCGTCAACGCGCCATTCCTGGACTGGGGAATTGAGGTCGGATTTCTTCTCGACTACAAGGAAGGGAAGCCTCGTATCTACGACGGCGGTGATGTTCCATTCAGTGCCACAACTCTCGCGTCTGTCGGACTGGCAACCGTGGGAGTTCTGACCAATTACGACGAGACGATAAACAGGCAAGTGATGGTTCATGATATCGTCGTCACCCAAAATCAATTGTTGGCCATAGCAAAGAAGGTCGCACCAGAGAAGAAGTGGGTTCCCGTTCCGACCAAGACATCTGATATGCTCGAGGCTGCCAATGCCGCTCTAGCGAAAGGGGATCTCTCACTGATGTTTGATTTCATTATTGTGGGGAGTTATGGCAGATGGATACGGTGGACGGTTCGAGAATGTTGAGAACCAGATGTTGGGAGTTCCTGGCAAGACCGAGGCCGATATTGAGGCCATATACAAGAAGGTTTTGACTTAAACCCGAGTTTTGCAGCGACCAAAGTAACGTTCGAAACTTTTAAAGGAGAATCGAAAGAGTGCTGAGCTATATTCCCACGTTCTTCGTCTTGATCTTGATTTGTGGTTCCAAAGGGTCAGTTGTGATCAGCCTTTGCAAGGCCGTAAGCGCTGAGGAGAGCAACAGCAGAGAGTCGGTATGGTAGCCCTAAGCATTTTTGTTGGTTCTGGAAGACCTTCTCAGAGATCAACTATTTTCTGTTCGGACCCCACCATATTTGGCGACCATCCATACTGCATAGCCATGGCTTGAGGCCAACTCGAGGCTCAATTCGATACCACCATGTAAGTAGGGCCGAATTGCAGGGAATCCCGTTTACCCAAATTTTTATCATCGCATTCGCTCTCGTACCTGCCTTGGGTAAGTCCAGGCTGCATCAATAAAGATTTATAAGTTAAATAAATAGCCCTGCTGGGAAACTTTGTTTCGCGTTTATTCCAGCGTCATTTCACACCACTTCGCAAGTGCTTAGCAGAGGATTTCCGGCCCTTCCAAACCACAAACTCATCATTAATTGCCAATCTCCGACCTGAAGCCCCATCATTCTGTTGTTGCGATTCTATTGAGGGAAGTTTTAGTTAGCAAAGCGATTGCGTCAAATTTATTCCCATTGAGACTGTTTAGTTGCAGCAATTAGACTTGGTTGTATTGCCAGCAAGGTATAATAATCTTCTTGCTGTCTCAACCCCATCAACTTCTAGGACTTTGAAATGTAAGGCATTTTAGGTGACGCGGTGTGGCCGAGTGACTGAAACTGAGAGTTTCTGAATAGCACCGCGAGCTAGGAAGACTCATCAACACAATTCCGATCGCCGCGCCTTGTTATGCAGGATCCGCATACAATGTTTACAGTGCCGGCAAATGCACACATATTACGGACCAACGGTCAAATTCGTCTCTACAGCGCGTGCCGAATTTCTTTGAGAGAATTCGCGCTAATATAAGTTACAGCACGGAGATCCTACGTCAATGATGTCCCCTGTATTCGAAGGTCTCATTGCTTGAAAGAGATCGCTTTCTTACCGAACTTTAATGATGGGCTGGGTATGTTGGTCCTGCGTTCATGACTGGGAGTGGGGTTCAGGCTTGGGAGATTTATGAGGCTGCTCATGCGAAGGGGCTGGCTGTTGGTGGTGGCGAAGGATGAGTAAGTTTTCCTGATTGCCCGCATTGTTGGCATTCCTGACGAATTCCTTAGACCGTAGGAGCAATGGGAGGGTACAGTAAATTCAAAGAGGCGGCCACTCACCCCTATCAAGTATTTACGGCATCGCACCCTATCACGTTCTTTCCATGAAAAATAGACTAAAATAGTTTGACATCAGAGAAGTTCGTCACAGCATCAACGACTCAGAACAGTGATCTCTTCTGGGCTCTTCGAGGAGGGGGAAGTTGAACCTTCGGAGCAGTCACAGTAACTTCCTTCGCGTTTGGTGGAATAGATTCCATCACCAGCTACAACGCAACATGGGCAGGTATCCGCGCCTTCTTCTCCCACTTTATCAACTCCTCCAGCACAGAAACATACAGCCACTTCTTTGTGATTCCCTCACCGATCCCAATCTTCCAGATGGCGCCCTTCTTCGCACCCAACATGACGATCTCCGCAACCCAAGCCCTCCTCAAGCCCTGGTTCGACGCCTCGCCGCCGTAGGAATCACCGTCGTCCCTACATTCAACTACTGCCCGTCCTTCCTCCCAGCCTGGGAAGTGTATTTCCAACAAGAAGAAATAAGCAGAAAACAAGGCTTGAAGGCCTCTCGCCTCTTCCCGAGACAGAACTGGGAGAATGCAACGCTGTTCAGCACTATGTTCGATATGTGGAAAGCGAGTATCGATGCTGGAAGTTTTACGCTAAACTCCAACTTTGCACCTACCTTGACAGCAGGCGGGAATTCAAATAAGTTAAATAACAGCGTCAATGACCCAATCTGGCGTTCAGGAATACGGCGGTGGAGAGTGAGGGGTGTTATACGCTTAGTAAGTTATGAATGATGAGAATGGGCCGTTGTGTAGGACGAAATATGATGGGATCAAAATGGGGAGGGAAACGTTCATATGAAAGAAATTACTTATGGGGAGCCTTGAGCCTCGCATTTTTAGCTCCTCTTCAGGATTTCTTGGGGTGGATAAGACTCTAACGAGGTAACCTCCCCTGTCGAGCTGATCTTTTAGCGAGTTGGGGCTGTACATCCACTCCTGGTGAGAGATGAGCATTTCCAGGCAGTTGTGGATAGAAGGTGGAACTTCATATATTAAAGAAAGAGTGTAAGGAATCAGGACGAGGATGCGAGGGCGTATGCCGAAGGGAGCAGAGGTCCGCCTTCGAAACATTGAGCCAAAGCTTGATGAAAATAGATAATGAGAAATGAATGTAAACCATGTGAATATGAGTATATAGAATATCAGATTCTTCTCAACTTGCCCTGTGTTATCCTAAATATCTCTTGTATTTATGACGAGGTCCCCGCAGCTCGCTTAGTGTATTTATGATTGGTTGGCCTCCCCTTTTTTGAGGATTGTCACGTGGTGAGGGGCTGCTTTTCACCGCTTTTGTTTTCTGCTGATTTCTTCAATATATTTTAGAAATTTCAAAATCCGTCCTAACCCTGGAGAACACTCTTTCCCTCACATCCACAAAATGGCGACCGATACACCCAAGCCCATCCACAGCCTCGTCCTCGACGCCGGCCCAATAATAAAAAACGAGCCCTCCGTCTCAACTCTGCTAGGCCAAGCCGAGACCCTCTACACCATCCCGGCCGTCATCGACGAAATTCGCGATGCCGTCACAAGAGCGCGAATCGAGAATACCTTACTACCATTCCTAACTCTACGATCACCAAGACCGGCGAGCGTGAAGGTTATAAGCGATTTTGCGAGGAAGACGGGGGATTTGGAGGTGCTGAGTAGGCCGGATATTCATTTGATGGCGTTGGCCTATGAGTTGGAGTGTGAGAGGAATCATGGGGGTTGGAGGTTGAGGAGTACGCCGGGGCAGAAGGGGCTGAATGGTGTTAAGCCGGAGAGTTTGAAGGGTGATGCGGTGCGGGGGACAGAAGAGGCTGTGACAGCGGTTTTAACGGAGGTAGAGGGAGAGAAAGTTCCCCCACCTGAGACGAGAGGTGCTTGGGGAACGACGATACCGAGCGCAGCGGACCCTACGCCAGCTGAATGGCCTACGGCGGGTGGTCTGGAGGAAAAGCTGAAGGATACACACATCTCGTCGCTAGAACAACAAGCAACTCGGGAACCGGTTCTTGCGACCCTCCAAACTTTTTCCCAAGCACCAGTCGAGTCCAACCCTACACCAGATTCTGAGCATACGACAGTCGGGTCGGAGGACATATTGGAGAATCCACACATCTCTTCACAAGAAACACTCGAAGTCCAAGATCCAACCCTCGAAACCCTTTCTCCTACCGCCGGAGCAGCAGCGGAACCGCTACAGCCATCAGATCCTTCAATTGAAGACATAGAAGCTTCCGATAATGAAGGATCCGATAATGAAGGTTGGATCACACCCTCAAACCTCAAGAAACACCAAGAGAAAGACGCAAATGGCTCCGCAAAGCCGGACAAGGCACCCATGAAAATGGAAGTCGTTACCGTCACCTCGGATTTCGCCATGCAGAATGTCCTCCTCCGAATGAACCTCAATCTCATGTCGCCAAATCTCCAACGAATACGACAACTGAAGAATTGGGTACTAAGGTGTCATGCATGCTTTTATATCACTAAAGATATAGGCAAGCAGTTCTGTACTCGGTGTGGAAAGCCGACATTGTTACGGACATCGTGTTCGACGGACAAGGATGGTAATTTCAAGGTCCATTTGAAGAAGAATATGCAGTGGAACACAAGGGGAAATGTCTACAGTATACCAAAGCCAGTGGCAGGGACTTCAAACGGGAAGCTTGTTGCTGGAGGAGGGAAAGGAGGTTGGGGTCAGAGTTTGATTTTGGCTGAAGATCAGAAGGAGTACATCCAAGCTATGACTGGAAGTAGGAGGAACAAAGAGAAAGATCTGATGGATGAGGATTATCTGCCGAATCTCTTGTCTGGGGATAGGGGTCGAGCAGGCGGGAGACCTAAAGTTGGTGCGGGGAAGAACGTGAATTCGAAGAAGCGGAGATGATCCTTCCTGGGGCATACATCATGGCGTTCGGTTCGGAGCTTTGGGAGGACCATTGCACGGCGTTGGGAGCTTTGTGGGAAGATAGAACTGTGAATAGCGACCGAGTTTTAAAGTCCTACTGCACAATATAACGAACGCCAATTTTCTCCACCATAACGCCTGGTATACTCCAACGAATGCCACCGTGACAGACGTGCTTCCTCGAATATATGTACTCCATCTAAACCCACAAACTTCCGTTACTGGGTCGACTCTTATTGTCCCAAGACTTTCAGATCCTCTGCAAAGTAATTTCGTTAGCACAGGCCGAACCAAAAGTAATCTCAGAGGAAGGACTGACTCTGCTGCGTCAGAAGTAGTCCATATCTCTTCTTCAATGTAACACGGTGCCGCGAGTACTTGTCATCTGGTGAGAATCGAGCGGGGTGTGCGGACTTGGTGACTTCGCTTCCAACGACCTTCTTCAGAGTGTAGATGCGCTTGCCAGAGGCATCGAGAGTGTACATAAGATGCATATTTGTGGATTCTTGTGCGTGGGAGCTTGTGGGGGATTCGACGGACGGTGTCTCGGGGCGGTTTGCGATTAGAGTCGGTGAAGCTGCAGATGCGCAGAAAATGATTGACAGCGCGAAAAGAGCGGTTTCTGTTTGAATGGATACTTGGCCAATTTCGAACTTGGATATCTTGAGATAATTTTCTGGAGTTTTTGCAGATAGTGTGCACGGGCTGCACGGCCTAGCTTAGTCGGGACTAGAGGAAAGGTCAGGGCCAATCATGGACGCGCTTGACCTCCGGTGAGGGCGTGACCGGACGAGGCTGAAAGAGGACTCAAATCAACTTCTGCGCTTCCGCTTCCAATATTTGGCTGATTTTTTCAACTCCTTCATGTCTCTGATCCTGCGTTGCAATTTCCCATTTGTGCTGATGATCAGGAGATCTAATTGACAGTATGGATCTCCTCACCCACTCGCTGGATGCCGTCGGAAATCTGAGCCTCGAGGCTACGAAGCGGACCAGCTCCAAAGATGCCGTCATCCTTCAAGTCGAAGAAGTCCAGCCTGCCCAGGGATTCCTAGACCTCCCTCGCGAAATCAGAGACCACATTCTCTGTCTGATGCTTCTCGTCGAAGGCAACCTTTATCCAAGCAGAGAGCGAGCCGGAATATCCGAATACCTGGGTCTTCTTCGAACCAATCATCAGGTCTACTCGGAAGCCGTCGAGATATTATATGGACGCAACACATTCCAAATCCGAAGCGCTCCTGCCCAAGAAGCACCAACCCTCCTAAATCTCCTCTGCAGTCAAAGAAGAGATGGCTTTCGTCAAAGTCCCAAGGGGGTGATTGTCGACTACAACAGAGTCTGCCTTGCCCGACACAACTTGAGAAGACTCTATATCCCCTCTCATAACATCGCCTTCGAACAACTCAAGCACTTGTTCTCCCTGCTCAAACATTTCCCAAATCTCGAGGATCTTCGAGTCGTGTATTCGGGGGTGTCTTGGATGAAGGACATGGATGTCGCATTCTATTGTCGCCTCTTGAGGGATCGTTGTCCTTGGATTCGAAATTTCGTTCTCTTGAGAAGGATCAGTTACGCCGAGGCAGAGGATATTTCTTGGATGGTCGGCGAGAGACCCTATAGCAACTGGTCGATCGACACCTCGGACAAGAGTTTGAAGCACATGTGGAGGAATCAGAACGGTGTATTGCGACAGGCTGCTGTGGTGAAGGCACCGCAGAACCTCTTGGAGTAGGAGGCCCTGTAGCTGTCGAAAATATCGTCCTCACTTCCAACTTCGACTTTGATGCCCACCTTTGAACGCACGGGATATTTTCAGTACAGGTCGCTGCCACCAAATCTTCTTCAATGCTATTTCTAGCAGCTTTCGGGTCAACTTCAGAAAGGCATCAGGAACCAAGACTGACCTCGATGATGCGCTGTCGGGCGTACCACCAATTTTCTCAATATCACATTTAATCGCATTGTTACAAGTTTGAACCTACCTGTATGTAATGTTAAGCTGTGGCAGCCAATGTCTAATCTTATTGTCCATTGATCTTCAGGCCAATAGTATCGAGTGTGAATTGCTTCCACGCTTGAACGTTTTGTTGCACATCGTCCCAATGTTCCAGACAATCCAAGTACAATGAATGGCTTTTGGGAGTGAATCTAGATTCCAAAGTTATTGCATCCGGCTCAATGTCCCAGATTCTCTGGTATAGATCGACACCTGGTTTGGAAAACACTTGTGCCGCATCTTCTTGGACAAAGCGAATTGGAAATCGAGAAATATCTTAAAGGTTCATGATAAAAAAGACCTCGAAAACGGCATCAATGCTTTTACGAAATTTGTGGCTACATACACAATTATTATTTGGCATTCCACACACAAGTAGATACTAGTAGTTAACTTACTCGTTACTATATAGGTGGAACACAGCGGGCATCTTTCAGGGGACTGCCCTATTTTGGTTAGCGGGAACTTTATCTCGCTTAGCCCAAGTCCCTATCTCTGACAACCGCGCCCTTCCAACAACCATCTCTCAATGTATAAAAGCGAATCGAACCTGCCCATCTTCCACAAATATCCTGACAATATGCCTCTACTGGCACCGAACTCCAGGAGCCGCGTCGTCGGCGACCTGGCCTGCCAGCGAGATTCATATCTTCGAACCCTCGATTCGGAGGTCACTTCCTGCATTGAATGGTCGCCACCCAAGACAAATGGGTCCAAGAATTCTTCCAAAAACGGAACTCCGGCTCCTGGGCCTGGAAAATTATATTTGATTGAATTTATGGACTCAGTGCTGTTCCCTGAAGGTATTCCTCCAACCCCACGTGACGTATAGGCTGCTCACACTCCAGGCGGTGGCCAACCCACGGATCATGGCACTATAATTCCTATATCCAGTCCATCTGTGGAACCAATCGCCGTGAATTCTATTCAGCGTCAAGGACTCCGATGTGTTTATCAATCCCCGCAGCCCCTGGATCCTGGCACTCGCGTCCGGCAAGAAATTGACTTCCGCCGACGCTGGGATCATATGCAACAGCATACAGGCCAGCACTTACTCTCTGCTATTATGGACAAATATGATAATCTGGAGTCCGTTGGATGGGGAATGGGTGCAGAGGGCGACATAAACTACATCGACTTACCCCGAAAACCGACGGACGAAGAAATGCAGACTATCCAAGAGAAATGCAATGAAGCCATTCGCAATAATCTGAGCATTACAGTGGAGACTCCCGACGATGCCAAATCAGACAGTTTACCTGAAGATTATGACAAAGAAGGAGGCGTTGTTCGCATCATTAAGATTGGAGATATCGACGCGAATCCGTAAGTTGATTGCAATCATCTTTGACGTAAATGGTCTGATCTGAATAGATGTTGCGGAACGCATCTCCAACAAACATCACACATTGGACTTATTTTACTGCATCATACGCAATCCATCCGCGGTACAAATTGTCGAATGTACTTCAGCGCAGGAGACCGAGCAATCAAGCTCGCCTCGTCATCCATCCGCTCGCTCCGCTCGATTGGTGGAACACTCTCGTCCGGGATGGGAACCGAAGAGGTTCTCGGTGCCGCGAAGAAGATGAGTGACAATCTTACCGAATCGAGGAGGAAGGAAGCGAAACTGCTACTGGAAATTGCAAAATATGAAGCAGAACGGGTGAAAGCTGATTTGAAGAGTGGAAAGAAAGCTTGGGTTTACCGTTCCTCCGGGAATTTGGACTATATAAACTCAATCTGCTTTGAAGTGAAGGATGTTTTGAAGGATGGAGGATTGATTGTTTTGGCTACGGGGGAGAAAAAGACGAGTGGTCAGGTCGTGATTGTGGGCGAGAAGAGGGCCGTTGAGGAGTTTGTGGAGAAGATGAAGGGAGTTGTGAGTGGGGTTAAAGGCGGTGGGAAGGGGGAGAGGTGGCAGGGTAAAGTAATTGAGTGGCAGAAGGGCGAGATTGAAGTATTGAAGAATTTGGTGGAGTCGTAGGTCGAATTGCTGACTTCGGTATCGTTTATCATAGAAATAGAAATATGTCAACCTTGAAATATTCAACAGGCTTCCTCCCGACTTCCTTCCTCGATATCGGCAATCTAATTTCGGTTGGTGGCTCTGATTCGTGCTCAGCGACTAAACTCAGTATGAGTTGCTTGCGATTTCCATTCGCATTTGAGAAAGGGGGTTCGTCGAGGTGGATCACGTGACATGACTCCGAAAACACTCCCCCAAAGTAGGTAGACCTTTTATATGACTGAACCACTCCGGCTCAAGTGCTCATTGCCATTCTCTGGTTCGAAGGAGTCTACATACCCAGATACTGTTCCCTAACTGCCAATAACGCAAGGTACATCACCAGCCGAATTTAGGCCAAGTTTCTCGTCACTAAATCTTGCACTCACCGACCCATGTCTAAGCCCCCTAACACCCTGAAGAACCTCCTTCCATTTATTCCACGCAAACAGCCCACACCGCAGCCACCTTCTTCTCTTCGTTCCGCACCACGCACTCCTCCCCACTCCGGACCCTGAACACGCTTCCCTTGCCAATACCAAAGCCATTACTTCCCAACCGAACTTGAACTCGTCCCGAAATTACGGTACAGATCTTTAACTGGAAAACCTTCCCGTCACTGTTGCTTTCTCGGTCGGAAGAGGAGGAGACGACCCAGCCTTCGTTGTGGCGCAGATTGTGTACTTGGAAAGTCGTGTTGGAGATCTTGATTCCGTTGGGTCGGGATGCGACGTAGGAGGAAGAGAAGGCTATATCTGTTGTGTGATTGTTAGTTAATTGAAACAGGAAAGGGGGAGGGTGTGGTAGGGACGCACTTTCTTGTGCCTCGGAATCATCATCCCCTCCAGCAGTTGATCGAACTTTACCAATCGTTGTTTCCCAATCGTCGCCCGGCTTGTTCACTCCTTCGTCATTGAACACTAAAGGCTGTACTGTGTTCACTGAGACGCTTCTTGCTCTTGCCACCTTAGCGGATGAGCCCCCCTTCTCCCCATTCTCGTGTGCAGCAGGTGTGGGGAGGGTATCTGGCCTCGCTGAGAACAAATTCTGCAACTTCGACGATGATCTCTTGATAGAATCCATAGCCTCGACGAAAGGGTCTTCTTCCTCATCACTCTCAAAGTTCGAAAACAGCTCGTGAATCTTGAGATCCGTAGCTCCCTTAATCGAGGTAATGGTCTGCGAGAATGTTTCTTCCTCTGCTGCACCTTTCTTAGACTTTGCAGTCTTAGAACCAGACTTCTTGCGTTTCTTAGTTTCTCTTTCTTCGTCGTTTTCCTCGCTGTCTGCCATAGACTCCGCCTTTACTTTCTTGGGTCGAGCAAGCTGTGGGAGGATGACAGGGCTTCGGTTTGCTGTTGGGACCAGCCTTTTCGGCGGTGGAATGGGAGTTTCCTTTCTGATTTCATGTCCAGCTTCTCCCTGCGGACAGATTGGAAAGGGTGAGGTTGGGACAACGAGCTTGGACTTTGGTGGTCTGATTGGGGTTTCAACACGGGGAGGTTCTTTGGTCTTATCCTCGATGGAACTTGTCTTGTGAACGGAACTTGCCTTCCTTGCTTCTTCGGAGCTTGAAATATTGCTCGAACTGTGTGAAATACTACCCTTAAGCACAGTTTGCAATAGGTCCCCGTTAGCCTTGGCAGCTGGAGTTAGCAGGCTGGATGGGACTAGGAAGGTCTTCCCTACCGATTCTCCTGAAAGCTTGGCCTTCTTCTTCTTCTTTTTCTTCTTCTTTCTCTCAGAAACTCCATCAGCGCCGTTGTTATCCTGGTCGAAGTGGATGTGATTCGAGGTTGCTGGAGATTCGTGAGCCGGAATTGTATGAAGATGGAGTGGAGACTCCTGGGAAAGCTTTAGCTTCTTCTTGTTCCTTGAGGCCATCCCGAAAGCATTCTCCTCAGCTTTCGCTAGTGCTGCTGGTGGGCTTGTTTTGATGATCGTTGTCAGGTATGACTTTGCGTCATGGACTGGGATTGAGTTGAGCTGGATTGGCGTCGATTGGACAGAACCGTCGAGCTTTCTGTTCTTCTTGTGCTTCCTTGGCGTTGACTTTAGAGTCTCTAAAGCTCCAATATTCCCAGCACCTGGCTTTTTACCGACGTAAGAGAACTCAAGGTTTTCTGGAGAACATTTCTCGTCTAATTTGCGCTTCTTTTTAGGTGTCTCAGTATCAACCATGGCGGCAACACCCTCAAACACACCTCTACCCAGACTGCCCGAAGATTTTCTCTCGTGTTGTGACTCTTTGTGTTCTGACTTCCGCTTCTTCTCCGAGGCTGGAATATAGCGCTGGGGCGCGTCGAGGTCAACGCTCATGCCATCAGCGTCGTAATCAATATCCTGCGAAGACATCCTTTGACTGCTATGCCGGTGCTTCTTCTTTCGCTTCTTGTGATCGCCTTCGTCCTCAGGTCCCTTCTGGCTATCGTAACTGTCAATTTGGTGCTCCTTCCTCTTCTCGTGCTCGCGACCATACCTTTGCTTATGCCGTCCCTCCCTCGCGCTGCCGTTCTCCATCTTCGCGAACAACTCCGCTTCAACACGGTCTAACAGCGGGTTGTCGTCTTCGTGTCCGTGGTGAGCTACAACCATAGCGGTCGCTATATAATACATCAGTATTTGTGCTGAAACTCCTTTCGATAAAGAAGGACTTACAATCCCGCGCCATGCTTAGTATCGCGGTGGTGGAATTGAAAAGAAGAGCGATACCAGGTCATGACGAGGTTGGCAAATTGGCAAAAGTGATGGCGAGGCTGGAGGTGAATCCGAGGCACGGGAGCCGCGTGCGCTAGTAAAGGTGAAGCCATGTTGACTTGAGCTCGAAGGTAAACAGCGAGCTCCGATTCGCTTAACGAAAAAGTGGAATGTCCTGAACTATATCAAAAATTAAAAGGAAAAAAAAAAGTGGGGTTGTACTATTGTACTGTGTGTTTGGCTTCTTTCTGTTTTTTTTTTTTAGGTGTGGCCTTTGTTTCTGAACCTTTTTTTTTTTTTAATAAACTTGAATTTTGTATGAAGAGAACGAAAGGGGGGAGGGGGTTAAGGAAACTTTTTCTTTTTTCATGGCTCCCTCATTTTGTTTTTTTTTCTGTTTAGGGGAGGACCTTCCCATACATTTTTTTCTTAGCTTCCAAGGTACTTTTTAGGAAGGTGGCAGTTATTCTGCATTATTTACAGGTGAGAAGGGGGGAGGTCCTCGATTGCAGCCAACTCTACCACTCTGTAGTTGTTAGTGCCGCGCAATTTCCTCATTTAAGAAACCCAGACATCTCAATTGCATTAGTCACCCACACTGTGGGTTGCTACATGATTTACGGGAAAATCGCTTATTTGAATACATGAAGGTCATATCGGAAGTCTGCTCACGTGCTTCGGCTCCCCCTATTTTCCGATCGCCGCTGCTAATAAGTTGGCGAGTGGGCTTCAACAGCACCTTGGGAGAGTAAGTACTTGGATGGCTTAATCATGCTTGAGTCCTAGGACATCTGGGAGCCTAGGTCTGAGGGTTTGAAAACTTCTGAGAAACATTTTCTGCATGAGTAGAGCTCTTATTTGCCATATGTCGTGAGCAGCAGGAGATTTCAAGGTAATACCAAGGAAGTCAGTATCGCAAAGTAAAAAATTCATGATGCGCAGGATGTCTATTATCACTGAGAATCCTAGAACACTGTTCAAGCAGTAACCTGGCCAACGAATTCTTTCCCCCGCACTCGCTTTCGATTTCTTCTTAAGATTCTCCGTGCTTCAAGATCGCTGACATCAACAATAAATAATACCGCTGCAAATCAGGGAAGTAATGGAAGGGACAAGGGTAAATCAAAGGTTGGCTCAGTGTACTGGAAACAGCCTGCTTGTGAAAGTCTTCATTGTGTCTGTCTAGCTCGAGCGACGAAGCCCTCGAGTAAGCAGTGGGAAACCATCCTGACTGCAAGTCTTCATGTACCATATGGTAAAAGCAAAGCAAAAAGAACGATGGTCACTAATACAAGCTCAATGTCGCTTCCTCGACTCGTGAAAAGGAAACCAACGGAGACCAGCCATCAATCCTCCCATATGTCATGATCATCATCATCATCATCATCATCATATAACGCACGCAATCGTCCCAAGTGCAGCCAAAGGGCTACCTCGCATTCCCATTCATGGGCTCATCTCCATCATCGTCCAACTCATCCAGCTCCTCCGGATGGCCTAGAAGACTCGCCACATTCTTCATCTCATAGTGCTTCTTCCTCATCTCCTCAAACCGCTTGTGCTTCTCCCTCTCCTCCTTGCTCAAGCCAACATGTTCCTCGCCTGAAACATGAACTGCCCTCTCCTTCTTCGATCCATGCTCATCAAACTCGCTTTCCGGAACCGCCTCCTCAGGCTCTCCCAGGCTCAAGCCCGGAATCTCTTCTTCCTTCGCACGACTACGGTTTCCTGGGCTTAGACCAGCACGGGCCTTGTCCAGCTCATCAACCATGATCTCGTCGGCATCTAGAGTTCTGAGCTCGTCTTCGTCCTCGGTGGGATCGTAGTGCTTTGCGTATGGTGTCTTCGGCTCATCTATCTTCATGGTGGAGCTCTTCTCCTGCTCCGTCAAATAGAGATTCGCCTCGTCCCACTTGAGTCGCATATTGGTATCCTCGGCACTCTGTCCATGCGAAGACTGGCGGCGGGAGTTGGGACGACGCGCAGCGGAGGAGGAACGTCGATTGCCGGCATTCTGGAGGGTGTTTTGAAGGGTGATGTCTTTGTCGGAGAGCTCGCGGTCAAGATCGGGTCTGTTGGAGTGTGCAGGGGAGATTGGAGGTGGGGAGGTCGTGGGAGGGGCTTGCTGAGGTGGAGATCGGTGGTAGGAGTTCTTGAGGATTCCTGTCGGAGATTAGCCAACCGGAGGCAGTGGTGGGGTTGCTTGAGGGGTGATTGTACCTTTGGGTCTCTTGGTCGAAGGACTAGGGGGAGCGTGAACATGAGGAAGTTCTTCTGAAGCCATGTTGTAGCTCATCAATGATGGTTTGTGGTGTGGGAGGAGAGGGATAGACTTTGGAAGTCTTGGAGTGTTGATCGTTGTGATCGGTGGGTTGCTGCTGCGAGAGGTAGTCTGGCGCTCGTGAATGGACTGTCGGAGTGAAAACTCGTGAATATAAGCAGCAGTTGCAAGGCGGTCAGACAAGTCTCGTGGATCCCGTATTATTTTTCGTGTGACTGCGTCCAGCTGAGGTTTTCGATGTCTCTGTTTTGGTGGGAGCTGATTGTCACGAGCCTGAAGAATTGAGGAGGCAGGGATCCGAGGCGGTGGGGTGGTGTGCTGCCATTCAGCTCAACGTCATTCTTACTCAGCGTCAGAAAAACAATCACAATTCAATTATCCACAGTGCTGACGACAGTACAAGTAGGTTACAATACTGTATATATGTTCAATTCCGACCGAAGTGGAGTACATGAGTTGTCCCCATCGTTTAGTGTGGAACCACGCTCCCTCCTGCGCCCAGGTTCAAGTTTTGCCAGCATCCCAAAAACGTCGCGCTGCATAGACGCACGTCACAGCACAGTCGCCCCCCGCCGTCTATGGGAATACTCAATTGGTCCATCTCATAAGGTTTGGATGGCCTCATGTCGGCGACCGAGTCGTCCTACCCCATTATGCATCAAATTTGAATGGATTGTGGGGGATCGTCTTGTTTGGTGACCTTAAGCCACCTGTTAGGCCTTGAACACCGATCAGACTCCTCACCAAGCACAAGAGAAGGTGTCTAGATAGGATTTTTTTTATATTAAGTTTTTGGTCCCAGTCCCTCCTCCTATTTACACAGCGGATACCATTCATCCATTTCCTAGTCCTTCTATTAGCTTCACTACTCAAACATCTTTTCAAGATTACTAAATCCGGGCGTAACAAGGTCACCCAAACTCAACCTTCTAAAGGCAAACCCCTTCCTTGAATCATGTCTTACAGATTCCACGACGTGCGATGTGGCAGGGCGGACTCTTTTGATCCCAATTGTTGTGGGTGCACGATGAACAAAAGACTTCTGTCGTCGGTATCTTGACTTGGAGTCAACTCGAATTGAGGGAGACCGTTTTTCAGTCTTGCCCACGACTGGTAATTGTATCGAGCTCCTCCGACTTCGATGCGAACTAGAACTGCGGTCGCTATGCATGGAGGTCTTGTGCTGCAGAGCACGATTGCTCTGAACAGAGGGTTTGTGATGTAGGCTACGATCACTCTGTATCGAAGACATGCGCTGCGGAACGCCGGGGCTCTGCATAGACATTCTGCGCTGCAAAGCTCGAGGGCTTTGTATCGAGGGTCTATGCCACAGTGGACGATCGCTTTGGATGTTCTGGTTACTTTGTCTCCGAGTCACGTATGCGACCTCAATTTTCCTCAAATGCTCATCCAGGTTCGCTTCTTGGTCGAAGCTTGACCGGTGCTCAACAAAGGCTCCTGGAACTCTGATATCAGAAGTCTTTCGTCTCGTGAGTGGTGCAGTGAACGCCCTGGGAAGTGGAGGACGATATTTGCCGGGCTCTCGGATTCTCAGTTGGTCAGGAAAGCTCACGGACGACCTTCTTTGCGGATCGTGAACATCTGCCACCGGAATCAATTGAGACATCGAGGCCGTCCTTGAAAGATTCCATTCATGTGGTGGCGGAATAAAGGGTGGACAGTATCTCAAATCAGGCCGAACAACGACGTCTGGATACTCTGCGTATCTAGAAGGAATCAGTAGGGGTACTCGGAAAGGGCGTGGCCACTTACCGCATTGTCGAAAGTGGCGACCTTCTTGAGTAGTTGGATATACTGCTGCTTGGTGTCACAATCCTCGGACGCGGAGCACGCTTTGTCGCCAATATGCGAGGAGCAGCAACATGTGAGCCTCGATTGCTCGAACTCCTATACCCTGAACGCCGCGAACCGGAGACATGTTCACTTTCTGAAGAGCTAATATATCCCGAAGAAGAATCATACGAAAGCGAAATTCCCGAATCCGAATGTGACAGAACTTTCTTCTCCGAGTGTTTCTCTATGCTCTTTTCCGAGCCCGAGCTCCTCTCGCCCGTTAGATGTGTCCATTCCTCACCCCAACCCCGCGATGTAGACCGTTTTGGTATTTGTAGCAAAGGTGTCAATGGGCGTTCGGTAGAAGCTTGGCTATCGTCCGATCGCCTTTCGGGGAGGGGTTTTCTGTTGGTGCCAGGTCTGTCATCAACTTCGGTCTTGTCGGTCTTGTCGGTCTCAAATTGATTATCATTGTCGAACGATGACGCTCGCGATACACTTCTGTCCAAGAAATCCTCACCGAAGGAGCTCACGCGGCAAGTTATTTTCTTCGTGATGTGGAAGAAGTCCGGCATCTGAAAGGGATATTTGCAAGCTTCCAGAGCTGTTAGGATTATGCCGGTTGCAATACTGCCATCCGTTAGCTCGAATCGGGTTGACAGATGCCAAGTACCTACAGTGCGACAATCGAGCATACAACATCTGCAATCTGCAATTGACAGTCGCGGGTTCCTGTCTTGCACACGTTTGGCTTCGAAAGGACCACCGAGGCTGCTACGAATGTGGAAAACCAGAATACTAGCAGTATGCGAGCCAAAATGAAGCAAGCGGCATGAAGCTTCAGCTCTGGGGGCCGCACAACTCCTACAGGCTCGTTATATTTCACGGCGGTTGCATGGAAGATGAGGTAAAGACTCGAAAGAAGGGCCTTCAATCGATTAGCTGTGGGTCTTTGAACGACGCAGATTCACAATACTCACTGCTGATAACGCGAATGCCTGAGTTGTATTCACGCCAACCGTTTGTGGATTCGCTGACACGAAGACCGAAATTGCGACAATGATTGCTACCAGACTCATGCAACCCAAGATTACGACCGTCGCAAGCACAATTCCAGGTTGGAGTATCTGCGAAGTTCGAGTTGGCTTAACAAAGCTAGCAGGCAGCGCGGGCTGCAGATCTGGGTAGCGGCCCATTGTCACCACTCTTCTAGCAGAGCAAGCTTTCTTGATTCCCAAAAGAAAAGAGAAAGAGATCATCGGGATCCGCATAATGATGATGTGGCCGTCTACGAATGTGCTTGTTGTTTCGGTCTCACACAAAATTCTGCCTGTTCAATCCGTAACGCCAGGAGTGTGACTTAAGGGGAGGACGGAACCCGAACGATCTCAAAATATAACGCGGGATAACACCACCAGGGCGAAGCTCTCGTTTCTAGGAGACGCGAAGCAATGAAGATAATAAGACAAGCGCGAGTCGAGTTGTGCGTTGCGTGCGAGTTCATAGGAACGAAACATCACCGAGAAATTGAAACGGACGAGTATATGAAATGAAGCCACTCACTGAGGGCTGGTGATTGGAATTGACTGGAATAGAAGGGAAAACAAGAGGTTGGTAAGCGCATGATCGTATACTTCAATGGATAAGAAGCAAGTGCTCGCGCATTCTTGGGAATGGCTTCTCATCACGAATCCTCCCATTCCACATTCTTCAGCGCGGCTGACCCGCGAGCTATCGAAAAATCCCGCTCCTCGCTCATCCTTCCTTTGTTGAAAATCTATTCTGAGCAACTGTCTCAGAAAACCAAACCGAACTTTGGGAAAGAATGGCATTGTCCAGCAGGAATTCTTACCAAGAGTGAGTCGTGGTTGTGATGGGACCATGGCTGGCAAACGTGTCTCACCTGAGAAACCTCGTGATTCCTGAAATTTCAATGCGGTGGAAGATCGCCGGATGAGGCTGTCAACAACCTTAAGCTTAAAATCGGGCTGGAGTTGCTTGCGATCGGCATTCGCATGTCCTGGTGCGGTCGTTTTCTGAATGCATCTCGTCTCCTCTGTCATTTTTCAGATGCTGGGGGTCGAGCGCGTGATTTCTAGCTTTGCGACACGAGAAGGAGTGTTGAGATCAGCCGAGGTTCGGAATAGGAGTGTTGGGTTGACGTCGTTTGTGTTGTTCGAAGCTTTTTTCCCCTCTGAAGTTTGAAAACATGGGGGATGTTCGGACGCTCTGGGGATGTCCAGGGTTCTGATCGGACGATTTCGTTGCGATAATGGGGTTCTGGCTTGGTCAGTGACGGTGCGCAAGTGCGCTGAAAATGGAGGAGTAAAGCCTATGTGAGCCTGGAGGGCATGTACTCTCTCGGATAAGGTGACTCTCCTCTAGTATAGGATCCTTTCGAGAAGATACCTTCCGATCTGTGTCATGTAAGAAAACTTCTTCCAAGTTACCTTGGTGTGCGACAGCCAAGTGTTGTTTTATTGCCATATTCAAAAAGGTTCTCTGAAGTGTTGACGAAACAAAGAGGCTCTCAGTAATGGCTCAAATCAAAGAACTTTTTGTCCAGAGACTGAGGCTAATAAGGGGTACTGCCGAATGAGTGCCGAAGATACCTCTTGATTGAACAAATGTATATCCTCTGCAGCGAAAGTCACGACGGGTCTTAGGAATCCTAAAATATGGGCTATTAAGCCTCGGTTACGCGTCCCAGTGCCATTCACTGCAACCCTTCACATCTGTAGAGAGACGAAATCATCCATGTCATGAAGCCATCGATCCACCACCCAAACTCGCATCAACTGTCCTCTCCCATCCTACAACATCCATCATCAAGACTGAATTCTCCGTGGTCCTAAACAATGACTTTGTAATTGCACTGCCCTTCTCATTCCTCGATATTTCAAATTCTCTCAAGACTCCCTCCCAAGATTGCACCACCACTGAAATCAGATATCTCCAATTCATCAACCACGATGAGGATAGGTCCAGATGCAAGTGACGGGAGATCCCCGAACAGTTTCAACGCTAGACTTGTCGACTCCAAACTGCCGTCGAGAGTCGAAAAGCGGGAGCCATTCAAGTCCAGGGACGGGATGAGGTCTTCGGCGATCGATGTACATAATTGGCGGATCAAGGAATAAAATAAATCCCGGAATTTCTCCGCCTTGTCGAACGGTACTCCTTCGGGATCGACTCTTTGGCAAAAGTAACCCAGGGCCGCGACTTCACGTGCATCCTTGACAAAATCAATAAGATCTCAAGAAACGGAATGCTCGTCCATGAGTCGGCTACAGTTTTGAAACCAAAGAATATCAGGGCTTTTCGAGCTCCACCGAGATTGGATTGCTTGTACGATCTCTTCAGCGGCTTGGAATACTCCTGAGATATGTGGGGGGTCCGGCTTCGTTGCAAGAGGGAATTTCAACTTGATGTGGGAGACATTACCTTTCAACATTGCAGGGGTATAAACTGATTCTGCAGCTATAATCGTAGCAGGAGAGGGAGAGAACTGGATCCTTTGCGAGTCGAGGTAGCTTTCAAGAAGCTTCTCGAGCTGTACCTGCAGTAATACATCCCGCTTCAAGAGAGCATCCAAAAGACTCGTTTGAAGCGCTGGAAGTTGTACATTCAGTTTCTCTTCCAGGCTTTTGCTCACATCCTCCAGAAAACTCGACAGGAGGGAGTGAAGCATGTCACTGGTGCGCTGTCAAGTGAAGGCATCAATAACTCTCAGGTTCCATTCCACATATTTCTGCAAAGCAAGCGCTTTATCTGACAGTTGGAAATACCACTTCAACTTGCTCTTCACATTCTGAACATGCCTAAACCGGCGGCTTTCATCACGACAGCCAAGTTCTTTTGTAATTCCTTCATATCTTTACCACTTATGAACGTCTTGATTGGCTTCCTTATTGCTTCTACCTGTTATTGAATCCTTGTTTTGCATACAGCGCGGTGAACATTTTTAGCGGGCTAAGCGCTGAATTCAAATCTCTCAAAAATGAATTGGCTTCTCGGAATTCCTTCGCTGATCCACTTCATCAAGAGCATTTGCAACCTCAATTATCAGGTTGATTGCGGAGAGAATGTCGCCGGCTGACCAGCCAAAGGCCATGTTATGATGTTCAGATAAAGTTCGGTTTTGAGCGAGAATCAGCAAGGGAGTATTAAAGCTTATTTAGGCTTCTCTTGGTGGGGCAGTGCGAGGATCTGCCCCCGAATTGGCTCAGCCCCTGCAGCCTTTGGAGGGGTAAGTAAGGCTGCGCCTCAATGCTAACCACCAGGACTGCAGATGAAATGAGTGAGCATGCTTTTGAGAATGGTTCAACTTGATCCAATATCATCAATGAATTGATTCTGATATCAAAAAAGGAGTCGGGAAATATGGTGTCGAAAATCTGGAGCTTTGTAGACGATTTCAAGGTTAATATTGGCCCCTGCATGGGACTTTCCATCCATAAATCATGCTTTAGATATTACGAATGAGGAGACTTTTGTCATTACACCCGGAGTTTCCTTAACGGGTGTGAAAAATCTTCTGTCAAGGGGTGATTTTGAATAACTAAATCTGAGATGGCATCCCCTCGCTCTGTCCGGGCCCCCCTTTTCCTCTCGAACTTGTATAATTCCTACTCTGTGTATTCTCTGTTGGTGCATTCTCAAGCCACCCAAACCCCCCCAGACGCCCCAGGGCCATCCTTTCAGGTCTGGTGATCTCCTCCAATTGGTCTTCTAAGTTCAAAAATCTGTACCTAGCAAACCGAGAAATTGGCGAAGTTCCATAAGTCGGTAGCCAAATCCGGGAGAATAAAGATATTGCCGACAGACATCCGATCATGGAAAACAAAAAATAGCCACGGCCATGCTGGTCACTTGAGTAGAGGACAGCGGGGATGCTCTGGACTAGAATTGAGCCCAATTTTCCGGACGAATATACGAGAGCAAAACATGTTGCTCTGTAGCTGGTTGGGAATAATTCCGTGGGCATCTTGAAACCATGTTAGGAAGTTCTCAACATACAGAAGAGAGCGAAATCTTTTTGTTTGGGGTGAACTAGGCTTACCACAAAAAGAATAAGATTGGGGCCTAGAGTCAATCAGCTTCAATCAATTGGGGTTTAGCTGGGGGCAACGAACCTATATTGAAGATCCCGTAGCATAATATAGTCGTTGCTATTTCTAGCACAGCTGTTTTGGACGTGGCTATTTGCACGACAGTTGCAAGAATTGCAAATACAATGGCAAGCGCCAGTGAGGGATACATAAGCAGTGTTCTCCGGGGGCAATACTCAACGAGGATGATAAGAATCAAAGACCCGACGACGGAAACAATAGACATCGTATAGATCGAATGCAGGGACATGTCGAAGATAACCATATAGATAGCTTCCCCGATACTTGCAGACCCGCTTTGGACATCGTTCCAGGCATAAAGGGATGTAGTATTTGTTTGAGAAGCCGAGAAATCCCAAGCTTGAGCCAAAACGCGATAATTATCGCCCCCAAGGCTTCCATTGGCGGCATTGAGTATGAACGCGCATATTGATATCCCAGCCAGGTGGCGTCAGTTCCCAAGATCCCGTAGAAATCCACGAGCTGTGAAATAAGAGCACAACCGTATATCGCTCTCCATGGTGAAAGGCCCGCGGACTTCGTCGACTGGTCCCTCCTCGGCGAGGTCAAATGAATATCGGGGAGACTCATACATGCCCGCCCGGAAGAAGAGGGTGATAAGTGCTGGAATACCTCCAAGTCCAACAAGATATCGCCACAACTTGTCCACCGCAATCGCGGCTCTTTGATGGTCGATCTCTTCCCGGAGACCGGAACTTCGTCCCAAAGAGCCGAGCAAAAGTAGCACCAGGGCTGACACTACTAAGTATGCTACAGGTTGCATCAGAAAAATTGTAGCCATCATCCTGCTCCGGTGTTTTGCAGGAGCGAACCTGGAAAATAATCAGCAACCTTCACGTCTACACGGACAAGAAAGGATATACTCAGCTGAGATAACCCCACTCAACGTCCACTCAATTCCGACACCAATCCCGAGGAAGAATTGCCAGAAAAGGATCCACCCCAGGATCGACATTGTAGAGTTGTTGAAACCAGCAGATGCTCCGGCAAGACCAATCGCGCCAATTAGTAGTAAAAATGGTCCCAAGCGATATAGCTGCTTCCTACCGAATATGTCTGCAATTATACCCGCTAGTAAAGAACCTAGAAGAGCTCCAGCTAATGCAACTAGGTGTACCTTATAATTCTTGTCCAATAATGTCGCATTTGGCCAGTACACAAAATTCAGGGCGGGAAGAATCATATTAGGGACAAAAAAAGCGTACGATGCAGCAAACACCCCGCTACCAGTAGTCATCACCATTTTCCATTGAAATGGGTCACTTTCCATGATTTCGAGGACATTTTGTTGCATGTGAGCACTGAGAAATGGACCAGGGGGCTATTGCTAGTTAGATATTTCATCGCATCCGCTATCTGGTACAACTTACATGTTCATGACCAGCTCTTGCCATTGGATCCCACCGCCAAAGATTTACTTCTCGAAGAGGATTTCTCCTTCTTCCTGCAAGCTCGCGCCGCGATGGACCCCTTCTTGATGATGACTGTGTTTCGCGCCTCGGAGTTTTTTCGGAATATTTTCGTTCCTCGAGATGAGGAATGTGTGCATCCGAGGGACCAGCAAGCTCTATACTGTCCCGAAATTGTGGTGCAGAAGGAATCGTGGGTGCAGCTTTATTAGAACTGACAAGTTGGCTTGGAGTCACATGATATGCTGCCCTTGCTTCTGAGGATGTGGGGAAACTCGAAGTGTCCTGTTGACGAATACTTCGGAGAGTATCTGAGGAAGTTCTTAATGGACGCCTCGCTTCTAGGATTGATGAGCCCCCTAGATTGTTCAGCTGTGGTTGGGTCATCGAGAACCGAGTCTCACTTGGTTCACTTGACTTTGGGGGTATGAGGGCATCCAAAACGGTCAATGGAGGTCGAAATGTTGAAAGGTCATCCCCGATTTATTGTTTCATGCTTTCAAATGTTTGGGTAGCTGGTATTATGTAGCCGATTCTGTTCTCAAGGTCTCCAGCGACAAGATGGCCGTAAATGTTCCCTCCGGAATCAACGACCAAAGTCCCACAATCGCCCTTTTCTGAAACAAGTCAGATTTTTAGTATGCTTTCCAGAATCACGCAGACTCACCAAGATTGCCATCAAACCGCACTGTCCAAATCTCTTGGAAATTCGGACTTCCAGGTAACAGCATAAATGTGGGCATCGGCGAGAGATCTCCGTGTCGAATGCCATTTGAGGCTGTCTTAGCAAACACTTTAGTTTCTAGAGGCTTGTGGCGAAGTACTACAAAATTGGGAGAGCCATTCATGAGCGCAATTGTGTCCGAATCGAGTCGAGGTTGGGTGATCTCAATCAAAGCCCAATCCAAGCTGCCTTCATTTCCGCGTTCAATAGAAGATTCAAATAGAAAACCGAATTCCTCAAGCCGGTTGCTGGCATCTGTATCTGCATTAGAGATGGTATGGATCATGTTTTTGGACTCACCCCACGATCCATCGAATACTTCTGGCTCAGAAGTGTGAGCAGCCCCCTCGTGATGTTTTCTCTTAGAGTGAGTGGATGGAAAGCTAGCTTTGAAGCGTCCGTCAGTATTGTGCTGGGCTACATCTGCAGAAGTTTCATACCTTCTCGCGTTCTCTCGGCGTCGTCCTCGTCCGACTCAAAAGAGCTGATCTCAGATTCATCTTCGAATGGGAAATCCAGCTCGCTCTCTTCATCGCTATCAGGTGACAGTAGGAGGTCGAGAAAGGGGTGAGCTGCTGTGAATGCTAGGTATCTACCACGAAACCACAGAAAACATCCAAGCGTAGCCTTGTGTTGGCATAGCATTCCATTTTTATTGGAAATCTGGACGTAGAGCTGAATGCCGGAACCAAGCGCTCCTTGCTGTGGGTCGTAAAAGACTCGTTTGGCGTCTCGCGTTGGCATTTCCTGGGTTGAGATACGAGACGCCAGAGTCACCGGCCCCAACGAAATTGGAGGTCTTCTTTGCTCTCTGAGGCGAACCCCTCCGTTTTTTTCAAATTGATTGAGTATCTTGCTTCTTTTGATCAGTTTAATGGCCCTCTCACGGGGCTCGTCTTGGGAACAGCTGACGACGAGGAATGGCCGCGCATCACCAATTGACTTTCCAACCATGTAAATACCCAAAATTAGAGGAGGTCGAACGGATTTGCTTCCATATATATAGTCTGTCTTACAGTCTAAATGTTTTCTGACGTCCGAGACAAGATTCTGCGTGAGCTCGAGTGCTGGTCCTTTTGCCTCCCAACACTGAAGTTTCGACTTTCCTACTTGGCAACAAGCAGTCCCGATTGACTTCTCTGGCTCTGGCCACACTTGACGACCTTCAGACCTTTCAACAATGGAGCTGACTATACTCTTGCGTGTCTTTATGGCGGCAGATCCGTTGCGCTGGAGTGGCGGTGAGGAAACTGGTTGTTCCAAGGTTGTCGACGTGATGTTGACTTTGATAGAGTCGATATCGAAGATCTGTGTAGGTGGTGACGGTGCATCTTCCAATTCCGTGATGCTGGTTCCTCTCACAGCCTGCGCGGTAGCCATCTGGTCAATGGCAAGAGAGATAGGTGACTAACATGCATTTCAAGCTCTTGATCAAGACACTGCGTGCAAAGAACGAAGGACGTTCTGATGAACCGAAAGCTTGCGGAAATTTATCATCTCGACTCTAGCTTTTCATAAGGCTTTCACAGGAAGAATCAGAAAAATGAGGCTGACACGTTTTACGCGATTGACAGGGGCGAAGCTTGAAAAAAAAAAAAAGCAAATGGGGGCCGAAACGTCGTGAATGGTTCGTTTGAAGTCTCCCGATCGAGACACCGGTCAAGGCATCCTGCAAGCCATCCTCGCTGCGCCAGCGCCAAAGCATCCACCCGCGCATCCCGCTCAAATGGAGACCACCAAAATTTTCCAGGCTCAACTTCGCAGAAACGCGAAAAATGAGTGTTGAGATGGAATTGCAAGAAGTCCTATTGCAGGAACTGCAGGACGAAACCAAACACCCGTACTCTTCGCTCCTCAAATGTGCGATCCTCACTTCAATATTTGGCAGCAAAACCGCTGCCGACTTCATGAAGAATGCAAATTTATGGGGAGGCTACTTTGAGTACTATACCAGCGAATGTGAAACAGCGATGAGCGTTGGCCGACTTCACTGGGTAGTGAAAACCCATCAAGACATTGTTCGCATTGTGGAACTGCTCAGGGATCCCAGCAATAGTCGGGAGTCGATCAAAGACAAAGAGAAAGTTAGGATAGTAACAACCCAGCCCCAGGTCAGCGACGAGGTTATTTACAATGCAATCGATTTGGCTGCGCGCTTGGGGTTTATGACCCTAATCGGCAGTTCCGAACAAGTCTTTCGAGGTGGAGAGCGGTGCGTGACTTGGGATGACGGTCAGCTTGACACTGTGTTGGCAACAGAATTCAGCAGAACTGGAGTGCTAGAAAAGGAGCATGTGAAATTGGAAAAGATGTTCAACGCTCGCAGTCTAGATAGAATAGGTGGTCTCCAAATCATCTGGACAAGCAACCTCGCCAACCATCTTCGAGTGCAGAATGACGACAAAGAAGTATCCATATTTCACTATGCTTCATTCTTGACTTCGCAGAAACAGAGGTAGGTGACGAAAACCATTGAAATCTGAGCAGCTATTGACATGTTCAAGCGCAGTGTTCCCCCCGGGGTTCATCGAGGAAACGATCAGGACACTCGAACTCCTATTCCCACAGTTTGATGATGCTTCCAACGATTGGTTTAGGAAGAAAGCAAGGAAGGAGAGTCTTGACGCAAATGTGATCAAGTGCGGGCAACTAGCCGCAGAAGGACGTCAGATTGAAAACTTCCACTTCTGGAGGGACCGTCTCATCATCCTCAAGCAAGTCTTCGACGAAACAGAACCGAGGGGACTCAAGCGTTGGTGGCGTGACCGAAGGAAGCCTGTGCAGTGGTATAATTTTTTGGCTGGCTGTAGCATTGATTGTTGGGATGACCTTCTTCTTTGGGGTGATCCAATCTGTGGAAGGTGCTATGCAGGTTTATAAGGCGTATCATCCTTCTTGAAGTCGATAAAGAAGGGAGGTAGGGATGTGGTTGAATTAAGATTGTATTCCGAGGATGAAGTCTCCTGTTGTATTTCTTGTGTCTGCTCCTTGAGTATTTCCTGATCTTGCTTCTTCAAGTCGCGGCCGTTTTCAGCTGATGATTTTGCCGTGTACTGTACTTCGTGACGACCCCATCTTTTGAAATACAGGCGGGGTTAAACCCCTTCTTCTGCGCCTTCACCCGATACATAGACATCAAACAACGGCAGCAGTTCAGACATCGAATGATGTGAGGATACAAGTCTCTCAGGTCCTAAATCCATTCTTGTGGACCAACATCGCCACCATGGGAGCTATGTAGGCCCTGTTGGGTGTCTCGTGATTCTAGAATATGCTCCATAAGCTCAGGTTGCTGCAGAGAACCATCATGCGGATAGATTGTTTGAGGCGGTCTGTTACGTCGACCAGTGAGTTGTGGCCTTGGACGTTGCGCTGTACCACCTCTCTTTATGGAAGGCTGTACCGCTCGCTGTGAAATCGTGGGAGAACTCTGGGGAGGCAGCTCCTTCCCACACATTATCAGTCCCTCCATTCGCACTTCCGTCTCCGTCGTGGCCAATGCTGTCTCTCGCAAGAAGTCCGTCCAGGTCCCTATCCGTCTCCCCCCTAGAGCTCCCTTCTGCCTCTCGACCACTACTTCGATAAACATGACCCTGGCTTGTCGAGTCTCGCTCCGGATAGCTACCGCCACGGTGGACCGCTTCTTCTTTGCTCTACCACAAACGGAACACAGCACACAAGGAAAAATCTGCGCCTGGTACATACACTCTTTCACCCATTCCCACGCACTCTCCCACCTGCCATCACAACGGTGACTGCAAGAAGGCGATTGCAGGCCACGCTCCATTTGCGACGCCTGACTTATCCTTCTGTCCCAGTCTTTCTTCACTCCTTCTCCAACCACAGCAACAACCGAGCAAAGAGAAACAACACAACAACACCGCCAAACGAACATGCCACTCCCTCCACGGCCTTTGGCAATGCCTGATATGATCCGAATGTGTAAAACAAGATACTTGAAGCAGCGATATTAATTAGGACGCAGAATGAGATGGGTAAGATCCTAGCGTTAATTTTTATGACAGTAACATATGTCTTTTTGTCGGCGATCTTCGCGGCTTTGGCGTCGGGGAGGGGCTTGCTGGCCCTCAGGCTGTTCTTCCATCTTGACTTCGTCTAGCGAAGCCTAACAAGTATGTTTTCGAGTTTCCCAAAGGAATGTTTGTTCAAGGATGCTCTTTGCGTTGTCGGAGCCGATCGCAAGGAGGGGACTTGGTACATATAAGAGCATAGTTTTCTTGTTTGAACTGGTTCATCGAAGGTGGAAGATGTTTCTTGTGAGGAATTGTCTCATGACTACTTCTCAAAGATGAGCGGCTCGAAGGAGCATCCTAGTCCATGCCGATAGTGCTGGATCTTCGACATTGTGCACATAGAAATGGTAAATGAAGGAACGTGTTTTGAAATCGGTACGGCAAAGCAAACACTACTCGGTCTTCACCGTAAAACTACAGGTTGAAGCTCAATGCCCAAGACAATCTCAAACACGGCATTTAAAGAAGACCTAAAACCAACGCCAAAAGGACAACAAAACCCCCCAAACCCATCAATCGAACATCTCCCTGATTCGAAGCACCAACAAACTGAGTCGCACAGGACGTTGTCCTCTGAGTCGCTGTCCCATTCCCTCCCGCAAGGTCATTCCCAGCCCACATGGTCACGACTGGCGTTCCACTTGTCAATATTTTTTGTCGTAGAGTGACCCGGAAAATACCAGCTTTCGTAAAACGTCCAGTTGTCCAAGGGTCCAAGGGGTAGGGAGGCTCATCGTCGGTCATGACGAATAGCACCGCTCCAAACCCGACGTCGAAAAATCTACATATGATTCCAGCATCGGTATTGTGAGAGGCGAAGCTGACGCAGTGGTTGTTGAAGCTGTCAATGCAACTGGGTGCACAAGCGGCCGAAGAGTGGTTTCCTGTGCTCAAGCCTGTGCTGCCCAACATATGGGGATCGTCGAGGTGGAAGTTCCCATCGACCCCACATTTTCCCGGGCCCGGGTTGGTTTGATAGTTGTGGAAGCTGTGGAAATCGTGCTAGTACGGGTGCTGGTAAGCAAGTCGAACTGCGATCTCGGGTATGTTCCAAGTCGGGTCGTCCGCGGAGTGTGTAGGGGCGACTTGACTTTTGTCGATTACAGTGGCTATCACAGCCTGAACAGGGATGTTGAAGAGGTAGCATGGTGATGCGTCGTGGCTAACCCGAGCAGCAGCGTAGAAGGCGAGGGTCATACACGAGGGTCCGAAGGCTCGGCAGTCGAAAAGGCTGTTGCAAAGTCATGATCTTGATGATAGACCGCCGCACCCAGGGCATGAGGAGAGGTTGGGTAAAATTGCCCATACATTTCTAAAGCGAGGGCGGGGAGTGACTGAGCGAGTATGATCGATCGTTGCAAAATGGATCTTCATTTTTCCGCTAGAGAGGGATATCAGGGACGAGTAAAAAGGGGGACAGCAACGGAAAAGTATGAAATGTCTTGTTATATATAGCATGTGGAAGCATTAAAAATTTGCGAATTTTATTGCCTCCATCAATGGCTGTGTGCTACTTAGCAGCAAAGCAATCAACAGGCTGCAGGACAATTACCCTCTTGACACCATTAGCTTGTCAAGTGCCTAGTCATGTAGTCCAAGCATTTCTCATTCGCAAAAACAATCCTTTATGTCCTAATGTAAACATTTTGCCATTCGCCAAGTCATTCAGGTCGCACAAGTAGACCTGGTTAGTTTACAGTTGTCTTCACGCGGCAGAGCCACCCACTTGGTAAGCCCCTCTTTAGGTGGGGACATTGCGTGTCAGCGCATAAGGTTAAAAGTAAGCTTGTTCATTGATACATGAATTCTAATTACAAGATGAGAGGTCGTGTCACTAAACACCGGGAGTGGCAAAAGGTATATGGGGAGCGCTGACTGAGGGACCAACGCCCCAATATGGATCCACATGTATGTAGCCCATATCGTAGAAAGTTATCGTAAATTTCGATGAGACAGGAAATCAATACCCCTTGAACCGCCCAAGGGAAAAACACGAAACAAGTGCTGAATGGCCTTGGGGGTATTGTGCTCACCAAAGCTATTCAATAAGAAGGCAGGTTAACACGAATCTCTTCCGGAAATTAGTGGATGCATTTCCTGAGCCAGAATCGAAATCCCTTTGGTATAAACAAAGACAGACTTATATATCCCTACGTCCGAGACTCCAGTCCCGGCCAGCACCATTCGATCCAACCCGATCCTGCGCCTTTTACCATCAAACACAAAAGAAATGATTTCGCACAGTATCCCCTCATCCCATCTTAAAATCGGGAGGCCCACTCATATATCCATTCATATGACCATTCCCTGGATTCATGGGAGGCAACTCCATCGGAGGCTTCTCCATCTCGCCATTCCGTCCTTGGGCCTGCGTTTCTTCACGCTTTGAACGTCCCAACCTTTCGCACCACTCTTCAGCACTAACGATCGTTCCATCGAGCACACCTGACACCTGGGCCATCATATCCAATCCCTCTTTTGCCAAAACCAAAACCCGATTAGCACCATCCCTGATCTCAACATCACCACCCTCGCCGTTTCTCGAACTTTCAGTATTTCTTGAACTCGCAAGTCTGAATCGCTGTGGCAAACTCGTCAAGTGCCGACGAACTAAGTCTCTTGCGTTTTCCGGCAATGCTCCTCCGGCATATTTTGACACGATATCCACGACCTCTTTCAAGGTCTTCAAAACGTCTCTCTTCAGCTCCGCGATTTTTGCGTTGAGCGCTGATCTTTCTGCGTCGCTCCTTATGATCAACTGTCCTTCAGATCCAGATCCTTCGATTTTTCCAGAATCTTCTGCGCTGCCTTGATCATACTGTTCCAACACAGTTTTCAATGCTAGAATAACTTTACCAATGTGTTCATTTGCCCACCGCAACCACCCTAAGCAGTACTTCAGGCTCCGCAAAGACTCCTCACTCATGGCGACACTAAGGCCGCTAGTGGATAGGACGAGACGGGATTGCCATGAACTTCCAGGCGAGGTGGGCTCTTCTTGACTTTGGGTGGGAATCAGCGCTTGTTGCGCTGCTTCATAATCTGGACTTCTGTGCTCATCATATGCTGGAAGGCTTTCCACTGTTGAGCCCTGACTTGGTCTTCGTTGGCGATGTTGCAACTCCTGACGATGGACTGGATAGGGGTCATGTGCAACATCACGATCGATGTCCATCTCCTCCGTTCCCATCTTCCGGCGCTTGTTGGAAACTTCTGCACCGTTTTCTAAATCAGAAGGTTGCTGGTGACTCGGCCGTCGTTCCCCAAGAAACCAGCGTACCCCTCCTTCCACCCCAGTTAATCGTCCGACAGACCCAACAGTATTAACGACGGGAGTAAATCTTCTTTCCACATATTCTGCACTCGACTTGAATCGCGGACTATAGTTTTTGGATGCCGAATAGGCGGACAATGAACCGCCAATCGCGGTACCGATAAGAGGGTGTGAAGTTGTGAGGAGGGAGAGGAGTGGTTCGGGTTGCCCTGCCCCTCTTGATTGAAAGGATGGAGGAGAAGATGGTGGCAGTGATCTATTTTGTTGTGGGGGAGATTGTATAAAGTCTAAAAATTGTATTAGTAAAAGAAGAAACAGCGTTTCGTCCGAACGTACCAGCTCGAAGGTCTCCCAGCGCTTCAGCTGCGATGCGCACATCAGGATCATCAATCGACAGCACACTTCCACCACGCCTCCGGCTGTCTGGTGTATCGATATCCATGGTTCTAGGTGACTCGATGTCATGCGACGAGGAGTTGGTCTTCGGCGAGAGTTGTGAGGGACCGGGCTGGTAGTAGGCGGTCAATGGGTTTGAAGACGGCCAGACGAACTGGTGCTCCTCTGCGCGTAGTCGTGGCTCTGTGGGAGCAGGTGGTAAGGGAGGCAAGGTACGCTCATGATGGGTGGGAGGTGGATCTGCGGTGGGGACTGAGGGAAAACTCAGAGATTGAGGGTCGTGAGACTGTGAGTAGGAGGGTGGCTGCTCTCGGAGCATGTGATCCTGCTCCATCGTTGGCCGCAAACGCCGACGAGAACTGCCAAGGGCACAGATTTTGCGAGGAAATATGCTATCGTATAGTCGATGGTCGGATTGAAATAACGGTCGGATCGCACACCATTTGTGGGATTTGTTCGGGGTTCAGGGCGAACTTCCTTGGGAAGTCCCTTTCAGCGGTCAACAGCGCCTTGTGATAATATGGTTGGGTTATGCGACAGCCCGAGCCGTGATTTGATTTCGAAGGAGAGTGAAAAAGTGACAATAATTCTATAATGAAACGAAGCAGGTCTCTCTAGAAATCGATGTCTTCCCTAAACTTTTGTGGTGGCCGTGGCAGTTCACATGGTTGTTCGTAGGGGGGAGGGAAGGAGGAGCACGATGATGGCAAGCTCCACGGGCAAATGATCACATGCCAGCCCGAAGCTGCGGAAGCCCGAAGGCTAAATGGGGACCCTCTCACGTGAAAGCCGTCGATTTGGTAGTTTTTCGAGGGGAAGTTTGAAACACTGAGGGAAAAAGAGCAAAAGAAGGTCATATACACAGATGTTGATACAGTTTGATAATGCTTAAGATATATCTCTTTCAGAATCAGAGAATATTTGCGGCCAAAATTCTGACGGAATGATAAGCGCAAACCGAAGCCTCGGGACATGGAGCCTGCCAACCTGCCAACCTTCTTCCCGTAGTCTCGTAAATAGAACGACTTTCATGGTTATAATTGGTAGATGGTGCCATAGCCGTTCTTCCCATGGTAAATTTGTATGGTCCCTCTGACGCCGCCCAAGCAACCTATTGCTCTATTCAAGCATTGCTCGGCCAGCTCTTATGGTACCTTTGGTATCGGTCTCCGCGCCACGAAATCGCTAACTGCATCAATTGGAAGGCAAAGTAGGCAACTGACAGAATGCCAGGCCGGTCGTGCTTTATATGTTGAGCTGCACTGTCTAGAGGGCGCGTTGGAGAAGAAAAGAGGAAAATTCGCAGGCGAGGTTTTCGATATCCGCAATTTAGAAGCTAAGCCCAATTAGGGCAAGTGCGGAACTAGCGAGACAAGACCACCATCGATGTCGAGCTACATTTCCAGCGACGTGGGGTCAAGCCCTTGAAGCCAAGTCCCAATATCTCGAGCGCATACAATCTTCATACTTCGCGAATGTTTCCGCTCCTCTGAATAGCTCATACCGGCCAGCTTGGCTCCCTATTTCCGCCACAAACCCTCTTCCTCAACTGTCATCATGGCCTCTGCTGTCTTCTTTCTCGACCTTAAGGGAAAGGTAAGCTCTCATGCAGTCTTCTGCCCGTGGCCACTGCTAACGTTCGCAACAGACCCTCTTGGCTCGGAACTACAGAGGAGATATCCCTATGTCAGCTGTTGAGAAGTTCCCAATACTTCTGAGTGATGCAGAAGAAGAAAGCTCCGCTGTCCCACCATGCTTCTCAGACGAAGGAATCAATGTATGCTATACTCGCCAGACTGTCATGCGTCTTTTCTGACTTATGACCAGTACCTTTATATCCGACATAATAATCTTTACCTCTTAGCCCTCACAAAACGGAACACAAATGCCGCCGAGATCCTCCTATTCCTCCACAAGATTGTTGAAGTCTTCACCGAATATTTCAAAGAGCTCGAGGAAGAATCGATACGAGACAACTTCGTCGTTATCTACGAACTTCTTGATGAAATGATGGATTTTGGCTACCCACAAACTACCGAATCAAAGATCTTGCAAGAATACATCACACAAGAATCGCACAAGCTCGAAGTCCAAGCACGGCCACCAATCGCTGTCACGAACGCTGTCTCGTGGCGATCAGAAGGTATCAGATATCGGAAGAACGAAGTGTTCTTGGACGTTGTCGAATCTCTCAACCTCCTCGTCTCCTCCAACGGCAATGTCCTGCGGTCCGAAATTCTTGGGGCTATAAAAATGAAGTGCTATCTTTCTGGTATGCCAGAGTTACGGTTGGGGCTGAACGACAAAGTGATGTTCGAGACAACGGGACGGGCAACTCGAGGGAAGGCTATTGAGATGGAAGACGTCAGATTCCATCAATGCGTGCGCTTAGCACGCTTTGAAAACGACCGCACAATTTCGTTCATACCTCCTGATGGTGAATTCGAACTCATGTCCTATCGGCTGAATACAGCGGTGAAGCCTTTAATCTGGGTAGAGTGTATCGTGGAGTCGCACTCGGGAAGCAGAATCGAATACATGCTGAAGGCAAAGGCACAATTTAAGCGTCGGAGTACAGCCAACAATGTTGAAATAACAGTTCCCGTTCCAGAAGATGCGGACTCTCCAAGGTTCAGGACGAATATCGGCAGTGTTCACTATGCCCCGGAAAAGAGCGCGATTGTGTGGAAGATCAAGCAATTTGGTGGTAATAAGGAGTTCCTAATGCGAGCCGAATTAGGTCTGCCTAGTGTGAAGGGTGATGATGAACATGGCGGCGGCATGACTGGTGGTTTTGGTGGAAGCATGGGAGGTGTCGGAGGGAAGGGAGCAAAGAGGCCGATCAGTGTGAAGTTTGAGATCCCGTACTTCACCACGAGTGGTATTCAAGTGCGGTATCTGAAAATCATAGAGCCGAAGGCAAGTTCATCTCCCCCCCCCCCTAATTATGGATGTGGTCACATGATCGACACGCTAGTCCTTCGCATGATCGTAAATTTGGATGCTAACTGTCCCTTACAGCTTCAATATCCGTCACTCCCATGGGTCCGCTACATTACACAATCAGGCGACATTGCTGTGAGATTACCAGACGTTAGCACTAATACTGGAGCTGGACCGAGATGAACAATTTCTAGCAAATTACAGCGGAGGAGTACAAGTTTCGAGAATTTCAATGTTGGGGAAAGGCGAGGGAATGCATTCCAGGCGTCAGGTAATAGATTCTCAAGCTGATGCATTGGCTTGTAGATAGCTAGGCCGTCAAAACATACAGAGTGAAGGCGAAAGGACAAACACATGAGCATCGATCGTCCAACTTTTGCTGCAATCTTGACGGCGAATTCTTTGACGCTATCCGTGCCCAGAGCCAGATTGCTGAGGCTGCAGTTTTCTTGTCCGTCCCACGATCATCTGCATAGAGAAATGAATGGAGTGGAACTGCGAGTGCAGACGAAGCAGATGCGTTGCTTTCTTGCCTTCTCAACCTATATCATCTATTGCACTTTACATGGTTTTTATCGTCTCGAGTGATTGATCGCCTCAAGTGATTGATCGCCTCAAGTGATTGATCGCCTCAAGTGATTGATCGCCTCAAGTGATTGATCGTCTCGAGTGATTGATCGTCTCAAATGATTGATCGCCTCAACTGGTTGATCGCCTCAACTGATTGATCAACTCTCTGATGCAGTCAAATTAATTATCTTCATATTGGAATTCTCTCGGCGGAAAGAACGAGCAAGTCGCGTCGCTCAACCTGTACCTCCAATTTTCCCATCTGAATATCATTTGTACATGGATCACAGAATAGATATGAGACAGAGGACACCATAGCTAGGCAGCTTAAGATTGATTCGAATCAATTTCCTCCTATTACGATCGTCACTCCGTGCGAGACTGTGATGCTGGCTGACTCACTTGAACCCCTTGAACCCCTTGAAGGCTGATCTGCTTGTAGAGTTACAAGCAGCAAATAAGGTACAAATCCCTTCCTAACTTGTAATCAAATACGTTGATCCTGTCTGGTAGGTTGTTTAAGCTATTAAGGCCCGGTTCGTTTTTGTAGTTTGGCGAAATTAAATCTCGCGAAATGTGACTTCACGGATTTGGTGAAATAGGTGTTTCGTCAAATACGCGAAATAGAGCACTCGGCCGTTTTTCGTATGTAGAAAATCGGCCCTATTTCACGAAATTAGCGTTTTGTTAAATCCAAATCGAATGGGGTAATATCTCACGAAATCGATTTGGCAAATCTAGGAAAACGAACAAGTACTGTTCCCCCCGGTTTGTCAATGCGAGCGACTAATCAATCGGGGTGCAATTGTACGCCCTGATTGCTTGATAGCCTATTTAAGCGAACTCCGGTGTATCCCTTCGTCCAATAAGACATTACTAGCGTATCAGCCACAGCTGTGGCACCCAATAAAATTCCTGAAGCCATATAATTTTATGCCCCGCCAGCCAAGCGAGAGCCCCCTGCCTACGCTAGTAATGTCTCACTGGACGAAGGGAAGATGCGAAGGGAAACAAGGTACAAGCAAACTTTTAAAGTATCAAAATATTTTTAAAATTGTAAAATATTAGAATCCTATTAATAGGATTTATTAGAGATGGTTTAATTATTTATATTAAATAAGTAATCTTAGCTAAAAATCCTTTATTACAACTTTAAATGATTTTAATTATAAAATAGTTTTTTAAAATATAAAATTGTATTAATTTTTATATCTTTAATAAAATTTAATCTAAGAAAAAATTATTTAAGTCTCTTATATATATTTATTCTTTTTATTTAATTAAACTTTTGCTCTTATTCTTTATTAGGAAGTTATATAATATTTTAAAAATAAGATTTTTCATTAGCAAATCGGGCCCCTCGCTTTAGACCGATTAATTAATGACTCTCGTTTTGACCCACTGGGGGGGACAGTAATTCGCCAAATTTTAGAAATTCGTCAATGGGCCCACCCAGGTTCATAAAATTCGCGAAAACGACGGGGCCTAATAGTTCCTCGTGTCGCTGCTGCCAAACTGATGTTCCATGATGGGAACTGTGAATTGGTTGCGTCTGTGACTGACTCCAAAATCATGAGGGCCTCCTCTCTACACATCTCTAATGCTCGCAGCAAACCTCTTTTGCCGTTATTCCTTCCAAATAGCCTCGCAATGTCTCAAAACAAAAACAACTTCCGCTGCTCGGCGTTCACAAGCGAAGACCATGATGGGCATCTCTCTCCAAAAGAGCGAATATCGTTCTTCCTTTGGGCTGACCATTTGGAATCATCTCTTCGTCGTTACCCTGGATCCTCACCAGAAAGATTCTTGGAGGCTTTTGACTCCATACCGACCACTGGGGAGAATACTTACCTTCCTTCGATGTGCTTCTTCTTGTTGCTGTCCAAATTTGACGGACCACGACCAATTGACATCCTCCGCTGCTATTTGGAGATATGGCGTACTTTGCCAGAAGCCGCAAAGTTAAGCTCGGACACCAACGGCATGGCCCTTGCGGATACCTTACGGAGGCAAGTCCAAAAATCAGTGGGTTCGCTATTGTCCTTGTTGCCAACTCAGCAAACACTGGCCCTTACCGACATCGATGGCGGTAAAGCAATCACGTACCATCGATTGTATATATTCATTCAAAATTTCTGTCTGCCACTAGACGCCGTATACTCAATGAATCGAAAACCAGTGGTGGCCTTGGCTCTCCTAAATGGATATCTTCTCGGCCTGGCATCCTTAGCAGTTTCGGCGTACTATACTGCCATGCCAATCAATGTGTCTGGCGGCGCTGAACAGTTCCAGAGGGATGTCATGATCACAAAGGTAAACGCCATCATGGTTCTTGAATCAGACGTGGTGACACTAGGTTTGAGAGAGCCGTGGGTGACTGCAGCAGGTATCGACATCCTTGTTGCGGAGGAGGATTTGAACTCGACCTTCTCTGTGCGACGAGTCGGCGAACCAATAAGAGGGTCTAGTGTGGGAAAACCTGAGCCAAACTTTGGAGACGACTTTGCATTTATCCTTCTGACAAGTGGGACAAGTGGCATGAAGAAGGTTGTTCCAATTTCTGTGCTCTCGCTGGTGATTGGAACTTCCTGTGTCATCGACTCCTGGGGATTGAAAAGTGAAGACACTTGCATTAACATGATGCCACTGAACCATGTGTAGGTTTCTACTTTTTTGACCTTTTTTGATCCTAGTTAATTGAATTAGTGGCGGCATCGTTCGAAATTTGTTCGCACCAGTTCTTTCCGGAGGAGCTACGGTGCTCTGTTCCGCCTTCGACCCCAATACCTTTTGGGATTTATTGGAGAAAGGCATTGGAACTTGGTACTATGGTTCGCCCGCTATGCATTCTGGCATTCTGACCGAAGCTTCTTTGCGAGCAGAGGCAATCAAGAGATGTCGCCTTAGACTTATTTGTAACGCTGCGGCCTCACTTCTTCCAACTCTTGCACAACATCTCAAGGAAATTTTCCGCTGCGTCGTTCTTCCAAGTTATGGTATGACTGAGTGCATGCCGATTTCAGCCCCGCCTCTGGATTATAACCTCGAGCTCCCAGGAACAGTTGGGTTTGCCTGTGGACCTGAAATCAAAATCTTGGATCATGACGCCAAGCCCGTGAGGAGAAATGAGATTGGGAGGATATGTGTCCGGGGCGGTCCCACCTTTGGAGGTTACCTTGAGGATAACGGAGTTCTCCGAAAGACCCTCTTGCCAGGAGGCTGGTTTGACACCGGGGATGTAGGGTATTTCGATGCAGACAATTACCTTTTTCTGACCGGAAGACAGAAGGAGGTGATCAATCGTGGAGGAGAGCTTATATCTCCTCTGGAAATCGAAGAAGCGATCTCCTTTGCCTCACAGGACTCGAGCTCGCCGCTGTATGGACTCGTGAATAAGGTTCTAGCATTCTCGGCTCCACGTGATGTCCTGCAAGAAGTCGTTGGAGTGGTCCTCGTCACGAATTCCGGGAAACCAAGGCCAGATCTTCGTGTCTTGCAGGAGGCTTTGAAGACTTCTTTGCATTCGTCCAAATGGCCGGTTGTTCTCGTCTACATGGATGCTCTTCCAACTCAGAACGGCAAGCTCTTACGTATAAAGCTTGGAGAAAGGCTAAGCCTTTCTCCCATCAACGATGACACGACTCTGGCACAACGGCATTTTGATGCTGTTTGTCCACCACCGAACACTTCTTTAGAGACAGAGATCCAGAAATCAAATTGCCCGCTTGACGCGGATGTCTTGTTAAGCAAAGTTCTAGGAAACTTGGGAGCCGAGTTCGAAGTATTTGTTTGTGTGCAGCAGCACACTGGCCTTTTCGAGTTAGTTGTAGCTCCACGCACAATCTCAATTGGAAGATTACCCCAAAGCCTCGAAGAAGCTCTGTACTCTGTTCTCCGTCGAGATCTTGACGGTTATCTCATTCCTTCAAAGATCACCTGTCTCCAGACACCTTTCCCAATGGAGGATGCCGACACGATCGATGAGCAAGAGCTTACGAGAATGCTCACGAACAATGAACCACGGCCTAGAACGTCGAGCTCAGGAACAGAACTGAAAATTCGACAAGCGATTGCAGAAGTTCTTCAATTCCCAATTGACGAGATTTCTCCCGAGACTGATTTCTTCGACATTGGTGGGGACAGCTTGAGCGCAGGAAGATTACTCTCCTTGCTAAGGCGGAATCTCCAAATTCGTGTTCCAGTCGAGCAACTGTTTAGATCAAGCAAGGTTCGAGATTTGACGAAACTTGCAGAAAGATTGTTGGTTGTTCAAGATGGAGATCCAGACGAGAAGTGGGACAAAGCGAATTCAGAGATCGGATCTGGGAAGACGTACAGCTCCACAAACCCGATCGTGCTGCTTCTTCAACTCCTCCCTATCACGTTATTTTACCCCCTCAAGATGGCTCTACGATGGACGATATTAATTCATGTACTGGTTGCACTTAGGGCCGTTCGGAACAGTCCCCATGTTGCCGCTCGGTATGCTTGCCTCATGGCTGCATTAGCAATTTCTCGCTTGTCGGTGGAGATTGCGTCGCCTATTTTCGGTATCCTATTCAAGTGGATAGTAATTGGCCGTTACAAGGAGGGACTTTATCCCATGTGGGGACCTTATCATATGAGATGGTGGCTCGTCCAGAAGGTCTTAATGATTTGCAATGAGGTACGTCTCTTCCTTCCAAAATCCCTCCGAGAAAGCTTGACTAAAATGGAGTCCAATGGCAGGGAGTATTCGGTTATTCCGAATACACAAGGGTTCTGTACTACCGGTTGCTTGGAGCCAAGATTGGGGGAAACGTAACCATCAGCCCTGGGGCTGTTCTCGGAGAGTACGATCTGCTCGACATTGGAGACAATGTGCTTTTGGACGGATGTATTTGCAGACCATTCGCATGCGAGAGGAATTCTTCTATGTTCCTGGGAAGAATAGTAATCGGCAAGAACGCTCGTATCGGGTTGAAGTCACTTGTTTCTCCAGGTTCAGTCTTACCTGACGACACTTTCATTGGACCGAATTCAGCATCACATGAAATAAATCCTCTCGATGACTCCCACGGTTCCATCAATGGACTGGTCCCGGAATTCCCTACTCTCTTGAGTGTTCTGGTGATCTATTTGGCAAAGATCCTCGTGTTATTCCTCTCATCTATCCCTTGGATGGTTGGCTACTACGGCATGGCGACAAAACAACCTTCAGTGATGAGCGACAGTGTCAAGAATATTATTACCTGGTGGGCCAGTCCACGACGAATTGCTTTCCGCTACCTTACTCTAACTCTTGACAACATTGTCGGACCTTTCTTTTGGTTTGCTGCTTTGGTTGGTATCAGGATATTAATAGACAGCGTCATTGGGAGTGCTTCTCCTCACTCCGCAGAGGATAGAACCCAAACAGACATATTCAGGAGAAATCTCATGGAAATATTAGTACCGAGAGGTGATCTCAAACGCATTACCCGGCTCTTTGGTCTTCATTATGAGTTCACCTCCATGGCTATCAGAGCACTTGGGGGGAAAGTAGGAAAGAACATTTATTGGCCTGGACAGGGCCCAGAGATTCAGGATTTCAACCTTATAACTGTCGGGAATGACGTCGTCTTCGGTTCAAGGTCTTTTGTGGTCACAAGTGATAGTTTAGGGTCAGCTCCTGTTGAGATCCAAGATGGAGCCATGGTTGGGGACCGTGTCATCTTGTCGCCTGGATCCACAATTGGAAAGAATACACTGCTTGGAAGTGGAGCACTCGCGAAACGCCACCAAACTTATGCTGCAGACACAGTTTGGCTGGGGAACAGGGACGGTGGACCCGTTTCCCTGACGAAAACCCCCAACCAGAGTAAGAGGTGGACTTTGAATGATCATTATGAGGATCAGGAAGCCCCCAGAATCGAGTCTCGATCTTCTCTCTCCTACTCCACATCAGAGAGCACTCTTGATCCGATTCAGGAGCTTGAAACTGATCGCCTCCTCAATGCATCTCCGGAGACCGAGCTGCCGTCCACCCCTTTCGGACGAGCATTTTATTATCATAAAGCTCCCTATTTCGTGTTCAACCAAACGACAATATTTCTCTACTGTACCAGTCTTCTAATCCTCGTCAAGGTATTCTGGGACATTGGTCCTCTTTTATCGATTGCCATCTCTATGATGAACAAGCATTCGAGCTTACTGAATCCTGGCCCACAACGCCCATTCATAATCTATGGCTATGCCATCGCATTCAGCTCTGTGGTCATCCCCCTCCAGTGTTTGGTTTCCATGTTTGTCACTATAGCAGCTAAATGGGCGCTCCTCGGCCGTCGACAGCCCGGCTCGTACGACTGGGACAGAAGCAGCTACTGCCAACGGTGGCAGGTCTTACTCACAATAGAGACCATAATTAAAGAATCCCTAGGCGATATTGGTGTCCTGCGTATGCTCACTGGGACTCATTATGCGGTGCTCTACTTTCGCGCTTTGGGAGCGAAGATTGGCAAAGATTGTGCGTTGTTTGCAGGGGGGGAATTGAGCGTGATCATTACGGAGCCAGACTTGTTGGAGCTAGGTGATCGGGTAGCCATTGACGATGCGAGTTTAGTCTCGCATATCAATTCACGTGGGTATTTCTCTTTGAACCGGTTGAGTGTTGGAAGTCGCTCGGTTCTAAGGTCGGGATCAAGACTTCTGTCTGGTGCTGAGATGGGAGAGGATACCTGCCTACTCGAACACACACTTATTATGAGTGGCGATACTGCAGATGATGGGAAAACCTACCAAGGCTGGCCGGCAGATGTTTTCAAGGGCAATCGAATGAAATTGAGCGCCCTGATAGTCGAATAGTTCTCAGCTAGATGTACCAGCTTTCTTTGATACAAGACGCATCAAACATCTCTCACTTCATATAAATAGTAACGAGAAAGTCTGTGTAAGTTTTCTTCTTGCAAAAACAACTTCGTTAGATGTTATATCCTACAATGAAAGCGGAAGCATGCTAAAACATGCAGTATCGTGATCGTGATGTTACTCAACATAGGACGACATCACGTACGCCCCAAGTCTGCCTGCTTGAACCAAAGCCGACAAGTTAAAACTCAAAAGCAACATAACAGATATATGACCAGCAGCAAAGAAGTGACAGCTAATCTGATGGGCGGATAGCACTTAAGCGTCAACAGCCCAGGATTGAAAAACAAACCAACAGGTCGTCATCAGACTCCAGACCGAAAATCATTATCTTCGAAACGTATGTATGATCGAAAGGAGATTCGTTGGGGCTAGGCATTTTGGTTTCGCAGATCCCCGATAACGTATATGGTAGAAAGCAAGACTTGCTCTTCGTCTAGAAGTGAAGGTAGAGGAGCCGGTCAACCTTCAAACAGCATTTGGGGCTTTGCGTGCTGATCAAGACAGGAGAGCGCCTTTACGGTATTCAATTTCGCGTAGCACCAGATCTGTGGAGCCGTCTGGGTTTCGAGGGTCTAGATAGACCGTGACGAATAAGCCTCTTGCATCGCGCCCTGCCATTAATTAGCACAGGGACAACTGGCGGTATCTTCACGGCTAGACTTACGACCATGGCGTCGATCATGTCCCCTCCATTCATGGTAGCGCCAAGCCTTGTCGTCGATGAGAACTCTATCAAGATCTCCGGTTCTGCAAGAGAACGCTATCAAACCAATGAGCATAGCCAGGTTGCCAGCCAGACCTCCTGCCCGTGGCGCATTATCTTCTTGATTTTTATAAGAATCAAGCCCAAGTCCACGGATGAATCCGGCCTTATTGCCAGCAAGATAAGTATATTCGCCTGCGAAGTCCAAGTACGAGACTTTATCCAAGTGGTGGAAGCAGAGGGGGTACCATCGATCCTGAGGAGCCGGAGAACCTGGTAAATCCCTAAATCTGACATCGCCATCGGTGACAACAAATTGGTTGAAAGGATTGCAGTAAAACATAGTTACGGCTTTGAATAGGGTGAGACCGGCGCCGTTCGGTGCATCCGTGGCTCGACTGACCTGACCATCATGCCAGCGGTACATGGTGCCTGGGCGCTGTTGACCAAACCCAGCGCGATACGCTGGTGGGGACCAGAGAAGAGTGTTCGGGTCAATTTGTTGATTGGGAGGGATGCCTCCTTCCTCGGGATCCTCGTTAAGCTCCTGGCGATTGACAGAGAACAGAAAACTTGGCGTCACCTGGATGGGTGTGTTTTCAGCTTCTGGCTCCGAGTACTCTTGTTCGGAGGAAGAGGAGGTGGTGGTAGTGGATGGGGCCCTCTTCGACGAGGAATGTCCTCCCGAGGATTTCTATTGGGCGTTCAGACGAGTGCTAGTGGACGTACTAGCGAGATCAACCTACATGAGCATGTTTTCTATGTTTTCCGTGCCTAGGCATGTCGCAGGGAGTGAACAGGAAAAGTGATAATGTAAAGCCTCACAATGCTAAAATGTTGTTTTGATCAAAGGGTGGTTCCAGAACAAGTCTCGCATCGAGAAGAGAAGATCTGACAGCTGGTCTGGTCTGATATGGGACATCTCCCGCTCCAAAGCGACCGCAAGCGACATGATCATCTCGCAGGAGTGCGAACGTTGTGGAAATGGGTCTTGTGACAACATATGATTGGGTTTTGAGGATAGCCCGAGAGGTGATCCCAGCCCGAGGATGCGGCAGCATGCTTTCTCCATGCACGTTGGGTTGGCATCGTGGTTTGTAAATAGTGACAAGAAAATGGCACCCGAAAGGTGATGATCTGCAATGAACAAACTCAGACTCGTCGCAAAACCCCCGAGAGACTTGGTGAGGACGACATAGAGGAGTGTAGGTTGAATAATGAAGCATGTCCTCGGCCCGTGTATCTTGGTGGCACCTTGCCATTTCAGGCGAGCGATACGATGCGTATTTGATCCCTATGTTCCGCACCCCGGGCAGACGGATAAGGATCGATCGATTGCTCCGCTCCTGGTTGCTGGATCAATTGAGTGAAAGGGAAGGATGCAATGCTGGCACAAGCCACGAGACCGGTCTGGCCACCCGCCTGCAAACGAGGCGACCTTACAGGAGCTGCACACCCAACCCATCACTAGATGTATGGCTGATCGGTCCCCCACAGGCAAAACCACCACCACGTCGTCTCTGTGGACGCAGGTGACAACTTTGCCACACCGGCCTTCTCATCTCAATCCCTCATCCAGGCGGAAGGTTGGGATAGCTCGAATATCCACCATAACGGTGTCGGGCCGAGAACAGGGGCCACGTCCCCACGCTGCGCGAGTGGTGCGCAAAGCATCGCTGCAATGATCGCACGGGATGCTGGGCCGGGAATTGGGGAGTGGCGTTCTTCTTGTTTGGGGACGAGACGTGCTCGGAAAAGACAGCAAATGCCGGAGATTCCAGGGCAGGAAATGATCTTGCCCGTGGACAGAAAAAGCCTTGACGAGAGAAAAAATCGGGGAGATGAGGCTCTGCAGCGCCCACGCCTATATCTGGAGGCGGACTCTCCATCAGAAAGCGCGAATTTTGCCGGTGCCGGTTTTGCTTTGCGACCCAAGTGAGATGTGATTCGATAATCCTAGTGGTGTGAACGCTTCTTGCTTCCAGTGGAGTGGGTGGAGCGTCCGACGAATCAGGGGGGCCCAATTTTCCTGCAGACATATTAGCGGCCATTCGAAAGTTCGGAGGTCGTGAGCAGAGCAATGTCGATTTCGTGTTACGAACCACTTACAAAGCGATTGGTTACCTGATGTCAGAGTTTGATCGATTATTCCCTTCCCTGGAGAACTTTCTCGAGGAGGGCAACGCCATCTTATATTTCTCCTTCCTGCAGTCGACAGGTGGTGTCACCTGCCGCTGTGCATGCAATGTCGCTCGACGCCCAGTTCATGTGTAGACAGTATCTACTAGCCTGGTCGCCTCGTCCGCCTTGCCTTTTCGAGATACTATCTCCCCAACTCGCACCCTGTAATCATTTGCGCACCCAATAGATATTAGCAAATGCATACGCTGTGCAGCAAATCCTCTGCAAGTGAGGGTCGACGTGCCTCGATCAAGCGCTGCTACCACAATATGTGCGTCGACAAGGTGTGACCTGTCAAGTGTCAATTCGGTAGAAGACGTGAGGTCTGTTTAAAGTTTTAAGGGACCAGGCTGTGGTATTCCTTGAAGGATTGGAGCTTGCCAAAGGGTTGATTGGTCATTTGGAGCAGGCCATGTGCGGACCACTGCAAGGCAAGTGCCTTCCAGAAGTCATTTGCACAGCACATGGAAATGATTGGCCAGGGAATGCTCGTCCATGCCCCTTTTAAAACAACTGTGACCACTCCGCGAAAATGGTGACAGAAGATATGACAGAACGAATACATATCCGAATAGTCGGAGTCGAAACTGTCGATTACCAGCCGGCATACTTGATCCAAAGGCAACAGCTCTGTCGCAGTGCAGTTTTCCGGACATCGAACGAATCACGAGGGCGAGTGCATGTGAACCTCGTGATTCGATGGATTCATCCGATAAGTCGATGGTGGCCTGGGCCGCAGGAGTGTTGCAATGGTAGAAGAGATTTAAGTGGACGTCTGCACATATCCTTGCTTTACTAGATTTCATTGGATGGCAGCTGTATCCAAAGACACCTTTTGCTGGACGGCGGGGTTGGAGATTGGAGCGGTAAAACAAGTCGGTTTGACCTGTCATTGCCACAATGAGGGCGAACGCCACAAATATACCCGCCTCCGAACCAGGGTTGGAACAGGGCTATATCTACATCAAAGGGAGGTCAAGTTGTGAACTGTCGTGGCCATGATAGGAGCAGATAAGAAGCATCGACGTTGACTATGTGCTGGTTGCTTTGGTGTCAGTGATTGGCTAGGAATGCGGGTCTTGGGGAAGCTTGGCCTGCGATATCGAGCTGCCGTGCGGTAGCAGAATTCAAGGTGGTGAACTGGTGCGCATTTGGGGCCGACAGGAGTCTGATCATCATCGGCAGCCACAAGCGGAGCATAATATTGCCTCGTTGTGCTTTCGTTGACATCGGCATTTGGCATGATGAGCAGGTTTGGAGACCATCGGCGGCGGTAGTGGGCTGCTTGGGGATGTCCCAGATGATGCGAGCGACGATATCAGTCTTGTTGATGGATGTGGACGATTGACGCATAAATTTGGGGACGAAGATGAAGAAATTCAGGAGATGGAAAGCCTTTGGCCCGCCCTGCCAAGCGAAATTAGCCTAAGGGGCACGTGACAGTCAACGCCTTTTCGAGAGTGTGACTTTATGAGCCCCTGATGGGAAGAAGATCCTGATCCATTTGGGATACTCTCTGAAGAATCCAAAGGATCTGAGAAATGTATGTGGATGAAAGTACCAAGAAAAAAGAACCAGTTCTTGGTGCTTGTTCAGGACGTCTGGCGAGGCAGAGAGGTAATCAAAGACCCATTTTTTTTTACAAATAAACGACAGGAAATAATAATATCATCAATTCGTATTATGAATTCCTATCACCTAATCTCTTAATTAAACCTAATATATAAAAAGACAATTTATTATATCACCGAAATTGATGGCACATTGGCTTCACTTGAGTCACATTCTGGTATCATTTCTAAAGCAGAGATGCTGGCCCGGCTTGGTCCTGAGAAGCTCTAATGGGCATGAGAAGCACAGGAGCAGAATCCGGCACATCTCTCATCTACCCGCTATTCTAGGTCACCTCCAGGTCGTCGCTAGTCTATTTCTTAATGAAGGAATAATCTCAAACTCGTCCCGTTCTCATTCCTTCCTCATGCCCCATCCACCAAGTCCAGTTCTTTGATAACCTTTGGGGTTTGAGGTAGCTGGCTTGACACGAACCTTTCCCTCCCACTTCTCCTTCCAGTCCAACTCCAATATTGCCTTGTCAATTTGGCTATCGTCAGCCAGTTCGATAAAACAATAGCAGTGATGTCCTTCTCGCTCCTCACTCGTTTCACGAGGCAAGAACAGTTTGCTGACTTTCGAGACCTCAAACCCCTCAAATAACTCCTTGACACCAGCCTCAGTAGCTCCTTGGTCAGCAAACTCAGGCAGGCCACCAACGAATAGTCGTCGTCTCTCTCCGATCTTGCCAGACACACCGGTCGAATGATTGACTTTGATATGCCAACCCCACATTTCATTCCCGTCTAAGCCCTTGATGGCTGGCTCAGCATCACTAGCAGAAGCAAGATCGACGAAGCAGTAGTTATGATTGCCAGGCTTCTCTTTCATGGCATCATGTGGCGATTTTAGTTTGCTAACTAGCTCAACGCCGAAACCGTCGAATAAGGAGCGAATCTGCTTATTGGTGTCCTCATCGTTCTCGAACCTTGGGAGTCCGCCAATGTAGAGCCTCCGACCTTCATCTGCAGCTATGTGATAGTCTTCTGATGCATCGAGACGGTTCCAGCGATCTTTCATGAAAGGGTTGTCGCCCAAACTATTCTCAGGACGCAAATCTAAAGAATCTTGTCGTTAGCATTTGTTGTAAGAGGCTGCTGATGAGGAATTTGTAGTGAAGTGAGAAACCCAAGAAATGTACTCCTTTGAGAGGAATTTGGATCACACCACCGGGGAACTCTTATCTCTCAAAAATTGTAGAAGGAATTGAATGATCGGGATTCTTCTTACCACGACGAGTGAGGGTACCCGATCTGATACCCGGCTTGACCTTCAACGGGCGACGCTGAAAATCACGGCCATCATACTCTTCCATGACCTGCTCAGCCATCTCCTTAGTCTTGAAGTCAACGAAGCAATAAGAAGGATTCCGTCCAGTCATAGGGTCGACCGCAATGTTGATGGCTTGGACACCAGCAAGAACATCCTCGAACAGCTTCTCAACATCCTTGGTCGTCGCCTGGTACGGCATGTTCCCGACATACAACCGGCGGCCTTCATCAATGGCCTGTTCTGCCTGTAGATATGTCAGCACCTTGCCTTCAGATCTCTTAGGAGACTCACCTGAGTGTCATTGATTGGCTTTCTGAACCCATCACGTGACGGTGTTTGGTGCCTCTGCTGGAAGCTTCTCGGACTCGATCTCTGCTCAAAACCACCTCCCCGACCTCTCGCACTCCAGTTACCGCGTTGAAACGGGCTTCTTTGACTCTGTTCCTTGGCTGCGGCCTCGGAAGAGTCACGCTTGACGCGCCAGTTGTCTGAATCCATGTCGAATTACTCCTTTAATTCGAAAATTTGATTGAAAGAAGCTCAATTTCGGAGGATTGGAAGCTGAGACGCGTCACCCTCAAATATTGAGAGGGCGCAGCTGTGTTTTGGGGGACCCGTCTTCAGTGGTGTGGAAAAGGTGAAGGAGGTTGGAGGAAAGAATTTTAAAGGCGAAATATTCGAAATTCTAGCGAGGTGATGCTTGGTCACGTGCCACGTCACAAATGTGAATCATTTAGGGCGAAACTCGAAGGGTCGTTCTTTAGGAGACTACTGATTCCTCGTTCGGGCTTCCCGGACTTTTATTTATACTCCAAAGTTACTCGGAATGGCTAAAGAGGGTTGTGAAAAGGAAACCGGGCATTCTCAACTAATTGAGGTTAGCGAAAAGGGGTGTCAACAAATGAAAAGGGGCAAATATTTGTGGGGCTCGAAACAAACTCATTCCTACTCGCTTCCCTACTGAGACCCACACCAGGAATCTCATCTCCTGGTCTATTCAAGACTATATAGGAACAATTGCATGTATCTACCTCGCAATCAACAACACCTACCATCCCCCCTGTTTGCTCTCGCACAAAGTGTTCAAGAGGATATATAAAATTTAAAAAGTTCCTTTGCTCTAATTCGATAACTGAAGCGGCAGTCCCTTTCTTTTAGCCAGGCATAATAGGAGTAATTATCAATATCTGTCTCGTCCTCGTTTCTCCTGAATCGAGCTCACTTAACCAAAATAAATCTGTTTATTGACTCCCCACCGCCGCCGTCGCCTTCCAAAACTCCTCTTCAACCCAAAAAATGCTCTTCCTTGCCAAGAACACCAAAAAATCAAAACGAAAAAAAAAACCGGATCCCCTGACCCCACAAATTACTGGATACGAAGGGGTTCGAACTCTTGCAACTTTCGTTACCCGAATGCCATCCCAGTTGCCTGAAACCAAGATGACTCTCGACTCGCGCGCCTTGAGCAACTCGGCCTGGCAATTACGCCAGTGAGTGAAGACTCAGAAAGTTTTGACGACAACTTACCACATGTCCTAATGAATTGTAGCCTTAGTTCTCTTCAGAATTATAAAACCCGGGTAAAAACGCGGCTTCATCCACCTCCTCGCATCTAAACATGCCATCATACCCCATATCGTGCCGTCCAAACAATCGAAGAGCCACCAGTGACGTCTGCACGCGACTACCATGAATACTGAACCCCTCAGCACGACCCATCCCTCCCATCTGACCATCTCCCCTTCCCCAACAATAACCATCCGTTTCACAACCACCCCTCCCTCCCCATCACCATCCCCATCCCATTCTCTTTCCCCAAGTTCCAACAAACCATTAACCAATTCCCCTCTCCACCCCTCCCCTCACGCTCCTCCTTCTCCACAAACCTGCTCGCAGCCCATCTCTCCCACCACACATCCCCACGTCTCCTGATCTCCTCTCCAACCCCGCCTTTCCCTCTGCAACGCCAGCATCAGTCACGTCGCTCCTCTCGCCTCCGCATCCCCTCTCAGATGCGCAAGATCGCGAGCACAACAATCGCCCATGCGATATCCGCGGGTGTAACAATAATCTTACAGCAGCTAATGCGCAAGCGTTTGTCCCAGCCCGGCGAGTTAATTTAAGAGATATTTGGGAGGGGTTGGCAAGGATTGCCGTGTTGAAATTTTGCGGATGAGAGGATCCGCTACAAAATCATGGGCTGTCAAGACAAAAGGAATCATAATCACAATCACAAGACGCGAGACAGAGGTCAAGAAGAGATATGAAGAGTGAATTTGATTGAAAGAGAAGGTATCTATCTGTATGCCAAGCCAAGCCCTCAAACCTCAACCGCTCATTCCAATGTGCTAATCCCTAGCGACACCCCAATCGATTCGCGTCTAAGACTAGAAAGACTCCGGAGTTCAAAAGTCAGCAGAGCCAATGTGAAGATTGTTCACAAACCTTTCATCTGCAAGCTGAAGCTGTCGTTTGCTCTGTTGGCTTCCCCAAGCTTTCGCTGGGTACTGACGCCCAACACCACGGGAAGGTAGAGCATTGTTGAGCGCCCTGCAGGCAGTTAGCAGACATGAGAGGGGATACTTGCTTTACCATGGAAGAAATTGTGCAGCGCACAGTCCAGTAACCACTGCAGCTCCGAGGAGTGCACTGACGCGGAGTCAGTATCAGTTCAGGGTTTGGAGAAGGGAAACTCACATGGTGGGAGAGGTGATCGCTTTGAGCCAACCAACAGGTCCAGAAGCTGGCTCCGGACCGGAGTCGACATCTGGCCATTCGCCGGGAACGGGGTAGCTAGAGTAAGGGTTAGAATCCAGGGTCGAGTCCAGATCCGGCTTCAGAAGGGAATTGTCGTCCTGATCCAGGACCGGAGGGAGGGAACGAGCCGCTGCCGGTCCAGGAAGAAGGAGGTGTGGTTCGAAGAGAGGATGCTGGGGGTCGAACCGAGGATTGTAAAACCGTCCGCGAGGGCGGAACCTAGAAACAGAAGTAGCAAGCAGAGCAGAGACAGAGGGACGCCGGCGAACAGAAGGAAATGGTGAAGGGGGAGGAGCCACATAGCCAGATTTAACTGGCGAAGGGGAAGGGGAAGGGGAAAAACCAGACCTTGCCGGCGAAAAGGACAAACGGACGCAAGGAGAAAGGATCGGAACTAGGTCAGAGGAGTGGCTTCCCTCAAATGAAGACCCATTGAACTCCACTGTACTATCAGTGTAAAGGGTCAACAATGAGGGAGTCCTAGAAAAATCAGCAGAATCAATGTCAGACGTATGAGTATCGCCCCGCTCCCTCGCGAACGGATCCTTGATCTCGGTCCACTGAGAGATCTCGCTGGAGCAGGTAGATGAAGAGAGTATACTGCTCTCCGACTCTCCTGCGGAAGGCGACCCCTCCCTTTCCACCTTGTGGAAGGGCCAGAGGTTACGCGAGGGCACAACTATGCCATTGCGAACCAAAGTACGACTAAATTTGGGAGAGAACACAATGGAAGGCTTCGCCTGAACCAACATCTCCACCCCATCCCTGTACGCCCCCTTCATATCACCACACCCGAGAAACAAGGAGTGGTCGAATTGAGCGGGAGAGGAAGGATCGGTACACATATAGAATGGAGAAGAAGGTCTAGGTCGAAGGGGAGGAGGAGGAGAACAAATAGGAAGGTCCGGTCTAGTAGAACGGTGGACGGGATTCCCGAAATTGTCAGTAATAGGGTGAGGGACTTGATACCCTCGACTGTTCCTAAGAACAGCCGGCGCATGAGATCTGGCCCCAGGGGCACCAGACCGAAGAGAGAGAGAGATGCGGCGAGACATCAGAGAGGAGACGAAAAGATAAGGGAGAAAGAAGACGCGAAGCGACGCGAGAACGCGACTTTAAGTAGACGCGGCGGATCAACACGCTAATTCGCGATCACAGATTAAAATTTCTAGCTAGTCCTCTTCTGAGTTGTGCCAAAACATCGTCAGAGTGTTGAGAAGCGAGGGAGCTTTGCCAGGTTGGGGTTGGGAAGAGCGTCGAGGCAAGCAAAGGGTACGGTGGCCTGTAGAGGCGACGTCGAGGCAGGATGGCAGAGGGAGAGGCAGGACCCGCCGCAAGAGGGGGAATTCGATGTGACTGTAGGAGTTGAATGTTCGAGCTTCGTAGAGAACAATGTAATTGAGTCTGGCATATTGTTCGAGGTGGATGTGGGACATCGACATGGAATTGCTATAGGGGAGGGTTTAGGACATCGGGTTGAAGTCGACATTGTTCGAGGTAGCTGTAGAACAACGATATTGAAATTTGCTGTGTCAAAAGAGAGTCTCAATGTCGGCTTCGATACTGCTCCGGATCGATGAAGGTGATTGACCGCAGATGTGACATAGTGTTGGCTTGACCACGGGCAATTGCCATACGCAGAATGGCAGAACAAGAGAGCGTTGGTGGCCGGGCGTTGGTGCGGATGCGGCGTGTCAAAGAAAGAGTTGAAGCCTACAAAGAGAATATTTGCTGTCAGAGATTGCTATTTCTGAATACGGAAGGGACTTTGAGGCGTTGTGAAGACTTTGAGGAAGCGGCTTGGCAAAGCTTGCTTGCACGACATGGCAAGAGTCAACGACATAGTTCATTCAAATCCAAAGACCCAGAGCAGAGCAAAGAATAGTACTGCCCCCAATCTTCATCCCCAATCTCCAAGTGGTGTTCGAGATTTACTATGAATAGCATCATCGATGACACACAGTGCAGCTATCGAGCCTCACTGCCACCACGAAAAGAATGCTCTGAGTAGAGAAGGCTGAACACAACCCAAGCCCCTTTTGCCAAGTGTCCAAAGCATCTCCATTACACAGCCAGCTTACGATCGCAATGTTTTTGTAATCGGGGTACGCGTCTTATCTACCACGTGTCGTGACACGCTTCACTACAGGACAGCCAGCCATCACAGAGCCTGGGCGCAATCCCCTTTTTACAGTTCCTGCAATGTCTCGGTTGGCTTGATGGCTTCTGAGGGATTTCCAAACAGGAGCTGTGGGATGGAAGCCCATTTAACGATTCACAAATACTGCGTGGTGCTGCAAGATGCTGCAGACGCCGAAACGGGAAGGCGCAAGCCTTGTGCAACCCACCACAGCCTCACACCACCTCATCAGTTTTGAAACCCAGCAAACCATGGCAAGCTTTACATGGCCGGATACAGAATGACATCGGAAATCATGTCAGGCTTAGAGTATATATACGCGAAAGAGCGGTCTGCAAGGCACCGGACGCAAAGTAAAAGGGGAGATCTCTTGGTGCCGACTCCGACTCCGAGGGCGTGCGCACTTTACACCACGAAAACCAACTCTTGATGAATCAGGTCACAGCCTCGGCATCCGCCAAGCCCCAGACCTATTTTAGGATGGGGAAGATGACCCAAGGCTGGGGGCCTCTCCCCAGACGGCCAGTGCGACCACCAATCTGGGGATGCAGTTTCTTTCGCGGGGCGTGCAACATTTTGCATTTTGGCTGTATTAAGCGAGCTGAACGCAGGTAATATTATTAATATGAAGAATGAAACTGAGGCGCGGCAATGTTTCAGCTGTGGATTACTGGTAGTGCAGAGTGCAGCGCAGAGTGCAGTGCAGAGTGCAGAGTAGGGCGTGCAAGTGCGCTGACGTCGTTTGGATGGAGGGGATGCGAGTGTGGTTGGCCATGGGGAAAGGGGGGCGGACGGGGCTTTTCCTCAGATTCATGGACGGACGTTGGAAGGCTTTGGAACACCAGGAAGGGTGGAGCGTGGAAGGCCTGGAAGCCGCCCCCACGCCTTCTAGCGCCGTCACGGGCATGAAACGTGGGGTCCCTTGCTGGCCCTTTTCTACACTTGCAGGGATTAGAGGGATGCTCCAGATGTCGGGCTTGTCCGTGGATGATAAGCTGCACACCGCACGCCGGCTCTCGGCTCCCCCTGCTCGGCCATGTGCTGGGTGGTGCGGGTTGTGCGGTTACGCGGTTGCACGGGTTGTATACTCCCGTAGCGTCGCCTTCCCCCCCCCCCCCCAGCTTTGCTTTTTGTGCCCGTTCACTCTCTTCCCTAAAGGTTGCTAAATATCCTCACATTCCGACCGCGAGACCCACAGCTCATGTCTCCCGCAAAGCTATGCCGCCCCGGATCCGAACCGTCGAGGGATCGTGCTGGGGGTGCAAAGAGCGCAGAGTCATCTGCGACCTGACTTCCCCCGCCTGTGACAAGTGTACGAAGATCGGAAGACCCTGCGACTACGGCAAAGTCAGGCTGCGATGGACGGACTGTGTGGCCTCGAGGGGCCGCCTGGCTGGGAAGAAGATTCCCTTGTATCAAGCGCCTATTCTGCAGAAGAATGCCGATCACCATATCCTCTACTTTGAGAACGAGCTGCTTCCGCGGTTCAACCTATCCAACACGGTCCCGCGCGTGGATCTGAAGTTGCTCTCAGCAGATCCGGTCCTCCTGCAGTCTGTTGTTGCCGTCGCAAATGCCCACGCAACCTACCGAAGCGCGAACGAAAAGGCGCTCTCGCTGTCGAAGATCCAGGACCGGAACAACGCGCTAAGGATGTTTAGGAAGCAGCTGATGGGCATACAAACGGACGAATCTAACAACGCTCTCTTCACCGCCAATGTGCTGCTCTGCATCCTCGATGGAATCATCGAACCCATCACCGAAAGTTCCGCCACGCATCACCACCTCATGGGGGGCAAGGCGATCCTCAAACAATGGAAGGGCGTGCGGCACGTATTTCAGGCGAAATACGAGCTTCCGATTTTGATGCTGTCGATTTTTGCGACGATGGATCTCACTCACGCTATGCTGATTGGAGACGATCCCTACTTTGATGCATCCTCGTGGCCTGAATTTGGGGACTGCAAGCCTTGGTGGGGAACTGTGAAATCGGACGACGACTTCCTCGAGACGATGGCCATCCTGTCCCAGCTGTCTACACTTGGTCACGAAGTGCGCCATTTCAGAGGCACGGCGCCCATCGGGATCCTTCTCTCGATCCAGAATGCTCTCGAGCAGCAAGCAACTCGACAGGAAGAGGTTGGGCAAACCAAGGACCAGAAGGCTTGGGCGGCGTTCTGCGCGACCTACCGACTCACAGCCTCTGTGTATCTCTACAGAGCCCTCAGTGCGCTTGATGTGGACCACCCTCTCGTTCAGCAGGCTGTGTCGGAGTGCATGACAGTGATTGGTGGGCATGATCTCACCGACAAGCTCCACCATTGCATTCTCTTCCCCGTCTTGATTGTCGGATCACACAGCTTGGACAGTGCGCAGCGATTTGCAATCCGGAAGAGCATAGCCAAGACAGCAAGCTACTTGTCGTTCGAGGCTCTTCGATCGCTCGAGTCCTTCCTCGAAAAGCGTTGGGACGAGTTGGACACTTCCGTCGCATGCAGACAGGCGAATTGGTGGATGTACTTCGACGAGATCGCAAACGTGACATGCTTGTTCTGAGAATGGATGGAAGGAGGTGGGAATGTCCGGTCTTATGAGCAGGAACATGGCGCCATCTTTATCGCGAATGTCGACCTCGACCAGGGCCTGCCATTGGCTTACCAGCTTCGAACTTGAGAGGATAAGGTTTCCCGTAAAATCGAAGGTTGAGACGGATTCCGACAACACCATTCACTCACGCGGCTGTACAGCTCTTGATATCCATGCTCAAGGGCAATCCATGGTCCTCAAATCTTCGATGTGCTGCTGACAGCATCACACCCGAATCGCCGAGCCGCGTCCGGGGTCGTGGAGAATAATGCCTCATTGTCGATGATGGGTGGGAGGGGGAGAGGGAATTGTGCCCAGAAAACTTGTAGGAAGACAGGACATGCTTCACTGGCGGATTTCTGTTAGGTTTATAAAGCTCTCTTATGTCCGAATACTTAGGGGATGACAGCAGTGGCTTGCAGCAAATTTCTGGCGGCATGTGCGTGTCGCCATCTTAATGCCCGGATGAAGACTTAACCTTGCTAAGTTGTTGTCATCAAAACTCACGATACATGGGAATCTATGCTCCAAGGAATCTTAGCCTCTCTGCCATTGGCTGCCTGCAAGCGCATGGCGGCCTCCGCAGCGTCCGCCAGAGGCGTGATCGTCGCATTCGCGCAAGCGGGAGTGAGACCTTATCAGTCCCAGTTTGCTGCCTCTTTGGGAAGCTTGGACCCGGGCGGTCCAATCACACGCGAGTACCCTCCCACCCTGCACCTCGATAAGAACAAGCACCGACGGGCCAGACCCCAGGCTCAAGCTCGAGCTCTAAGCTCTAATTCACTTTGGTTCGAGGGCCTTTTATTTCACCTCCTTTGTGCTGTTTATCCTCGTAGCATCCCATTTCCTTTCCTACTCGAGATATCTCCTCCCACCTCCTCCACGGCTTCTGACTCTCAATATGGCGACCACGGCGGTCCTTAAAGCATGGGAGGCATGTGATTTGACTGATACAGTAAGTTCGAAACTTCCCCACACGTCGCCTGGATAACAGGCAGGCTGGGGCGAAGCTCTGCGGGGGGTTTGCAATTCACACATCTGACAGACTGACACACTCCAGGTCTTCGTCCTCGTCTGCACCGTCTTCTGCTGGCCAATCATCCCAGCGGTTGGCCTTGCATACTCCGGCTACAGCCATCGCCGCAATGGCATGGCCTCCTTCATGCCCTCTCTCTTAGTCATCTCCGTCTGCTCCATCCAATGGTTTATCATCGGCTACTCCTTGGCCTACGGAGATGGCTCCGGTGTCGTTGGAGACTTCAAGTATGCCTTCCATAGAGGGGTTCTGTCTGACCCCGTTGGAACCATACCGGCGATCTTGTTCAGTGAATTCCAACTGGTCTTCGAAGCCACGGTCTGTGCTATTGCTGTTGGAGGGGCCTGTGAAAGAGGGAGAGCGCTACCGCTGATTCCTTTCATCTTCGTACGCCTCCTCGAGACGTCTTCCCTCCAAAACAGTTTACTGACAATCTACATAGCTTTGGTCATCGTTCATATACTGCCCTCTAGCCCATATGGTCTGGTCAGAAACCGGCTTCCTCGCCAACCTCGGCGTCTTGGACTTTGCAGGCGGAACACCAGTGCACATTTGCAGCGGTGCCACAGCTTCTGCCCTGTCGATCTATCTCTCCTATCCCGTCTTCCGGTCTCGCAAGTCTGATAAGCGTACACCGTCACATCTCGCTCTCCACAGACCAGGCAACTCCATGTCTCAGCTAATTGCTCTAGTCATCATCTGGAATGCCTGGTTGGCTTTTGATGCAGGAACTACTCTCAGCTTGAACTTCAAGTCTGTTATGGCGCTGTGTGTTACCAATCTTTGTGCTTCGGCTGCGGCGTTGACTTGGGCATGTATGGCCTACTTCGAGACTGGAAAGTGGTCGCTGGACTCCACCTTTATGGGTGCCATCTCTGGGTTGGTCATGATCACCCCTTCTGCTGGATTCATCGATATGCCCACCGCCTTCTTTCTTGGAATCGGCAGTGCTGTCGTCTGTCGCCAGGCCTTGCGCATCAAGTTCACCAAGTTCGCTGCACGATGGAGATGGGTTGACAATGGGGATACTTTTGCAATTCATTGCGTTGGTGGGATTCTCGCAACTATTTCGACGGGGCTCTTTGCTCGCAAGGAAGTTGCTGCTTATGATGGAGCAACAGTCATCGATGGTGGTGTCTTCTTCGACGGTAACGTTAAGCAGGTTGGTATTCAACTGCTGGAAGCCATGATTGGTTTCACGTGGTCCTTCGTTGGATCGTATATCATCTTCGCGCTGATCGACTGTGTTCCTGGACTCGAAGTGCTGGCCAAGGACGAGTAAGTGATTTCTAGCTACCTCATGTCTTCTTGATAACTAACATTTTGTGTTCAGCGACATCGTTTCGGGCATGGATGTTGCTGAGATGGAGGAGTCATTCCATGAATACCATGAAGGAGACTATCATCCGTTCAAGAACGGAAGCATTCTGCTGGAGTGAGGGCAAGGAAGTTATAAAACCGCATTCAAATGGCGTTCTTGTAGATATGCTTCGGCTCGCTAAAGTACCTCCATACGTTGCTGATAGGAGAATCAAATTGGCCTCCGATATCACTAAACGCCCACTTCCCCAAGCCTTTGTTTCATCTCATCTTCTCGAAAACAAGAAACTCCCCCAGCCGTGCTTCCCGCAATGTTTCATGACTGCGGGACATACCTCTCTCCCTTTCTCCGCAATCTTCGAGCAATCACAATTAGCCATTTTCCACTTCTCCTCATCCCTCCTCCCCACGACTTTTTACACTCAAGGGTCAGAACCACGTGACTAAAATGTGGTCCATAATATTGCCTGGTTTAGGACAAGCGCGGCCGACTTCAGAGTGTGGACCCTGCCGTCCGCCCGCAAGACATCGCCAACCATAGCTCTCCTCCCCTGCGTCCTATTTCACTCTGTAACTGCAATCCACAAACGGCAATCGTTTCCATAGCTTTGGGTTCATCTCCGTTCATTGATAGGAAGAGCAATGCGATGATTGGCCACCAAGAAGCAAAGATAAACATGCGTGATACCTACCCGTGAGCGAGTCTGAAGAATGGGAATGGCTTCTTGCATGCGGGCCACCCATAGTCTCGGTACTGGAGCAAAGGACGCCATCCCGCATCGTCTGGAACTGTAGATAGGACAACATCTGCTCAGCCGAGAATGGACTGGCCGAGGGCCCGGGGGAAAGCACATCCTGATAAGGTATTAAGGGCCACGAGTCTGCTCATATCAATGTCTGCACCTGTTGATAGTTCTCCCTCCTGTCTGTGCGTTGTCTGCGAGCAATTGGACTGGACGTTTGTAGTGCGACGAGTCTGGAAATCGAAGCTGCTTTTCGACGAGAGTTCCTGTTTGTTTGGGCGGTACTACCAGTCACGTGTTTTGTTTCGGTTGATTTGATTGTGGCTTCAGTGGCTTCCTGAACATCCGAACTTCTCGGGCTGCTTATACAGCGAGCTGCATCGTCGGATTGATGAGACTGCACTGCATCTGTCGACACCCGCCGCTGTGAGGATCAGAGGCTGTATACGACTTCCTATCTAACGAAATCTCTCAACATGGGATCCAGCTTGAACGATGCGGAGAAGGCTTCTCCCGATGTGCAACCCAGTGGAGGAGAAGGGGATGTGCACGACCTGGACAGCTTGACGGCATTGGGATATACTCCCGAGCTCCGACGAAACCGATCTCTCTTCACGCTCCTCTTCCAGACTCTAGCGATTGCAGCAATCCCTTTCGGCGAGGGTGGACCGTTTATCAGTGCTATCTACGGAGGAGGACAGCTCTCGATCTTTGTAGGCTGGATTGTCGTTTTGATCCTGGACGAATGCGTTGCTCTGTCCCTCAGTGAGCTTGCATCACGTTATCCGACATCAGCAGGCCCGTACTATTGGTCTTTCCAGATCGCCAAATCGAACAAGACGGTGCTCTCCTTCATCACGGGATGGATCTGGCTCATTGGGAACTGGACCATCACGCTCTCTGTGAACTTCGGATTCGCCTCCCTGATCTCAGCTACGGTCTCCATTTACCATCCAGACTTCGTAGCCAATAGTTGGCAACTGCTTCTCATCTTCTTCGCCATCTGTCTTATCACTTTTGTGATCTGTACTTTCGGGAACAGCCTGCTTCCTATGGTGGATACCATTTGTGCTGGATGGACTGCTCTCACCATCTTCATCATCCTGGTTGCGCTCTCGGCGAAGGCAGATGTTGGCCGACATAGTGCAGCCTACACCCTAGGACACTACGACACAAGCCTCTCGGGATGGGGAGGCTTCACCTTCTTCATTGGTCTCCTTCCAGCCGCATACACCTTCTCCGCCATCGGCATGATCTCCTCCATGGCCGAAGAAGTTGCGGACCCCGCCATCAAAGTTCCCAGAGCCATGTCTCTGTGTGTTCCAGTCGGCGGCATCGCAGGCCTCTTCTTCATCATCCCAATCTGTGCAACTATGCCACCTCTGGAAGACATCATCCTCGCTCCCAGCGCCCAGGCTATTCCTTACATCTTCCACATCGTCATGGGTACCCCAGGCGGTGGCCTCGGCCTAACCTTCCTCGTCCTCGGCGTCACAATGTTCTGCTCCATCAGCATCACAGTCGCCGCCTCACGCTGCACCTGGGCATTCGCTCGTGACAATGCCATCCCAGGCGCCAAACTCTTCGCCATCGTGAACAAGAAGCTCGGAGTCCCCGTCTGGGCAATCGTCCTCACCACCGTCGTGCAAATGCTACTCGGCCTCATCAACCTCGGCAGCTCCAGCGCCTTCTTAGCGTTTGTCTCAGTAGGCGTCATGGCCCTCGCCATCTCCTACGCTATCCCAATCGCCATCTCGCTGCTTTGGAACAGGCGCGTGGAAGTCAACCAGGCGAAATGGAACTGTGGACCTGTCATTGGACCCATCGTCAATGTTATAGCTATCACCTGGATTGCATTTGAAGTCGTGCTGTTCAGCATGCCAACCGCGCTGCCGGTTACGTCTATCACGATGAACTATGCTAGTGTGGTGCTTGTGGGCTTCATGGCTATGGCTGCAGGGTGGTACTTCATTTATGCTAAGAGAGGTGAGTCCCCGCCCACATTTTCCCTGCAATGTACTAACAGGCTGCAGTCTATAAAGGTCCGCCCGCTTCAGACGGCCTATGAACCTTCTCTGTTATTGTATATGGCCTGGGAGGCAGCACTTGCTAGTAGCTTCCGGTGGATGTTTGAGACTTGCTTGGTGTTGCTAAGATCCATGCTATACCGATTGACATGAGGTCGTACATAGGTTCTAATCGAATAATACTTGCTTCACAATGATATACCTTCTCTTCTCCCCTGGAGTTTATTCTTCCCCTACATTTCGCAATCTTGTTCTGCTCGTTCAACCTGTTTCTATGTTGCACATCAAGCGGGTCACGTTTCCAATTGATCCCATGGAGGAAGGGCGCGTAAGGTTCGATCCAACTGATCAAGTCCTCTCCTAACATCAACCCCTATATCTCGCCCACCCCACAAATAGCTAGCATCCCAAACCAACAGCAAGACCACACTCCCTCCCTTGCATTTCGCCACAGTGAATCTCCCCTCAACTCCAAAGCCATTACTGCACATCGTCTTCTTGTCCGAAATCCGAGACGAAAAGTCGGTCACTCGAGAAAGCTTCAGATGAGATAGGCGGAAAGTGGGTGAGTGGCAGAGCGAAGGGGTTGTTGCAGATCACGTTATTGGCCCGAAGTTCGAGATGGAAAAGATGAGAGGCAAAGGCGAATTCTCATCTGTGTTTCCTTAAGTGAGTGGGTGGTAGGGAAGGGAATTCTTCGGGCGAGGTTGGAAATTTGCATCCTGTGGGACGTGAAGTGTGGAGGGGGAAGTTTATTGTACAGTACTGTACATCGTGTCGATGGTCTAGGGTATTGAAGGGAACGACTTGAGTGAATCTGGAGGGGGCAAGTTTCGTTGCATGTCGCTTCATAGTTCGAGAATATTGTGGTATATTGAGATTCTTTCATGGCATCAGAATGGGAGGTTTAGAGAAGAGGCCTCTGTAAGAAGTCTTGTATATCCTCCGCAAGTCCAGTACAAGAGTAGTTGATTGTTGAGTAAGTGTTGACATACGAAGGTAGAAGTGAAAGACTGTATCGAGGATTTTCGCAGTCTTGTTAGATTGCTTTATGTGGTGAGCTAGCGGCTAACGCGCAAATGTAATGGATCTTTCTCTCGCAAAGCGAATTGGAGAGTGTAGGGACTTAGTGTCTGGCTCTAGGTGGAAGTTGAAAGTGAAACTTCTACTCCATCTTCAAGGTTTCGATGTTGGCGTGTTCGAAGAGGCAAAAACCTGAGGTTCCGTCCCAAATATTGACCTGCAAGAAACTAACTTGAACATAAGTTTGATCGCCCGCTGTCTCCAAGATCAAGGTTTTTGTCTTCAAGACGTGGTAAAACATGATTTTCAGAAAAGTGAGTGCTCGTCCCAAGTAAGCAATGACATTAATTCATGGAATATTTGCGGTTCAGGGCAATTGCAGAACAATGTAACGTTTAGACCTTTTGGAAGAGGCGAATGAAACAATATTCCGTGTACGACTGACCCACGAATTGTGCTCACGCCTCTGGATATTGGTCCTGTCGGGTCTTCCCCAACTGCTGTGATGCAAACATCCACGATTTCGGTTCTTTCTTCTCTGGTGTACGTATTTGGCTACCGATCGAGGTCGGAAATTCCTTTCGGTGGATGCGGTGAGGCCATACCGACCACGAAATTGAGATGTATAAATGTCAAGGTTCGCGCTTATCTCAGTCTCACAGGAGGCCGGTTGATGCGAAGGCTCATAAGATATAGTTAAGGTGATGTGAGAAGAGCCGGGTGGGATGGAAATTGAATGTACGTTGGTTGCAATTGTCGCTGGCTGTGGCCGTTATGCATGGTGGCTGCAGCAGTTGCCAAATACGGTCGAGGCTGCTCTGAAGTACAACAAGGAAATGCTACTGCCCAATATCCCAGAAAGATTAAGCCAGAGCCGAAGAACGCCATATACTATTATCCATGTTGCCAAGCATACGATTTCGCGGGATTAAAAAAACCTTTTTTTCTATAAGAATGCACAGAGTAACAGGGCTCACTCGCTTACTGCCCCTATTGCCCCTTTCTAAGGCCTGGTATAACAAGAGCACCGAGTTTCCGAGTGTCAGGTCAACCATCCACAGGAGGACAAACAATTTCGTGGGCCATTAGCCTCCCATTCTGGAGGTGTTACAAGTAATACATATTTCCAACGGGAGAGGTACGGTTGTACAGTACTTGCAGGGTGCACTCGCTTAGGTTATCATCCCCCCTTTTTTGAATTCGTGACGCACAGGCTTTTAGGCGAGGAAGCCCCACTAAAAATCAACGAAACTCACCAACTTTAAGAAATTATTAAATCGTAACGCAATTTGATTCAAACTTAGCTCTTGAAACTATTATAGAACTTTACTTATTAATTTATTTCTATTAAATAGATTTTAAAATATTTGTAATTATCCGGGGAATTATTAAGGCTATAGTATAAGGAATTTTATATTAAAGCTTAAGTATTAAATTAAACAAAACTAAAAGTCTATCTTAATTGAATTATTACTAGGCTTTTAAAACCGCTCGACTCTTAATTTGAAAAGATATTATTATAATATTATAAAGAGAGTGACTTTTGGCGATGTTCCTAGTCAGTGCGTCACGAATTCCGATGCCCACTAGTTGTGAGGCACGTAATAGCAGGGTGATGCACAAATAGTCAAGGTAAGTAAGCTGCAGAGCGACGCTTGCAAGTGTAACTGATTCCAAGAATTGATTCCAACAAAAGACTAATTGATGCCCCTTTCCAAAGCTAGGAGCGTCTCCCTATATATTCCCTAGTGCTTAGCCAAGCCTGCGAAGCACTTTACTTAACTAGGAAACACGATCCCATGCGATCCGTACGATTCCGATCGCAAGCTTTACCCAAAATAGGAAACCAGATCCACGACATCTGACACCTGTCCATGCGCCATCACGTGTGCCCATCACACTAGTGGTCGATGTGATATGATTTTTTGGTTGTCATCATTTCCCTTGCTTCTCTCAGGGAGCCCGACCTCACTGAGTTATAGATTCTTCTCCTTGAGCTTTGCGGGTTACTCGTCGTCATCATTATCTAAAGTGCAGTCTTGCCACAACCGAGATCGTGGAATAGGAGCAATAAATCGTCCAGGTCCTCCTCGCTTAATAAGTCAACACCACCGTGGAGTATGTACGCCATTCTCGGTGAATCGGATGTTTTGCCAAACTATGCTGAGAGAAGAGTATTCCACAATTTGCGAGCATCCTCTCTGGCGTCCGTCTTCTCCTCGTTACCATCTTTGGATAAAAACGCACAGTATTTTGCGTCCGGGGAAGCGATTGGGACGACGGGTTTTCCAACTAAGCTTTTCAAAGAGCGAGTCTCAGATCCACGATCGAAAAAGAAACAGGCCACGGAAATGTTCTGCCCCATCTTGGTTCCATCTGTTGCCAAGGTCGTCAGTTTTGTCAATTCTTGGAGCAGCTGATAGCAGCAGTAAGTAAGGGCAGGATTCTCCAGTGCCTGAAGAACCAGAGATACAGAGAAAATGTGTCTTCTGCGATCGATACCAGTCTTTGAAACTTGCATCGCCCTTCAACCGCGAAAAAGCACCCTCGACGTAGTCAGACTAGCTACGAAGCCGAAAGTTAGTCTTTGCCAGTCCGATATATCTCTAAGAGCTGCGAAGGGGGGATGAAAAATACTGTTTTAGAAACTGTTGCGAGATACCCGAGGCTTTACACAATCTAGCAGGCAGAAAAAGAAATGGTAGGGGTGCCCTTTCATCTTCTGTCTATGGCGTTTTAAAGGACTCATTCTCAGCTAACGTGACACCGAATGTCTTTCCAACTTTCTCCAGGGTGTTACCCCTATCCTATTCTTGCATAAGACAAGGACCGGGAATAGTGAGCTGATAGTCACGCCTTTTGGAGAAGCCAGTAGCTGAATTGAATGAATGCAAAAAAATACGGCTTGTGGCTGCATAGGTGCAACCAACGTGATTTGCCCGTTTTCAAGTGCTTTGAGACAGCTTGATACTTCCGGCGGCTTCTTCCTCTTCGATGCATGCAATGCACTAACCATGCAGATCAGGATCAACCATTGGTCAAGGCTAGTTGACTTTCGAACCCTTGGATGTCACTACCGCACTAGCTGCCGCGGACCTGAAGACCGAGTCCACACGAAGCCACCTCTTGGCTACACAGAAAGACTGTCCTACACACACAAAACACAAAAGGAGAAAGTGAGGGTGGGGTTAGTGATAAAGCGGGGTCTGCCAAACATGGCCAGAGACCTGGCGAGGTTGAGTGACGCGGTTGATAGTTTTGAGGGGTAGCTAATAGGACGGATCTATAGGCAGCACTGGGTAGTGAGCTGTTCGTTGATACAAACTAAACGAGCAAAGAGATTTGATGGTGGAGAGGAGGGTTTTGGCCATGAACCTTCCGCTCGACTAAATGGTCAAGAGTGTGCCTCTTTTAATTCTCAATGCTTGGTAATTATTGGTACAGTACATTGCCCTAGTCTATGCCTTGTCCCAAGCGAGGCTAAGCCGAGAAAGAGGCGAGAAAGAAGGTAGGAATTTAACGAAGCAATCTGACTTAATAGTGAAGAGAATGTACAGCCTTTTCGAGGCGTAAAATATTTGATTGAGCTGAGAAGTATGAGCGTGTCACTATGCCTTGACCCTTAAGCCTGCTATGGATTTGCATCAAATATTCCTCTCCCTGTACTCCAAGCTGGCATAAATGTCCTCATAAATGCAATGACACTTCGCCTCCTTGCAGCCACACATCATCCTGGCTCCCACAGCTCTGAAAGCATTCCAACCAACCACTCCTTCACCTCCCGTCCTGAGATTCTTGACTTTGACCAGGTTGGTTGTCGAGCAGTCTTTCCGGAAGTGCTGAAGTACCTTGACTTTGTCGCCCACTTCAGTCAACAAGATCGAGCCCATGTCTGACTGGTACCAAGGTTTCTGCTTGACGGTGAGAATTGCACCGATAGACTGGCCTTCGCGAGTATCGGGACTGGCGCTTTCAGCGTTGAAGTCCGCCTCGTTAACGTTGTCGCAATTGTACCGATTGTGAGGGCAGCGGTCCTGTTCCAATCGCACTCGTCAGCTCCAAATCAGTTTCAATGGGCAATTTGACGAACATAGAACTCCTCCTCGCTCTCATAGATGCAACGGCAATGGCCCTTGAAGCAAATGCACTTCCCAAAGTACGGCACAGGGAAGAAGTTGGCCCATGGAATACAACTTGCAAGGAAACCGCGGAGGTTCTTGACGATAACCAGCTTCCCTGCATCGAAACGCAGAACCATGACATGATCTCCGACTTGGGGTTGGAGGTCATCCTCATCTTGTGCACTGCAGTTGGTAATGGATTTGATGGCCATGATAGCTCCTTCTTGCTGGCCTTCGAGGGTCGATGGGTCCGAGGTGACGACGGATGAGATGCACTTCTGGCAGATCTCTGGATTGATTTCAGAGCCAAGGCTTGAGATCGAATCGGAATCGTCTCCCTGAGAGGGGCTTGATTCGTTTTCGGCCTGCATGGTTTGTTCTGAATGCGATCTCTTGCTGAAAAGCTTGTGGAGAGATTGGAATCTTAAGTAGGCTGTAGACCAAGAACGACGATGAGTCTTGAGAGCCATTGAGAAAGAAGCATAAAAGCTTTTTGAAGCTAGTTGTGCAGAACTGTTGGCATGAACTCTCTTACTTCTTTATACACTTACAAGACACCGCAAAGAAGGAGCGAGAATCTTGATTGCTGTCTCAAGTTTGCGGAAGGGGAACTATGAATGAATCTTTGTAGACGGCCGGCAGTGGAAAATGTTTGGAAAAAACATGCAGCGACCCTGTCCATTTTCCCAAAGCATTTTTCTCTTCCATTGAAACTTTAAGGATTCTATGGAAACCCATAGTTGGTCACTTGTATGAGATCTGAGGTTGAAAGAGGACCTTGAAAGGAAATGTGGAGGTTCACACTGGCGCGATGTTTGTAACCGGAACCAAATCGTGACTTCTAGGTGTCGAAAGTCTAATCCGGACGTGGGAAGCAGAAGCAAGCATCTCTATAGTATAATAATCCACGTGACGGGTACAAAACAGAATGTAAATTGTTTGGCTTTGGGTTTGAGTCCAGGAAGCCAAGAGCAAACTTCAAATAGTGCTTCCCACCTTGAAAACGCTTGAACGCTTTTGAACTTCTTTTATAGCACTTGCCAGACAAGAATTTGTTCCTGCCATTGGAGATATTGAACCCTGCAGTACTGACAATCTTTTTTCTGGCAAGTTGAGGAAGATTGAGCTCTCAAGCCTTATGTTCGGTCGGACTCGCCGCACTCGAATTGAACCCATGTGAACGAGAACATATATTACTGCTTCAGCGATCATTATCTCGAGAGCCTATTGGGCATCAAAACGCGTTCGATTTTATTCTCGCTTCTCTGATTCGGTTTCTCTTTCAGCCGCGGAGCTGTACTGAGCACGTGAGTGGGATCTGCGCCTCTCAGTCGGGGGCCTGTGGCCCTGAGCTTTTTATCCCAGAAGAAATGATTGAGCTCCAAGATCAGACCTCAAGAAACTGCTTCACAGACTGTCTTGATTCTCTACCGCCTAGCGTTGAAAGATTTCAGGACCGAAATGAAGTCAAGAGAATGGCGAGTCAAGGGAAGGGGTTTGGGTTGGTGAAGCCCCTGGCTTCTAATAGTCGGACTTGACGTCGCGCTAAAGGGGCCCTTCCCTTTAGTCGGGGAAAGCGAGTTGTCCCGTTTCGGCCTTTTTTGCCTTCTAAAAAACAATATTAGGAACTAGCAATAGAAAATCTAATTAATACGTTTTATTTGCGATCTCATAGTTACCTATCGCATACTTAAAGGCTAAAGTTTTAAGTAAAAGAATAAAAAATTATAATTAAGCAAAAGTCGTAGGTCTAATACTCGCGAAACGGTCGCGAACAAATAATTCTTACGATTTTTGTATTCCTTGCGATTTTATTATTAAAACCTTAATAACTCTTTACCCACATCTTTTTTTAAGATTTAGAGAATCATATCTAGTTTATAAGGCTTGTATTTTTAATTCTATTATCTAGAATTATTTAAAAAGGTTAAGGTTTCAAGTTATTAAGGATTTTATTTGGTACGGGACATCTCGCTTTCCCGGGACAACTCGCTTTCCCCGACTAAAGCGTTGTTGAGGAGACGGGGAGGGAGCCATAGGCGGGTGACGTATAGCAAAGGCGTGCTAGGTGCCGCTCGATTCTCAAGTGATGTGTAAACACCAAGTAGTGTGCAGAAACCAAGTAGTGTGTGAACAACAAGTAGTGTGTGAAAACCAAGAGGTGTGTGTGTAAACACCAAGTAGTGTGCAGAAACCAAGTAGTGTGTGAACAACAAGTAGTGTGTGAAAACCAAGAGGTGTGTAAACACCAACTAGTGTGCAAAAACCAATTGGTGTGTAGAAACCAAGTGGTGTGTAGAAACCAACGTGTAAGGTCATCTCGCCTCGCTTTTTGGATGGTCTCCATCAGGATGACCCCTTACCCTTCATTTAGTGGGCCCGTTGGACGTCACCGATCACCGACGCGGTCGATAGCATGTGACCTCGGGTAATCACTTCAAAATGTTGAAATTAGGGGCCTGAGGCCCCTAATAGGCTTAGTAAGCCCTGTGAGGCTAAATCGGTTCAGCTGAGGTTGAATGGTTCAGTATAAGGCTCTCTGGTTTAGGGGTTTAGTGCATGTGACTTAGGGGGTTCAGGGCTATATATACGGTCTACTTACCACTGTAGAACAGCAGTCAATTCAGTACGTTTTACTTGGTTTACATTGCAAGCACGTGACCCTAGCTATATTGCTTTAGCTAGTTCAACACAAAACTTGTGGAATCCTTCGCAAAGCCTAACTTGGTTGCACAACCTCACCAACGCCAAGGCCAATCTCACAGGCTGAACTCAGGGGCTGCAACCTCATGAGCCACAACGTTTGCGCTGCTGTGAAGAGTTGCGTAACCGTGAATGCTGCGTTGAGTACAGTACAGTAGATGCCTAGCAGCGCTACCGCATCGTTTTTGAGAGGTGAGCCGGAGATAGCCATCTCCATTCTAGGCTAAGCGAGGTACAAAGAGTCAGTATATATCTAGAGCTCTTTAACAATTATATTATAAGGCAATATTTTATTTTGAATGGGATCAAACCGACTATCTCTCACCGCGACATATATAGGTGGCGTTGAGCTAGAATTAACCATCGTTAAGTCAATGGCGATAGTTATGCGATATAGGCTTTCCAGGTACCGCACGACCCAAGCCCACTGTATTGGCTATCATGGATTCACGCAGGGCTAAGCTACCCGCCAAGGGAGATCACTATGTGGAGGACGATCAGCTCGCATCTGAAAGAGGTAGTATTTACTCTAGAGGTTTCTTGAACTTGAGGGATTTGGAATTATTAATCCCACAGACATTTGCAGGTTTGGAGTTACCTGGGACCACTACTCCCAGGAGCACGTACTGACCCAAAGCCCTATAAAGTCTTTGCTGGGCGCCCAGAAATGGCTTCTTAATTGACTTCCATAATGAGCTTAATAACTGGGTGCCGGAAAGTGCCTCGGCCCCCTCAGCTCCCTTTGAAAGGGCATAGCCAGAACCGGCTTGAGCAAGAAATGGCTGCGGACAGCCAGAAGTGGCCGTAATTTCTTAAGGTTATGACGTATACTCACGCATAGATAGAATGCCGTAATAACAGTAACCCGCTATAGCCTGCATATCTGATACCTCCAATCATGATTCCCCCGCTTCGGCACAAGAGCCTTAGCACGACTTTAATCCTCGACGTGATACTATATAGCAAAAGTTCTCTTGCGCTCGCGTTAATAAAGCACGATTACGTATTCGCATATAGTATTAAATATCCAGGAACCTCAAAACTTCCATCTCCCGCTGCCTTGCCAAGGACAATCTTATTATCGATCAAGAAGATTGACTTCCTGTACGTAGGACAGCCACCCGTCTCGAAAACAGACTTGGCCAAATAGTCCTCGTGTGCCCAAGAGAGACATTTACAGCGGAGTGTCATTATCTCCTCCCTAACCTCCCAATCTCGCAGGCAGATGTAGCATGATTCGACGAGCATATTGTCGTCGATATTCTTGCGGTGGACGGCGGTGTTAGATAATTGGGTAATGCTATCGCGATAGTCTCTGCGTAATGCGCTGGCGTCAAAGACGATGCCTTCTATCCCTATAAATTCAATGTCGAAGCGAACTGAATGACGGGGATCGGGGGGGAAAGGAAGGAGGCGAAGAATGAGAAGGTCAGACGGCTGTTAGAGAACGGGATCCAGTATTCTCTGCGAGGCTTTCTCGATTCGACGCCCCTATTACAAGCTGCGGGGAATGGCCAGCGGAAGAACATACGTCTGCTACTGGATCGTAGTGCTTCTATATCGGAACAGGACGGATTATAACGAACGGCATTACATTTTATATTAGCAGGTGGGCATATAGAGGCAGCAGACGAGCTTCTCTTATACGGGGCGGATATATCTCCTATTAATAAGAAGCGGAAAACATTCCTATACTTGGCAGTACTAAGCAGGTCTACGGAGATAGTAGTAATACTTTTGGATAAAGGAGCTATAACCTCTGCTCGGGACTTTAAAAGAAGTACGGCATTATATATAGCGGCTAATTAAGGCTATTAAGAGATAATTAACCTGCTAATTAACCATAGAACTAAAGTAGGGTTAGTAGATAAGCTAGGCCAGATACTATTATACCGTTCTGCCCGCTTGGGATAGGGAGTAGTAACTAAACTCTTAATTAATAGAGAGTTAATAGTAATAACAGAGAATAATAATAGACATATAGCATATAATTTGGCTAAAGGTTCAGACCATATAATTAGGGCTCTTAATATTAAAGAGCCGGATTTTTATATATATAAAGATTATATAATTCTGCTCTAGTTTAGGAGAAAACTCTCTTATTAAGTCTTAGAACTAGTTCTTTACTATTTCCTTTCTTTATATATTCTGGTCCTTTATTAGAGCTAAAGTATTAGTATATAAAACCCTTCTTTTTTAGTTTATATTACTAAATACATTATTTTATTCTAATTATATAGTATTATTATATTTATATTCCCTTAACCAAATTAGTAACTAATATATATATTTAGTTCTCTATATCTTTAAAACTCTCTTCTAGTAATTAGTATATTTTGAAATCTAGGAATTCTAATAACTTAGTAATTAACCTGCTATTCTGGGCTTCTATTTTCCCAATAATAATTATTATTATATATTAGTAGTTCTTTTAGGCCCAGAAGAAAATATTAAGGCTCTTTTCTATTAATACCCATAGGCCTTTATTACTAAGGTACTTGAACTATATAAGCCTATACTATTTCCGGCTCTATAAATCAGGTTCTTTATTAGAGATTATATTTACTAAATTAAATACTAAATTAGTTTAATATTTCCTATATATAAAAAGGAAATCTTATAGGTAACTTCTTTAAATAATTCACTAAAGCCTTTCTTAGACCTTATTACTAATAGCTTCCCGAATATAGGTTTATTAATTACGGGCTCGGTATATTCGAGAGTTATACTTAAAGTTATATTTAATAAAGTCGATTTAGTATTAGTTATATAAGTATAGTTATGAAATAAGTATAATATAGTAGAAAGATTTTAAGTAAGAGTAAGACCCGAATAAAACATTAAACTAATAAGAAAGAAATAGCTAAAATAGCTAGTAATACCAGAAAAAAGACTTATATTTATAATAGTTCGAAAGATATAGCCTCTATAAATAGCCCTTTTACTAAATACTTCTCCTAAGAAATACTATATAGGACTAGACTAGGCAAATCATATTCCTATAATATTTATAAGTTATAAATATAAAATTAGTTACTATATTAACTAGATACTATAATTCCTTAATATATCCTATAGCTCAAAAGTAATTAAAACCTAAATACAGGAAAATAAAAGTAATAAATAATATTAGTATATAGCCTACTTCTGCTTCTCTAATTCTCAAATACCCTAGTCCCGGCTAGAAATAACTATATATAGCTTTTATTACTCCTATACTATTAATATTATATTTAAAATTCTTACTAGATTTAATTACAAATTCTAGATAAAATATAATTACTTGAGCTTCTTTCTAGAAAATTAAAACATGAGCTATAAAAATAAGATTTTTAATCTAGAGTTATATAAAAATAAGTATTCTATTTCTAGATATAAATAAAAAAATAACCTTATCTTATAACTATTTAATAACTTCTTTACTAGAGATTTAAAATAGCTATAGCTATATACTAATAGGCCTTAAAATATTATAGCCTTTCCTAGAAAATAGTATTATATCTCTTTTCTCTATTTTAGGCCTAAACTATTATACTTAATCTTAAAATATATTTTACTTATAATAGTATTATTAATCTACTTTACTTAATTAGTTATAAAGAATATAATTTCTTAATAATATTCTAAGGTTTATAAGAATATATAAATAAGAATATTCTAGTTAATATTACTAATTAAGTATTATTTAAGGAAAATATTTATCTTATTAAAAAGAAAGAATATATTCTATTTTAAAGTATACTTAAATATAAAAGAGAGTTATTCTTTGAGTTCTTTAGTAGTTCTGTCTAGCTTACTAGTAGAAACCTATAAAGTTATAAAAAGACGAGATTATTAATATATAAAAGATATATTATATAAAGTAATATTTAAAAATACTCGAATAAGACCTTAGTAATTAAGGTTTTGCCTATACCTAGCGGCCTACTAATATATATAATTAGTAATATTAAACTTTAATAAAGATTAGTTATTATATTATAAAAGTATATTAAACTCTAGCCCTTTTCCTATAATAAAGTTATTAAAGGAAAAGAACTTACTTAATATCCGCTTTATATAAGCTTTAAAAAGAGTATAAATAGCTTCCTTTTTCTTTTAGGAAATCTAAAAATAAGAAAGAATCTCGAGTAGCTATTTAATATCTCTAATATTCTTAATTATAAACTTGGCTATATTAAATACTTTAGCTAGGCAGGACTTCGGACTTCTTTCTAGAAAAGATAAGGCTTTTATTTTATAGTTTATTTCTAAGGCTAAATTCTAGTATAATTAGACTTTAGATAAAAACCTTATTTCTTTTTATATTTAATAATTCTATTCTATTACTTTTAACTATATTAAATAACTTTTTAGAATTATTATCTGAGCTAAAAATAGCCTAGCTAGAAATTAATAAACTTTCTTTATTAGACTCTTTAATACTTACTCTAATATTGTTCGAATTAGTCTTTTGGAAATAAGCTATATTAATTATAATCCGGCTATTAATAAATAGCTTAATAAGATAGTTCTTCTTTATATAAAAGGCTATTTCTTAGTATTAGTAATAGTAAATACTTAGAAGAAAAAGAAATTTTCGATTATACTTATTTAGATAAGCTCTTATCTTATTTGCTTTCTAATAATATAAAAAAAGAAAAACTTTAATAAAATTAATTTTCCTTATTTTATTGAATTTCTTAATTTAAAGTATAATTAAGACCTCGCCAAATACTTTTCTATTTGAGTCGAGATAATAATACCTTATATAAAAGTAATTTACTTTATTTATCTATTTTCTCTTTTTACTAAAATTATACTTAATATATCTTGGCTTTCCTATATTAATACAAGTTATATATATAACTATATTTGGCTTAAAAAAGGCCCAGAAAAGATTATATATAATTATATATTTTTTAAGAAATATAATAAGGTATTTAGTAATAAATTTATAGGTTTTCTTAATAAAATCAAGTAATAAATTAAGATACTAAAATATTAAATTATTAAAGATAGTATTATTACTTTAATATACCTCGAGATTAGAGAAATAATAGAAAAGCAGACTCTATTTAATCTAGATATAGTTAGTAATTAAACTAATTCCGATTTCTTACTAGAAAGTCAGAAGTAATTATACTAAAGGCTTCTTTTCCTATAGGCAAATACCTTTAATATTTTTTAGAACTAACCTAAGAATATTTCGCAAGCCTTTAGATTTAATATTAATATAGTATATCTGTTTCTCGGTTATTTTATCTGCTTTATTATTAGAATAGAGATTAGAACCAAGTTTAGGATATTTACTAATCCGTATATAAACTATAAAAATAAACTAATTTAGCTTATTTTCTTTATTAGATAATATAATTAATTCTATAATCTTATACTTAAATGCCTTTATATTCTAGCTATATAGTATTAGTACTAGTAAGATCGGGCTATACTCTAGTATATATATATACTTTATTAATTTTCTTGAATTCTAGTATTAAAGCTCGGGCTTTTAGTTCCTTGGATTTGTTTTTATAGCTAGTACTAAACGGCTTTATAGAAGGGGAAGGCTCTTATTTAATATTAACTAACTTAAATACTTTTATAAACTACTAAATAAGCTTTATAATAACTTATAAAAATAACTTTATTATATAATTAGAATAGGGAAATAGTATAGGTAATAAATTCCCAAATAAGGTTTTAGAAAAAGAGAAATAAAAGAATAAAATAAGTACTATCTTTATTATAGCTATTATATTTATTATTTCTATAACCTAATTATTACTTTATATAATAATAGGTAATAGAAATAGGCTATCTAGTAGAAATAATAATAGAAATAATAGAGACTTATAATAAACTATTTCTATTAAAGCTATTATTAATATAGATAATTATACTAATACTAAATAACTTTAAACTATCTCGGTTAGAACTTCCGTTATTAAAGATTTCTTATCTTACCTAAATAAATTATTAGTAGAATTTGATTTATAATTTATTAAAAATATACTAATTTGAAATCTCGAACTATTTTAGGCTAAGTATCTTTAGGCTTAGTATTTTTAAATATTCTTAGCGGCTTTAACTTTACTTTAATAGGCTTCGAGATAAGTTTCTTTATATTATTAATAGCTTCTTCTAATAATTTCCTATATTTTATAAGAAATAAGAAAATTTCTATTAGACTAAATTTCAGTTCCGGTATATTATTAATAAACTCTTTTACTAACTACTTAACTCTCTTAGCTTCTTTCTTCTAACTTATTATAGCTTTATAAACCTTTATATTATTTCCTAATTAAGTATCTTTAGGAAAAGTAATATTCTTTTATACTAGCTTAAAAACAAGACAGAAAAGATTAGCTATTATTATATTATTAGTAAACCCAAGTTTAATCTTTTTATTTATATAATTAGATTATATAAATACTTTATTAAAATATATAATATAATTAGTAGTTATAATTAGGATTCGGCCTTCTTATAACTTAATACTATTAATAATATTTAAGATAAAAAACAAAAATAGCTTTTTATTAATAGGTTTATTTATTTAAAAAAAAAGAGTTAGTTATAATTTAGTAAGAGCCTTTGGTTTTAATATCTTAATTCGAGCTAATAATATTAATATCTTCTAAAAAAATAATATAGTAACTTAGAAAGCTATTAAATAGGCGCTTTAGAATAGCTTTACTAATAATAAACAGATTAAGAATATAGATATTTAAGTTAAAATAACTAGTAATAGCCAAGTTCAAATTCGATTTTCTAGTTCTAGGAAATCTATATAACAAATAATTCCATTAATAGGAAATATTATAATTAGAATACTACTATTAGAATACCGGATTCAGGAAGTTCTTAATATTATCTAATTACTCTTTTTTCCTATTCTTATTAAGAATAATAGTTAAAATATATCTTAATTTAGATATTATAGACCTTATCTAGATATTTTTAGGATATGGCTTATAAATACAGGTTTTATTCTAAAGTAGCTTAATATACTCGATATAATACTTATTAAGTAGTTTTTTAAGAATTTATAAAAAGTTACTAAAATAGGAAATAAAGACTTTTTCTTAATTTCTAAATTCTCTAGCTTAATATTAATACCGGAATACTAGCTAATAGCTCTTATATTATATAAAAAAGTACTTATTTTAGGATATATAATATAAAGTCTTTTTATTTATATCTTTATTATTTAAATAATAATTTCTCGAGTAATTTAATAATATATCTAAGTTAGTAATAATAAGAAAAGAGAAAGTATTCTAAGTAAAGCTCTAAATAAATATCTATAATATAAGTATATTATATATATTATTATAATATTATAAATAAATAATTAAAGCTACTAATTATTAAAAAATAGTTCTTCTATTATTTAAATAAAAAGAAATTCTTACTATAATAAGTTTCTAGTAGCTTCTATAAGTATATATAAATATATTCGTAAATAAATACAAATAACCCAAAGAAATAAAGCCGAGAAATATAAATATATAAGTTAATACTAAGATACTATTAGATAGTAGTAAATATATAAGTAAAGCCTAGTAATAAGAAGTCTAGAATTAAGGCTTAAGCTTTCGAGAATAATTAAATTAATAAGGAAATATTCTTAATATATTCTATTATTATTTTATTCTATAAAATAATAGTAAGGTATTTTTAGATAAATAATAAATTATTTAATATATATAATAAATAAGATATATACTAGATAAAAAGATTTAAAAAAATAATTAAAGAGCTAAATATTAAAAATATAGGAAAATAATAATAATAATACTTTAGAAGAAATCTATATTCTTATATATTCTCTAGTTTTATATTATTATTATAATAAAGATCTATTTTTACTAGCTAATATAGGATAATTAATTAAGGAAACTAATTCTATTAAAAATTAAATAAAAATGTAAAGTGAAATAATATATTAAGATAAATTATAATAATTTTCCTATTTAAGAAAAAAGTATTATTATTATAAATATAGTATTTAGGGCTTGAAAAGCAAAATAGAAGGTCTCTTATAAAGACGATTTAAAGCTAAGAAAAAGAAAACTAGAATACAGGAGGCTGCAAGGGAGTATATATATCCTATAGTATACTAGTCCCAAAGGAGCTTAGCCTTCTAAATATCTCTAGTATATTCTAAGTATATTTCCCTAATAAGGCAGCCATATTATATATACCTAGAAGGCATCTAATATCTAGTAAGGCATCTCAGATACCGGGTATCTGGGAATTATAATATTACCTTTCCCTTTATAATAAGCTTATTCCCCAGCTTTATAAAAGCCATTAATTTATCTAATTTCGTATTATACTTCTTCCCAAAATAAAACTAGTATCTCGGATATAGATATTATATATAAAAGGCCGGTACCTTTACTATATAACCTAAGAAGGTTTATTATTATTTCTATATAGTTCTAAATAAGTATTATTTTTTATATAATCTAACTAATATTATAGGTTTTATAGAGGTTCTAGTATATTAATAATATTATTATAGAAACTCTATAAAACCAGGGAACTATTACTTAGTACTAAAGCTAGATACTATACTAGATTTTTATCCTAACTAACTTACTAGATTCTATACTTTAGCCTATTTCTTATTAGCTTAACTATAATAACCTATTTAATGCTATACTTTTATTTACTATCCTCTAGTATTAATAGAAGCGGTTCCGGATTTATTTAATTTAGTAAAGAATTCTAGGGATCTTTTTATAGCTTCTCTATATAGAAAACTAGATATATCTTTATAGTTTCTGGTAGTTTTAGGAGAAACAAGTAGCTATATTATTCTAGAATCTCAAATAGGCCCTCTATTTAGTTCCCTAGCTTCTGGCTCGGATAATCAGATTTCTAGTATTTTATAATAACCTATATTTTATTTCCTACTTTGAAATTAATTAGGCAGTAGTATTTATTAGCTTATATTATATATTATTTCTATACTTGCTTTATATAATCTTGAGTAAGTTATTATAATTTATATAATTAATTTACTAATACTTTAGTTTTATTTCTATTTAATTTCTTTTTAAGTAAATTAGCTTTAATAGGAAAGTTCTAGTTTAGAGAAATACGAGACTTATAGCCCTTTTTAGTTATAAATAGGAACTAGCTAATAGTTTTATACTAAAGAAAGGCTTATTAATAATTAATTATAGTAACCTATTTGTCCCAGTTATTCTAATAATAGTTAATATATAAATATAATCTCTAATTAAAGTACTAATTAATAATCTCTGTTTATTTATCTATTTAAGAGTAATTAGCTATAAAAAGCTTAAGCTTTATACTAATTCTTATATAGAATTTGCTCTAAAAATCGGATATAAATTAGAGTTCCTAATCTAATATAATTATTTCTGGAATACCTACTTAATATATTATATAAAATAAAAACAGAAGTACTAGTTACTTGGCTATAATTATATCTTATACGGGAATTATAATTAGATACTTAAATAAGTAATTCATAAATATAGTAATTATATTATAGCCCGATTTGCTTTCTAAATAGTTCTTAAAGTTTATAATAATATATTACTAGGAGTAATTAGGAACTAGAAAGAAATAAAGCAAACCAGGCTTCTTATTTCTGGATATATATAATCTCCTATAAGTATAGTAATTACTATAGTATTAATTAATATTCTTACCTATAAATAGCTAATAATATTACTTTTTTAATAGCTAATAAAGCTTTATATATTTAGGATATCCAGAAAGAAGTTTATTATATATTTTATAAATTAGGGTAATTTATAAAAGTAGTCTAGAGATTATTTTATTCTCTATAATATAGAGTTTTCTATAATATAAAAGAAGGCCGTCTTATAATATTCAGATATTACTTTTAGTTTAGGCTATTATATATAGCTTTTCTAAATCTAGTAATATATAATTATCTTATAAGATCTTATTTATAAGTTATAAACTACTATACTTGATAGAAGCCTCTAATAATACTTTTATAGGAGCTATTATAATAGAGTTTATTAGTAAAGCTTCTAAGAAAATACCTTTTTCTAGGGAAATTATATCTCTAATAGGGATATTCTTTTCCGGAAAGTCTTTAGTATATATTTGGTTTTTAGGGCCGAATTCCGGATTAAATAAGCCGACCTTATAAAGTATTATTATAAGTTATAAGTTATAGATAATCTCCGGATTAATCTTATTTTTAGGGAAAAGTACTTGAGTTTATAACTTCTTTTTAATCTGGCTTTAAATATTTACTTTATCTTATCTTTATAATAAAATATCTACTTATTTATTTAATTTTCCAGAATAATATATAAGCTTAAAGTAATAGTAAAATAAGAGCTTAGTTTATCTAGCTTATTAAAAAGAGAGCTTTTTAGTAGTTATAAAATACTTTAAGATATAGTAATTAGAATAGATCTTAAAAGAAGTATTTTAAAAGCCCTTTAGCTTAGTTCTTTATTTTTCTAGTATTTGAACTATAGTAAATATCTCTTTATTATATATATTATAATTAAGCTTTACTAGAAATATAGTTTTAGAAAAATAAGCTATAGAATACTAAAGGCCTGTTTCTAGGTCTTATTAAAAGAATAGGCTAGTAATTACTTTTTTGAATATATTTATTTCTATTATTATAAGTAGATCTAAATTATAGTATTATAAAACTAGGATAAAAATTATAGCTTTCTTTAGGTAAATAAAAGCCTTTTAGTATTATTCGAACTACTTAAAGGAAATACCCTTTTTTATAAATAAAGTAAAAAATCTAGTAATTTATTTATATTCTTTAATAAAATATTTATAAAAGTTATAGAAGCTAAAAAAGAATTATATACTTTTAACTATTTTTGGAAATTACTAGTTATATATTACTTTAACTTTATTAGAATTTATTTTAATACTAGATATAGAAATAATAAAGCCTAAATACTTTATATATATAACTTTAAATTCTAATTTCTTAATATTTATTTAGAAGCTAGTAAAATATAAATAGTCTAGTACTTTTTATATATACTATTTATATTTTACTAGGTTCTTTAAGTAAATAAGAATATTATTAAGATATATTATATAAAAGTTATCTAGATATTTAAAGAATATATTATTTATATAATATTAATATATAACCGGGCTATTTATAAGGCTTTTCTAGAAAATATTATATTTATATATTCTATAGTAAATACGAAATATTATTAGTTCCTAAAAGTCCGGATTTATAGCTATATAATAGAAAGCTTAGTAAATATCTAATTTAGTATAGATCTTAGCCTTAGATAATTAATTTAAAGTCTTATTAATAAGAAAAAGAAAATATTAATTCTTTTAAATAATATTATTTAAATAATAGAAATTAATATAAAAGTATAAACCTTTATTTACTTTCTTTATAAAAAGAACTAGTAAAGTAAAAGAAGCCTAACTAGCTTTAATAAAACCCTTAGCTAGATTATTTTTTAAAAAATACTTAATTTCTAAAAGCTCTTAAATAGATTATTATTAAAAGAATTAATATCTAATATTCTCGGTTCTCTTTAAGCCTTTAATCTAAATCTTATAATTATATAATTTATAGAAAGAAAGAATATTAGATTTCTTTTTTAGAGAAAATAAAGATATATTTCTTAAATTCCGGAAATAATATTCTTTATAGCTACTAAAGTTCTATTTCTTCTAGTTATTAATTCTCTGGGCTAGAGATAGCTTTTTTTTCCAAGCTTTAAGCTTCTTATTAATCTTATAAATAGAGATTTAACTAATAATATTATTTTTTCTCTTA